TGGGGGACAGGGATGGGAGAGGGAGAGGGTGGAGGGCAGGGAGGGAGTCGAGGAGGTCGGGCGGGTAGACGACGCCGTGCATGTCCATCGCGTGCTACGCTAGCTTGCGCGCCAGATTCTTCTTGTCGTTCTTGTTCTTGAAGTTGTGCGTCGTATGTGTGCAAAAGCAAAGCAAGCAGTGATGATGGTATGAGTGTGACACAAGCAAGCAAGCAGTGTTCTGTTCGTGGGCGGTCAGGTCGCAATGGGCAATCGACAAGCCGCAATGGTGTGCAAGGTGTGAAAGAACCCTCTTCGAATCGGGATGGGGATCGAACTGTGACGGAGCTAAATTTGAAACGCGAATCTCGATCTTATCAAGACAAGCTCCCCCACAGCCGAGCCACGCCGAGCCTCCCTCTATCCTCTCCAGCCCTTCCTTCTCGTTACTCGACGCTTCGCCGTCGTGCTTCCCACCGCCGCCCACGCTCGTCTCTCACTGTCATGATCAGCGCCAGCCCATCGCCAACAGCCAGTCAGCCAGTCAGACATTCTGTGGGTGCAAGGAACGAGGGACACACGGCAACTCAGACTCGAAGCGGGAGTGGTGCCGCTGCGCCTCCCGGACGCCGGACGGGACCACCACTGTCCATCGTGACCCCATTTTCTCAATTGACCGCTGATTGGGTTGCTCCCCGCGCTCGCATTCAAACTCAAGTGATCATGACGGCTGGGCTAAGCGTCCCGCGTCATAAAGCGACTGACCCGCGCTCTCAGCCTCTTGAGCGCGAGCGTACCCCCCTCACGCGCGTGCGCACCAATTCGCCGTTCGCCATTCCCCGCCTTCTCTCAGCCATTCCTATTACCATCACTATTACTACTAGCTTCTCTCCCACTCCTCGAGGCCCTTCCCTTTTCCTTCCCTTGCCCGCGTCTTCCCTCGCCTTCCCTTCCCTCGCTCGCCCCTCAGGCTACCGCTCCCAGCCGCTTCTCTCCGTCAGACCCCCGCCTCCCACCACCTTTCATCATCCTCATCTCCTTCATCACACACCTCCGTCACCCTCATTCCATCAAGCATCATATCATAGCTAAGTAAGCTCTAACTCTCCTCTTCCTTCTTCCTTCTTCCCTTATCCTCTCCCCTTCTTTCCAATTCCTCTCCCACATTCTCATGTCATGTAATATTAACTGCTCCCTTCAATTCCTTCTCCTTCCTTCCTCCGTCCCCCTTCCTCCTTCCGTCCTACCAAGCGCGGACACCCAGGTAAGCTCCTGCCCCATTCGTCCCCAAGCCTGAGCTTGAGCTTGAGCTTAAGCTCAAGCTTACCCCTTTCTCTCTAGTTCTACGCCCTGAGCCTTTCCTTGATCTTCATCACGGACATAACCTTCCAATCTTATCCTGAGCTATGTACTTACGGCCGTCCTTGCCCCGAAGGTCACAGCTTTAAATTTGACGAGACGAACTCAAAGAGCTAAGCAGTCTTCACTTCCTCCGCCGTGGTCGTTTTACCGGCATGCAACGCAACGCAAAGTCCTCTTGCACTTCTTGTTTTAAAACCTTGTAGTAAAACGTCGATCGACGATCGACGATCTTCGCCCACAGTGCTGTCTGGGAAATACCACCGACGTCGACGTATAGCACCGCGACATGTACAATAAATGCCTTTTCGACGTCTTTACTTACGCCTCATGCTGAGTGAGTAACGGCCATCTAACTTTATGCTTCTGAGTCTCCAGCGTGAGCATGAGCATGGCGCTCTAAAAATACGTACCCGCTGCATAATTGTCTTCGATTCTTGAAGGCTGCACCTTCAGGCTTCTGTGCATCCCACCAACCGAGTAGCGAGCGGTGAGCGGTGCGCCGCTCCTCCTCCATGCGATATCGATGTGCGCATCATGATCACCTCCTTACATGAGTAGGGTACCTTCAGTCACGCCTGCGCTCACCGCGTCGAGATCGTCTGCATGTAGTGGTGGTTCGTCTCACCTCATCTGCCACCAATCGACACCGTTCGACGTTAATGTTCAGCCATTCAACGCACTCCCTACGACCTCACTCTCACACGCACGTCCCACCAACTAAATGTTCAACTAACCAGCCATTCAACACAACGCCTGAATCTTATCTTCCACTCAACTCATCCAACTCATTCAGCTCATTCAGCCCCTATCCGTATACATCCATTGTATGTTACTTATCATATGTACCCCACATGATATCACCCATACAAATTTACATTGACAATCGCAATCGCAATTTCCAGCTGATCTCACTTGGTGCTTGATCAATATCATGAATTGAAACGTTGAATGGGGCCGTCTCTTGTTCCGCGTCTCCTACAGTCAGTCTTCGTGATGAATTACCGTCAGCAGCCACGGGAGACAGCAGGGAGACGGGGAGACAGACAGTACACTGTAACGAAATGACAGCGCGGCACCGACCCCGACCCCGACCCTCGGCGCCCGGCGGCCTCCCAAGTCCCAAGTCCCAAGTGTGCGCCACATTCCCGCTCGTCTCGTCTCGTCTCATCTCGTCTTATCGTTAATCGATTACTCACCTCTGCAATCACTCAACATTCTTAAGTACAATAGAGGTGGCTCCTACTCCTACTCCTTACACACACATATAATAACAGGAACTGATCCACGGCCCGGGCGATAAGCAACAAATTAATAAATACGGTACCGTACCGTACCTACGCAGTCTGACTACTTAGCGCTTATCGTCGAGGAACTAAGAAGTACTCTACTCCAATGATCCAACAAGGATGATCGTGAATCGTGATCGAGTGCAGAAAATGGGGGCTATATACGAGGCGTCAGGCGTCAGGCGTCAGGCGACGGCGTGCAAGACCTGCGTTCGGTACCGAGCTCGGGCTCGAAAATGGAGGTCGGGGAGTGTCAGGCGGGTTGGGTAAGCCGTGGGCCGTCGGGTGGTATAACTTGAAGCGCCGGCGCGTATTGGGCATGCGCATTAATAATTGACGTACTTACTACTCTAATTATAACTCTACATTTTTAGATGGGTCGGACTCGGAGGCTCAGGCGCGTCAGCTAGTTCGAGTAAGCGCCAGTGGTTGGTGAATGCCAATGCACCGTTGGTGTGGTGTGGAGTACATGTACGTGTACAACTTCACTCTTTTACTCTAGTTGGAGGAGTGGGATTTACGGAAGGAAGGAAGTACGACTCTGAGGAGTATTGCTTGAGTAGTGGGACGTAGACGAAGAGTCCAGCGGATCTCTTATCGACTCCAAGTAGCCGAGGCGGCGAGGGGCGAGGGCAAGCCAGAGATGCACCGAGTCGCCAAATTCATTTAAATATCCACGGTACTAGTCAAGTCGTGACTATGCTTCAGCCGTGTAGCGCACAAGAAGACATACACATACGTCCGACTTTCAATAAAGCCATCACTGCGTGACGGCAGGGAATCTCTTGGATATTTACCGAGTGCTTACTCGATTGGTTGAAACCGAGAGCGAGGTGACTATCTAAGTATGTACGCGATCGACATTCGTAGTGATCGAGTGTGGCGCACAGGAAGAGGAAGAGTGGCGCACAGGGAAGAGTGGCGCACCGCAGAAAATCTTTGGAGTAAAGTAAGGATGGGCGAATTTGGATTCGTGGACTAGGAAGAGGAAGAAAAGGTATGGATCCGGAGCCGAGCCAAGATCAGGCGAGTTCAAGCGCTGCTACGAAACTTGGACGCTACGCCGCATGTACAACCGCCTAACACATCTGCCAGCGAGATCAAGCTCGGAGCTCGGGTGTTCCATGCTCCAAGAGCCCACATGTGGAGCTTCGAAATTCATGTCGCTGGGCGTATTCGGTATTCGATGCTGCAAGGTTATGGAGCGCAGTTTCCGAGTCACAGTATTACTTACTGAAGCGCTTACTATCTAATAAGTAAGCTAGTAGTGCCTGATCTGCTTCTGCCTCACCGACCGAACTTCCAGGAGATCTTGCACATCTTCGCTAAATGGTGCCTATCTGGCAAGCTCCAAGCGCAGCTCCGAACTTTGATAACCACGCGACGCAAGGCGGGTTCTTTATGAATTGTGTGTGGCGCACCGGAAGAATCTCGTTTGGTGAAAGTCAAGATGTTCAAGGAGCCTGTGGGGCAGTTCCCAAGGCAACTGAGCAGACGACTTACAGCACTCCATGAAATGACAGAAGAAACTTGGAGTCTCCACCATTTGGTGTACTTAAGTACGATATAGAACTCTCGGAGGATGCAAGATAACCCACTGTGACGAGAGAAAATGAGGGACTTTGCACCGCGGTTTATCCCTTTTCCCAACTTCTTTCCTTCGACGAGACGCGTTCAATCTCTAGGGATCGCATCGCGTCGTCATCCGGGAGGCGCATTTCAGTTCCATTATAAGCCACGGTGGAGCTCTCGTATGTAGTATTTAACATTTATCAGCAGATCTCGAGATGGGTCCAAACGGTGTAATATCATCTTCTTAGTCTTTATCAAGCTCAAGCTCAAGCTCATCCTTGTGGAGTGGGTGACACACCTGATCGTCGTCGGCGTCTTTTGGTCAAGCACCCCCCCCCGATAGCATCGATTGACGTTGGAGCCCGCCCCGCTCTCAGTTCTCCTTCACACCTTCCCAAGATCTTAGGCTAAGTATCTACAATTGACAGCCTCCGCGCCACGAGCCAGCCCAAGTCGCTACATAAGCGATGCCAACATTTTATCCCACTCCACCCTGTCAGGGAGAGTTTAACCTTCGCAATGTTCTCATGGTCGAAATTGAACGCACGGGGACGGGGTGAAGAAGCCGCACAGAAGCAGGTGCAGGTGCAGTACTCGCGGCTACTCGCGGACAGCGGAGGGGTCGGCAGAAGCGCAGAAGGGTGTAATTAGAATGGATGTTGGAAATGAATGGCGGTGAAGTCAAGGGCGGCGGAAGGGTGAATGCGCCACACAAATGCATAACGTCGCACGCCCACGCATTGGAAGAGCGGTCAGTAATAATGAGATAAGGTGCCCGACTGCGCTCGGTATTCCTGTCGATTCGAGCTGGGTTAGAACGATAACAGGAGTGTGTTGCGCCACACAAAGGAACAACCGTTTACGACTCGGACTTGCAGCATCCCTCGAAAAATATCTGCCTAATATTATATAAACTTGTCTCTCCTTAGGTTCAGCCTCACCTCATGCTCATGCGACAGGTCGCAGTCGCGGCTGAAAGACCCAAGCGTTCTGTTGTGTCTCCAATGTATCTAGAAATAAAGGGCGACAAACTTAGCCCGTCCTAATTTCGCAACGGGTGCTCCTCACTGGGTTCGCCTGTTCCCCTCGGAGGAAATTTCACTCGCACAGCAAGATAGAATTTAACCAGGACGAGAACGTGCTGGACAGGCAGCAATGATCCTTCTACGTCTTGTAGTAGTCACAAAAATAGCTGTTTATTTCACACCAATACCGATAGGGGCTTCTATGTCTCCGAGGAATGAAATGAGTGCGTTTCTCGGTATCTAGGAGGACGAATTTAGAATGCGTTCTAGAGTGAGGGTCGTCTGTGGATATCAGCTTCTCATACTCTAACACGCTTCGCATTTGACGGTGACCGCAGCGAATGCGCCACACAACCGCGATCGTTGTAGCGGGCTAAAAATAGCCGTCGTTTGAAAGCTGGGACTCTTGCGTTATGTTGTGTTTGTCCGACCTATCGCATTCGCCCTGGAAATGCATCTCCATCAAGCACTCTCAGACGTCCAGGTACTCTCTTCCAGATAATTCAGATGACATATCATTTTCTGCGCACGAGCGCTAAGAATACCTTTGCGCTATACCTTACCAAGCAGAGACGCCGACCCTCCGAGCGAGCAATTAAGCTCGTCGGGTACCCGTCAAAGGTGATCTCTAAAACCTGCGAACAAAAAATATATCAGAAGACCACCGTCGACGAGAATAGAACACAAGAACAATAAGGCGTGCTGCAATGACGGCATGATAGATTATCGATATCTGTCTAAAGGCGTCCCGGATCCTGGGATCCAGGGAGTCGAGTGTCGTAAACGGTCCCGTGTACGATGTCTGCCGTCATCGCAAAGCTTGTACACCTCTCCTGGTGTAGCACAGAAGCTCGATTATCAGGAAGTTGGGTTTCTTTGCACGGACTTCGCGTCGGAAGCCTCCGAGAAGGATGCTGTAAGTCGTTCCTTTCTCGTTCATCCCATGTCCCGAGAAAACTGTTCTAGCTATTGACTTGCTGGATTCTTCTTTCGTGAGTACACGCTCAGAAGTAGCACCGTACCTATCAAGGGGCGATCACGATCGACCCACTGTCTGCCCGGGCCACCTTCGACACGGAATTACGGCGCCAGGGCACCAGTCCTATCCTCGGACATCTGTGAGAGATAGACGGGCACACGAGGACGGCGATGATCCCGTTCTTCCCTTCTTTCTGCCGTCTTTGTTAGTTCTCGTCCGCCGAATTTCTGGGCTGCATAGGAAGCGGGTTGAAGAACGGTCAAGAATGTACAGCGGACCCGGTCATGGGACAGAATAAACGGCCTCATGGGTTTCTGTGCTGCTTAGCATCGAAGTGGTGTGCTTAGACCTGCATAAATGGGAATATGCCTAATTTAGCCTAACCTCTCGGACGAAGGCCAATGACACTAGGTTATAGGCATCACATTCAGTCGACGTGGACTCGGGTAGACAGAACACGAGACATAAGCGACCATCGCCCGAAGCCGTTTAAGGTTCGCATGCTACGTTTGTCTTGATTGCTCGTCATCCAGGTGTCCAATATCACCATCCGAACTCTCAGTTCACGGCATGCATAAATCAGGCCCGAAGTATCATGTCAAATAGCCTTCGCATATCGTTGTCACGAACCACGACGCATTGAATGGATGGCTTCCATGAAACTTCATCGAATCACCCGCTAATCCAGACGCTTCTGCTCTTCTCCTGTACCTTAGCGGGAAACCATCACCACCAACTGCAACGCTTACGCATCCTCTCAATTGAATAACCAGAATGAAGATTATGGAAGATCATCCGTTGAAGAATTTCATTTCCGAACGGTCTCCTGACCCCTTCACTAAACCGAACATCCCTGGAAAGGCGTCATATGACGCGATGCCCATTCAGTCTTCAATGGACGCATGATTCCATCTCTGTTATACGATTGAGCAGAGAAGATACCTACAGGGGGTACGGGCAATGAGGCCGCAAGGAACCACGCACCGTGCTGTCCAAGTGGGGAAATCGGGTTTCTCGATTCGGGGCTTGTGTGAGCAATAATAAGCACGCGATCATGTTTACACCCCGCCGGCGGTCGGCTGTGCGCCACACACTGTTCCCGTCGCTTAGATCACTTCACTACAAACCCCGCAGTCGCAGAATAGTCGCAGATGCCGGACCTTGCCCTTAAAACGTACAGCTGACTGCGTTCAAATGACATCCTCGTCAACCTTTAGTCCAGGTCATACGCCCAAGGGGATTAAGAAGGACTGTTGAATGCGATGCAAGAAAGGAGGCAGGAGACCTTGTGACCTTTCTCCTCGGGTAGGGTAGGCAGGTTACAAACAACTGATTGACGTACGAGAAGAGATGAGAAGCGAGAAGAAGCGCTGGGCTAGCGATTCAACAGCTCACGAGGGCTGGACGCCTGCTGTGTACTCAATTGTTGAGGCTGCGTTATGTACTCCGTCGACAGATCCGCTGCTTGAAATACATGAAAAGTGTATGAGGCTGAACCTTGCCGGCGAGAAGGAAGCCTAAAGCTGATGGAGGAGGGACGATGAGCATGTGGCCCTGCCAGCAGGCTCGCGCCCGTGGCAGAAGCAGATGCCATACGGTTGACGGCTGGGCTCAGGTCTATATTTCAATAGGGCGACGTATGATGGACCTTCTCCGGGGTCCTTGCCAGATGGCGGGTATGAGTTCGTGACGGCGCTTGTCACGGCGGCTAATATCCGCCCTCATTTAGCCCTCATAACATGAGTTGTTCATGGAAAATATAGGACCATATATATGTCCCTTTGTTCTCTCTTTGTAAAGATTCAATGAAGGCCCTTTTTCCGCCTTACATTTTGGGTAATATTTTACTCTGCTAAATTGGGCGTTTGCAATCCACAATGGTTGGAGACCGAAAGCCTCGTTCACGTTGTTCTGCAACCCTCCAAAGAACCTGAAATTTTAGAAAACGATGTAGGGGAAGCTGGCAACATATTGTTCGCAGCAATCATCTGAGGTCTGGGGTGTATCGGAACAGCAATTGCGATCACTTGAAACATTAAATTTCAGCTGTAAATTTCAGTGTTTCGAGCGCTTATTTAGCTGTCCAGGTCCTCTAGCTCAAGGCCTCACCATCTTCCCATCATGCACATATGGTAGAGGTTCGCAAGTCTCTCTCGCTAGGTGGATCAGCCCGCCAATATCTCCGGGAATTCGATGAAATTAAGTACTACCCATCGGCCCGACTTGAACAATAGCCATCTGGAGACTGAGCGCTGAATGTTCAAGTTGAGGTTTTGTAGATATAGATAAACAGTGCATACGTACGGTCTGACCAAGGCTGCTGAAACTGGTGTGCGCAGCTATGAGCATTATCCCAGATTGTCTCAAACTTCTTTTGAAATCCATTACACATTAATTAGTGTCACGCTCTCGTAACTAAATATAGGACGCGGTGCCATGAACCCCTGATACCACTCCTTCTCTTATGTAAAACAGTCCTCTCCATCGACTGAGCTCAGGTCTGATTTGTCTCTCCCTGGCTCGTTCACGGTGAATTTTGTACCTATATGTTATCAAGATCTTCTGTACCATCTATATATTGACTAAAAAGTAGGAAGGATGCACACCTAACGGGCAAAACCTGAGCAAACCTGACACGATCATTGTCTGACATAGACCTGAGCCCAGCCGTCAACCGTAATGCCATCATCTGGGCCCGGGAATTCAGGAAGTGCAAGAGCTCTGCTCTGTTAAGGAGGTGATAAGGTGGACGTTCTCTCAACGAATGTATCCTGAACTGGAGGGAACGCCGGTCGGAAACCAGAGTGGCTGACCCCAAAGCCCGACGGCGGTCTAGAGTGTAGAACATTCAGTGAGAATCCGCGGCTCTATTCGCGACGAAGACGAGAAACAACCATCTCACCCGCATGATACCGGCTACTTCCTGGAAACGAAGGAGCGGCGGACTGCACAGGTACTCGCCTTTGTCATTTATCCTTCTTGACGCCGGCCTCATGTTAAGGGAGGAACACATAGAACACCCAAAAGATAAGATAACTGCACCAATATGTCGCCATTAACTCATCAAGTCGGCGCAGATCGGCCTCATGTTCATAAACGAGATAATTGACCGTGTCTTCTCCAGCGGCCTCCCTAAATTTTATGCACGACGCTCGTTGCCGTTATCTGGGTCTTCCGAGTCTGCAACCATTATTGATCCCTTGCGTTCAGCTCGGTCGGCCAAATAAGAATTATCGGCATGTTCACATCAAATGTCCAGAACGCACCATTCATCCCAGCTGAGGTAAAATGGCCTTCCAGCACTGAGCAAGCGGATGCTTGATGTTCTCCAGTGTACATGGACTAAAGAGAGTTGGCAGGGTGAGTTTCTCCGCCCGATCTGCCTTTCGGACAGAGGCTCTTCAACGGTGGGGCACATACTAAGGCGGTCAGGTGGAAGTCTGCCACAGTCAAAGTCATCGACGACGCTGATAGACGCAATCGGCAGAAGCAGGTGGGTTTAGCAGTATGGCAAGCTGACAAAGTAGGAGGATTCGATGTATGAGGTACGACATGCCTGGGTAAGGTTCCTCCTATTCTTCAACGAAAACGAGAAGAAATTGGCCGAAGTAACACGATGAGGGGTGCAAGCTAAATTAATAGCTTCGGGAAGCTAGGCTTATGACCAATAGCTTTTAGAAGGACTGAAAGGGCTTGGGGAAAGGGTTTGGAACAAGGACATAAAGGTCATCGTGTTTGTGACTGAAGCCCCACCCACTATAATTTGCACACTCAGCATCGTTGAATCTACATGCCTCTCATCATCCATCCCTACCATCACCTTCGTCAGAGTTGAGATGCCATCGCTATTGGAAGGGAAATATACATACCCATCTTCACCACAGTTTATCTCTCCGCCATTAAGACGCTGTCGGGTACACAATAGTCTGCGTATAACCATACATAGTGCATGTTGTGGTCGTCGTGATCGTCGTGGTCATTGTGGGTTCGGCAGGCTTCAAGCAGCATCTCCAGCAGTTCGGGGCAGTCTCGACCAGATAGGACAGGGAATTGCATTCAAACGGGCAAAGGTAACACGTTCTGCTGCATTGGAACTCCGGTGGTACGGTTCCTTGCGGGACACCATTGGAATTAGGGGTAATCGCGAGAATCGACAACACGACCGCGAACTTGAAAAAGTGCATTTTCTAATGTCATGGTAAGAGCAAAGAACGATAAAAACGCAGTCGACTTACCGCTGAGGGGTTCGTTGTGGGTTCGGTGAAGGGTAGGCAGCGCACACTGAGCATGCACGTTATAAAGGGTGTTGGATGAGAGGAGATTTGATCAAGGAAGCATCGGAGGCTGGGTTTGCCCGGAAGCTTGAGGACGTCGGATCATTCTCAGCAGACTCGAACCCTTGAGCTTGAACGTCTGAGTGGCCCGTGCAATGGGCATATATGGCGCGCTTGAAGCCAAAGGAACGTAAGAAGAGGGGCTCCTACGTTCAAGAGACAGTGGGACTGATGATAACGCCCGATGTTGGCAGAAAGCTGCGCCAGTAAGGTAGCCAGAAGGTGCGATCTGTGGTTTGAAAGTCTAATGTAGAGTCCAAATATGTGTTATCTTGTGGGGTTGTATATGTCTGTATCCAAGGCTGACATCTTCCTCCACCCTATCTCTGGCTGCGGACCACACCTAGCAGCAGGTTGTTTGAAAAAGTCGCGGATCTGAAGTTTGAACATACCTACGCAGCTAGAATAAGACACACGGGATGTCGATGTTCCATTCTACCGGCTTGTGAAGTCTGGGAAGGCACAGGCTGACAGGAGAAAAGGGATGAGCACAGGAACTCGACAAGAACTGAAAGAAATTGGTCGCGCATTTGTCACATATCACTGGACGTGACAAGCTGGTCACTCACCACAACTTCAGCTCCAACTTGATCTGAACTCATTCATCTTTTTCTTCATCTTCTCTTTGCGGAGCCATTTCTGGTCTCGACCTCTTGATAGAAATTCTACAATCTATGACATGGAACTGCTCTCTCTCTCTCGAATTATCTATCGGTAAAGCGTAAGAAATGAACCAAACGCGGTTGACTCTAGGACCAGTACAGAGCTGGGTCAATGCAGACGATCGGGAACTTAAGCCTTTTGACGTCAAGCACAATGAGGGCAGGAAAGAAACTAGTTGCTGGATAGCTTCGGAAGTTAGCAAAGTGCGTTCTTTTCCTGAGTCTCCTCATGTCTGCAAGCTAACCTGGTCGGCACAAAAGAAAGTTAGCATATGCTTCGTTACGACGAAGAACCGGCGAAACGATCCACGCGAGGTTTCTACCTGAGGGTAATCAAAATAATTTCCAGGAAAGGACGCGCGACTACATATTGGGATTTGGCGCGACCGGAAGAGTACCTCAAGATTCCTCAAACAGGGATTGTCGACGAACGTTTCAAGAACGGCCTGGATCATCAAGTCAAGTAAGCTGAAGCTGCTAAATTATCCAGTTCACTGCTCATAGTCTCTGCTCATGTCGCAGATACGGAGAAGAGGAACTGAGCGTGGCGGACTGCATCACCGAATTCCGACTCATATCGAATGGTCTCGCGGCCACATTCACTTTTTGGTACAGACCACTAGGTCAACCTGACTCAGATAATCCGTTCAATTCCTATTTTCATTCGCTTCTCAGCCATGCTCCAAGCCAACAGAATCGCACCTCTTCCACCGACTGTATCACTACACATTGTGCCCACCAGGTCGCAATCCGGAACCGCGAAAGCTGAACACAAGTGGTCCATTGCTGAAATGGACGATCGAGAAAACGAACTGCTGATGATTCCTCTTGTTTGGAACTCGAATGCCGATAAGGGACAAATTACTGACTGCTCTTATATTTTGAAGTTTGAACTCGAGAAAATTAAGCGAGAGAAAGTTAAACGTGCCCGTAAAACCGAAGAACCATCAGAGGTAAAGCGAGAAACGCAATGCGACGTTTTATTCCTGGCAGAGTCATTGATTTGACGTAAATCTTTTTCGCATTTTCTTGGTGAGTCAGATCCCAGTCTTAAGAGATGTGAACAAGCACAAAATTCAGACGTCTTACCCATCTCTATGCAGAATTTATGATTTGAGAGCACAGGGCTTAAGCGCTTAAGCAATCATACAAGAGGACGACACTGAAGCATGACCAGTAATACTTTTGTTTGGCTTTACGGTGGTAGCTGTTGGCGCCAGGGTCATGAATCAGACATGTTTCCGATATTATTGGGTGTTTCCTCTCTTAACGATTACAGGTCCTGCAATAGGATGTGCTCAATATCTATCTTCTCCTAGAGGTTCTGCGGACGCTCCCTGTCAACACGCGATGCGGGAGGGGGGAGTGGATGTGAAAGTCACCTCCGTCAACAAACGTTCCCCCAAAAGACCCAGGAGCAAACCTCATTTCAAGTTTCGAGTTTCCTCTCAGTCAGACTGACCAGCGGACATGCAATCGAGTAGCCTTGATTTCAGGAGAAAATGATTGGAGAAATTTCATGAATCTTGCGAAGCTTGCAACTGACGCCTGGGCCGGAGGCCTGAGGTTTAAAGTTTGAAGTTAGCCGGAAGCTTCGTGTCAGCAAAAATACACAGTGTGTCACGGATCACGAGATTGCGTTACTATGCAACAGTATACAGTCACTCACAGCCAAACTGCCACTCAGACCTTCTCAGAACCTCAGAGGCTCAGACCAGATTCCAGCAGTTATTTTCGCCTGTGCCATCTCTCGATCTTCAGGTCGCTGTTTTTGGGTCATCAAGCCACCCTCGAGTCGTGTGTGCGCAGTCACAGGTTCTTTTTTTTTTTTGAAGTCTTCCACGTAGGGTGTATTTTAGACGTACTCCAAATACACAAAAAAATAGGGTGTTCGATCACAGTCCCTTGGAGGTAGGCTACACCTAAACGACCCTCCTCATCATCCCATCCCTCGACCCGCCGCCTTTGGTTGAAGCCCCATTGGGTGCCGAAGCTTCCAGCTGTTGAGACAGTTGGTGAGAGCTGACCAGTTTCCTTGCGGTTCGCCAAATCTAAACAATCAAGGGCTTCATGGTGTTAGTCCTTCCCAGCATTGGGCGCCGAAGCTTCCAAGCCGTCAGTCGCCTGCATGGTTGGTGTGCCGGGCCAACGCCATTGACAGGGGCAGCACATGTAGGTGCTAAGTACCCCTAACAAGATTGGATGGTTTGGAAGTGAAATGTTGAAATGAGTGACTCTGCCTTCCACTATGCCTTCCGCCCTCTGATACAACCCCACCCGCTTTCCTCCCCCATTTCCCAAACCCTAAGGCACGCATCCTGTAGCATCCCCCTACCATGCGAAGGCGGTCGAATATCTAGTGTTTCTCCCCAAGGGGTGTAGCCGGATCATAGGCAACACGGCTGATGATCGGAGACTAGCCTCCTCCCTCCATGGGTTGCCTTCCATGACTAGGTTGCGCCCCCGAAAGGTCTGCGCGAAGCAGAGCAAGACGGTACACGGGCTGCCTATCAAGTAGGGCCATCAGTTGCGCTTTGAGGTTGTCGTAAACAAGGTCTTCGGGCCTCCAACAAAGCGATTGGGATACAACCACGCCGAAGTCGCGATCTTCTCCGATAAATAAGAAAAGGTGTTGGTTTAATGAATAGATAAGGAATCAGGCAATGAGTGGGGCCCGATGGAGGACGATGCCGATTAATGAGAGGAGTTCGGTAGTGTAGAGCGCGGCCATGGTGGGGGCGACGAATTCCCACGGCCGGATGGTGATGGTTCAAAATCAAGAAGCGTCGGCAGTCACAGGTTCTCGTCACCTTGATTTGAACAAGTCTCAGCGTGGCGTGGTTTGGATGGCCAATACGCGCCTCACCCAGGGTTTGGTCCAAGTCTGGATCCAAGTGGACGGGAAGCCTGTTGAGCTCTACGATGTCACCCACGACCAAGTCAAACGCGAAACTACTTGCTGGATAGCATCAGAGGTAGGAAAGGTGCGTTTGTGGCACTACTCTAGTATTCTTCCAACTGGACCTCATAGCTTCACGACGCACTCTGCTTTTCAGAAGTTTGCTGTATGGTGCATGCTTACACGTAAAGCCCACCACGACCGTCTTTTTTCCATCCATCTGGACGGATATCCAGCTGGGGAACGGTCTTGTAGGAAGGGTTTGGTCAATGTCCCGGTTGAGCGGTCGTATCTACGGGTCTCAAAATCCACGGTTCGCCCATATTCATTCGGCTCCCTCATTTTAACAGGTTCGTGATATATACAAAGTACTATCCATGGCCCCCATTCGACAATCGTTTCTCTTTCACAGATGGTGAATCTGGAGAAGGGCAGTCGCGCGATATCGGAAATATTAAGGTAGTCGCATCGGAATGCACCATGAGAGACCATCCGCTCTGTCCGCAGCCTGAGCGCTATTCCAAACTTCCTCCTATTGGTGTCGTCAATGAACGTTCCAAGAAAGCTTTGCAACATCAAGTCGAGTGGGTTCTCTTTTTCACCGAAGGGTCAATAACTGGAAGCGTCATAGATACGGAGCAGCTGAACAGCTTCCAAGATCAAAGTCCATCTATTACAACAAGCTGAAGAATGACGAATTGGAGATTTTCATATTCAGGTACAGATCTCTTGGTAAGAATCAAAGTTCTCATTTTCCGCCTCCACTAAACTGCAGCCTCCGCTCTGTCTCTCCGCCCCCACACAACAAAAAGCGATGCTGCAAGCAAATGGGATTGCACCCCTCGAGCCAATGCCGCTAACTTCGCAACAAGTCTTGCCGCCGCCACAGCCTTCAAGCTCAACTTGTAAACGCAAAGTCTCAACCATAAAACAAGAGGAAGAAATTAACGGCGAAATAGCGGGACGAGAGAAAGAGCTCGTTGTAAGCTTGTCCATTCATACAGCATGCCTGGTGATCTAATACTGCTCGCAGCTGGAGCTGGAGAAGATCAGGGCGCAGAAACGTGCTCGGCGAGATAGTGCAGGGCGTCAGACGGTCAAGCAGGAGCCACCACGCTTCTTTGTGCCTGGCGAAGTTATAGATTTGACTTAATTCAAACTCGCACGTACTCTCTGGTTTCCCTGACTTCATACCCCGGCGCGTCTTCGCTGTTATCCAGATCCTATGCCTTCCTGGATGGCAAACAGTTTGATGGAGTAAGGTCGTTTTTAGTAACCCATATATCTGTGAGTAACCCTATGACCACGCGTTAAAGTTACACGGATAGTATCTATATTTTCGGGTTAGATTACCTTTATTGTACAGTACAAATCATGAATACCAGCTGGGCACTGTCCAACGGAGGGCCCAGCTCTCGAGTCTGAAGGCGATAGCACCTCGATCACTGTCATTTTTTTGGGGTTGTACCACCCTCCCTCCCACAGCGTGACCGTGAGGGGATCTACATTGATATGATATCGATGGAGCACATATACCTCATGTACGCGACGGCTCATCTCTTCATCCCGTTAATACTAGCCACCCGCCCGAGTGCGCCAGACGACCAAACAAGCTTTGACAGCCATTACCCTCAGAACATCTGGCTGTGTCCGCTTACACCTTAACGAGGACAGCTCACACACCCCCTGAGTCCGTAATTAAATGCTACTCCGTCAGTCCGTCTTATTGGACTTCCAGAACAGCATATCCTGCCAGCGTCTATTCCCCCAGAGGTGTAAAGGTATGCAGTGGCGCCGTTGTCCGTCTTTTTGGGCTTCTAATTTCAAACTCAGGAATCCTTCTATAGGCGGCGCTTATCGAATCCTGACTCTTTAAAGGCCCCCTTGTCTTCCGTTTGCTTGCATTCGCGTCTCCTCTCCGCACCTCAGTAAACCTACCCATTCCGGCATTGCCTTTTTCGAGGAGGAATGGGAGCGCCGATGAAGAAATCTCTCCAAGAGGCCACAACACCGTATGCGTACTCTCCTTTACCGCTTGACGACAATAGTTCGTCGTTCCATCCATTTATTCATGCTGAACTATGCTCACTTCATTCTCTAGGATCTGACTTGCAGACGGAAACAGACACCCTGAATGAAGAAATCCAGGGAAATGACAAGGCGTCCATCGATAGCGCCGGCGCTTATCCAGTGAAATGCCCACAGTGCCCACCTACAGCCGCCGCCTTCACTCCCACGAATGTGCCCGGCACTCCATTCTTCGCGCTCGCCAATGCGAAAATCACCATCCACGCCCCCGACGGCATCAAGTCCCACTACATCGATGACAAGACGGTCGTTTGTGATATCGGGCCGCGTGGTTCGGTCACCGTATGTGCTGGAGGACCTAGTCCTGTCAACCCCGCGACCCTCTTCAATGCAGCGTACTCTCCCGAGGGCCTCCGTATTGGACCAGCATCGTGGGCGCAAAACGGTGGACATGGCTCCTTCAGTGAGCCGGGTGGTGATAGACGGGGATGGGGAGCGAAGGTGTCGGCGCTGGTGGGTACTGTTCAGTGTTGGTTCAAATCTTTCCTTCGACCGTCGTCTCACACCGGCATCGCTGCGCCTACCGAGATGTCGGAGACGAAGATAGTCTAGTGGATGAATTCGTTCTTGGCGTTCCCTTTTATCTCAGATGTCCCCTGCTTGTTATTTTCTGCCGTCCGTGATGAAAGCATTGGTGATAGTCACATCGTTTTGGCAGTTTTTTTGATCCCTTATTTCGTATCCGACTTGTCCGTCCATCGATAGCTATGACGCTCCGTTGACAGCTACCCAGGCTGCCGAATCGCCTCGTGCAATGATATGATTATTTATTATCTAAACACCTCATTTCAACGATCGTCTGGTGTGCAGACAGTAAATACTGCCGGCAAGGCATGTGGGGACACCTAAATCAAGATATAATTTCCTTTTTCGAGCATCTACCTGGCAGAGGCAGAAACCCAAATTGTATTCCAATGTCGCTCCGGGCTGAATATAAAGCGTGCAATCTCTTAGAGGCTTCTAACTAGTAGGTCGTCCACAGAAAACAAAACCCATACAAGCGTGGCTTCTGCTGGTACCAGTCTGGAACAAAACTCTTGTCTCGTCGTTTTTGAAATCAAATCTACGAATTCCAACCTCATCTTGTCAATCTATCTTCACTACCACCGTGCACACCTACTGTCCCTTTCGTTAACTCCCTTTCCAATCTTTCCAAAGTCTTACATGGGAGAAGCCACCTTCGTTCGAACATTTCTATCTTCAGAAGATAGTCTCTCATCATTCAATTCCCTATGCCTCTCCAATGACACAATATTCGAAACACCAACCACATATCTCCATCCACCCGGCACATACTCCCTCGAACTTCAATCGTCAGGCGACGACGATTTGGACAACGCATTATACCACGTCTCGATGATCTCAAGGATCCTGGAGATCATGGGCGACACGCACATGGGTACTTCATTCCGAGCCTACGATTTCTTACCTTCTGAGCCATCCCAAAATTCATCCTCCGTACCCTCCGTGCCCTCCGTCTCTCCTCCTATTCGGGTTCTTCCTGGGACGCAATCACCGAAGCTGCGTAGAAAGGCCGGTCAGCACAATCTCCGTGCTAGTTCCCTTCGGGACGGACACTACCTCAGGCCTCTCAGGTCCCACCCCTCGCCTGACACTATGAAGCCTTTCCCAGAGCTTCCTCCGCTCGTTGGCTACGAAACCGAGGCACCAGGCGCCCGCTCTCCTACGGCAAGGAACTCGAAGTATTCCACGTACCCGTATCGTGGACGTTCATCGCGATCGAGGGACCATTACTAGCTGCACCCATGCATTTGTTCCGACTACTTACACATATTCACAGCTCTTTAAATTTTCTTTCTTTCTTGGTTGTAGATCATATTTAGCACCTCTAAGGACGCTCGTACATATACGAATGGACGTTACTACTTGGCCTCATCATTCCATTACTACAGATACTTACCCAACTCACTTAATGTTATTACACTCTTTACTTGCAATCCATCTGCACCTCTCCTTGTGTTGCCCACTTCAATACGCCTAGAAATCGATCTCAAAGTTGTCAGGGATGGGTCCACAACCTCAAACACCCACAAACAGATCTCCTTCACCCTACCGGAGATGAAAACATGAAATAAAAATGCATTAGAAAGGAAAACGATGACGTGATACTAATACAGGATTGCAGGGATCGTACAAATGCGAGGGCGAATAGGCCAAGAGAAGAGAGGGTACGGGAAGGGAGGAGGTCTAAGGAAATAACACTTGGCATTCACCAGAGTTTACGGGTGGTGTTGAGGTTGGCTCTCATGCATTCGTTTACACCAGTACCTTTCGAAGACCTTCCTTCTGCGACGACGTTAGTGAGCTCGGGAACACGATCTCCCAATCAACGATCAGGTCGCCTTTGCTCTTCACCGCACCATCCTTCCGTATCGGCATGCCCTCTCCCGATATCGTCGTCGACTGGCCGGGCTTCACGATACCGTGGGGCACGGGTACTTGCAGCCGCCTTCCATCTAGGTGTTCTAGTTGCTTCGTAAATTTCATCACGCCTTGCGGAGCGCCAGCAAGAGCATCGACGAGCGACAGTTTGACGCGGGCATGGAGGTCGTTGCCTTCTCGTGTGAAGACTTCATGCGGCTTCTCCTCGACGACGAAGACGATGTCTTGAGCTTCTCCGGGACCAACTTCGTTGCCTGCCCGCGCGAAGCGGATCTTCGTTCCGCTCTTCCATCCAGGATGAATCTGGATGTCCAGTATCTTGTCTTCCGTCGAGCCGTCGAGCAGTTTCCGGCCGACCTTCAGGTGCTTGCTGGCACCGTTGTACAGCTCCTCTAGTGAGACTTTGAGTGGTTTGGTGATTTCGGAGGGCTTGGTAGATGATGTCCGCCCGGTGTTGCTGAATGTCGAGTTTTGTCGACTTTGAGAGGTCCGCGTGCGGGGCATCCCGCCAGGCATGCCACCTGACGAAAAGCTGAATCCGCCCATGTCGTCGTCGTCGGTGAACATGGTGCCACGCCGTGAGCTACTTCCCATGCCAGGCATGCCGCCTCCCATTCCAGGCATGCCGCCTCCCATTCCACCCATCCCTCCCATGCCGCCGAATAAGCCTCCTTGCCCGAAAATTTGTCTTAAATGACGTCAAGTCAATAACGGAAAGAATAAGAGATAAATGAATGAATAACTCACTCGAAGATCTTGTTCGGATCTGTAGGTGCGAATCCAGGACCGCCTCCGCTACTGAAACCTCCGGGGCCGCTTGTGAACGTATATGATGTGCCTCCACCCGGGAATCCGCTGAAGCCAGAGAAGCCAGCGCCTGGCGAAGGGCCGGCTCCGCCAGCGCCTCCACCCTTGAGGCCTTCTTCGCCGAACTGGTCGTAGATTGCACGCTTGTTGCTGTCGCTGAGGACCTCGAAAGCTTCAGAAACCTGGGAGAACTAGTGTGAAACAGTCGAATGGATGAATAAATATGACTCGACCTTACCTCTTTGAACTTCTTCGTGGCTTCTTCCGACCCAGCGTTACGGTCGGGATGCCATTTTAAGGCCTGAAACGAAGAACTGTAAGTGAAGTTGAGAGAAACCTTCTGTAAGACTCACCATCTTCTTGTACGCTTTCTTGATTTCATCGTCGGTCGCTTTCCTGTCGATGCCAAGGAGCTTATAGTAGTCTGCGCCCATCGCGTGTGTCGTGCAGTAAGGTATGTGTGAAGTGATGACTCGGAGTCGACGATATTTATTGATGAACGGGCATACTAGGTGATGCGCGAAAGACCGAGACTATTCTAGCAAGTACCACATGATGTCATCGCACGTGATTTGGCTTATTTAATCATTTCTCACGAGCAGGCGTTGCCAAAAATGTCACACAATCCGTTGGCTTGGCCGACGTCGTTCCCAGGTTCAACTACCCACTGCTTCCTTAACTAAGACTTCTGCTTCTCCGCATCGTCCATGGCGACGACGCAGAACGGCAGCAGCGCTCCCGACAACGATGTACACGCCGGCGTTGATAGCGAGGTCAACAGAGAGTCTCTCATTCGCAGGTCCTGGCATGCCGTATTCTCTCCTTTTTCCTCGACTGCACTTGCTTCTCTACCCAAACTTCGCCGGCCTCAACGCTACTTGCGCGCAGATGATATACCAGCAACGGACCCAAATGCTGAAGGCGAAAGGCCGACTGTTCGCGACTATCATTCTATCAACACAGTCCCCCCCAATGTTCGGGTGCCAAAGAAGATTGCGACGTCGGTGAAGGTGGAAGGGAAAGTTTGGTTTGCGAATGAGAGAAGTAAGTCCAGGATTCTATGTTTTCATCGCCATACGGCCCTCGAGACTCTCTTCTTCTATGAGGCCCTTAATTGTACCGATCTGAGGGCAAAGGCGAAGCCTATGAGCAGCCTCGAAACTTGTGGTTTGCTCGGGTTGCTGTTGACACGCCGTTCCGTGTGATGGAACTGAACATCGTCGAAACACGAAACGAGGAGGAGTCCATCATTGCGAAGTCCGCCGTTGTATCTACAGTCATTCACCAATTCGTTACAGCATGGATAGCATGGTTGAACATCTCAGTTCTCCTCGCAGCGCTCGCGCTCGGTCTCTTCAATGCCTCGAAGGACGATATTGCTCGCCAGTTCGCATACGTTTACGCTTTTATCAGCGTTTGCGTTCTGGTGTACGGCTATTCGATATACCAACATCGTATCAGTATGATTCGTCGGAGGGATCCAGGGCATTTTGGTTCGTCCACTTTCCCGGCGGCTGCTCCTCTTCTTCGTTAACCCATACACCCAAGATGCTCTCGCTGGTCCTATCATCCTCAGCATTGCTCTCTTCATCGCCGTGCTCGCCAATTTCGTTATTCGAGGTATGCCGCGTGCCTTTAGCAGACTATTCCGAGTTGCTCACGGTCGCATGTTCGCATGGTTGTCTGTTCAGTACGCGAGCTGTAAGTTTGCCTCATTTTTTTTCTTCCAGACAGTGCCTGACCCACGTTCGTTCACCCTATTTTTAGACAGAAGCGAGATATCCCTATTCCGGGCTCTGATCTCTTGGCTTACTTCTTGGAAAAAGCCCGTTTTGACAACTTCTCCTATCCAACGACACACCAACAACTCTAGTGACGGGCAACATACGGACAATTTGATTGGTAGGGTGAATGTAACTCCATGGACGAGAGTCAAGAGACACACATAGACAAAGGGACTATAATACGCTTCGAATGTTTCAGTGCGCCTATTCATTTTTCTCCTTTCTTCCTCCGTTTTGCTTTCTACACACTCGCACGACCTTTCAACATCATTTGTAACGACCACGTTATGATCTTCTTGTCGCTTTCTAGATTTTGAATGCCCCCAATGTTTCTAAAATATATTTAAGATCTAGCCCAAGATGAACACGTTATTTTTCAGCAAAGGGAACGACGCAGACGCCGGCGTCATTCTCTCCTTCCTCGCCAGCGACACCCTTCTCCTTAATCTTCTTCAGCACCTCGATCCTCTTCTTCGTCCAATCGTACATGTCGCCAGGCCGACACGGCAACTTGTTCACCAACCCAGCTTCTTCGAGGTCCACCACAGCACGTATGACGTATGCCTCACACGTCCATATGAACAGCCCACTGGGGTCACGGCCATTGCGCGTTGGAGGCAGTGTTTTGAGATACGCGTCGAGCGTGTCCAAACTATGGTCGTCCAAGTTCAAGCCTGAACCACCTTCCTGCCGTCCTGCTTTTGAGCCCGAATTCTTGTCGGCCACGTCGCCGAAACAAATCACGCCGACCAAGTCGCCCAGTGCCTTCAGCTCGCACACTTCATGTCCCAGGGTCCACACACCGTTCCGCCCGCGGATGTGGTACACGCGTACGTCGGACGCAGAGAATGTAGTTGGGTGGAGGACAAGTGCCCAGTGCGGAGCCCGCGGGCGGTTACGTCGTGCATCTACTTGGGCGTAGATTGCTATGCCTGCTCTGAGCCCGGTTACCGGGGGTGGTGGTGCTTGTGGTAGACCAGTCGTGATTAGAGAGGATGACATTGTTAGTGGGTGGTCCTCGAAGACGATCAAGTGGCAGTTGGTCGAGTGGTAGGTGATGGCGTTGATCGGCGGGCTTGCGATCGCGTGCCATTAAATAGTAATGCCATCGGGTCCGTGCCTGCGCGGGCCACGATTCGGGCACCGCCCACTGCGCCCTCTTGCATTGTTGGTCGGATAAGGCCTCTGTTTGGGCATTGTCGTCTTATCTGATGCCTCAAAATGGACAAGCGGTATCAACTGGCGAGATCGTGATCTGGTTAGCCGGATGAGGAAAGTGGCCCAACTAGTGGGTGCTGACGGGATTGTTGTGTGGCAGTTGTTGGGGTGTTATATCAGGAGGCATCATATTGGGTGAAGCTCATTCCCGTTCATTTGGGAAAAATCAAACACAAGTATGTGCAGATGAGATATGCAAAGGAAGAATGGACAAGATATGGCAAGTTATTTCAAGTACGGTCCTACAGAGAACGGAGCACTGATGGGCAGAACTAAGCACGAAGGTTAAGAATAGGCAACGGCGCCTGCTGGGTCCTCGGGACTTCCCTGAGAGTCTTTAACCTCCAGAAGATATAGTCATACAGCTGGTTAATTGGGCACGGCAAACCCAAGGAGACCGGGTTCATTCTGTAAAGCGAGGGCGGCATCGTCCTCCCAGTTTGCAAATAGTACAGGACCCTGATCACCCATGCAGCACAGGACCACACTATGTTCCCACTAGGATCGTCGCCCTCTTTCATGCTGGAGAAAGTCTGCGCAAACTCGGCGATGGTCGCAGGAGAGGTGCCACTGGCCAGAGGGACGTCGGCGACGTGGAGGACCCCGATGCAAGTCGGGGCGGCGGTGAGCGAGACGCCCTCGACCTTGTGCGCGAGGAACCACTGCGGGCCGTTTTGGCGCACTTGGAATGCGAGCACGTCTGGTGCGTTGTAAGAGGAACGGTGCACGACGAGCGTCCAGTGGGGGCTGGAAGGACGACCGCGATAGTCTTTTTGGGCGTAGAAGGCGATGCCGATCTTGTATGACATGGTGAGGATGAAGGATGTATTGGTGTTGAGCGGGATGCACTCTCTGTAGAGGGAGAAGTCAGGGCGGAATACTGAAATGTAGTCGGAGGACTTACTTTTGTCAAGATGAAGGGCGTTACGAGGAGCGAGTCTAGTAAAATCAGGCAGATTTTATACCTCCCGCATGAGCCACCCGTCTTTGGGGATGAGGCGGGCCACAACATACACGAGGCCACAGAAACGGGCAATCCATCTCGAGCTCTTTGACACCAAGCGGGACGACACCTTCGCATGGTTCGTCCATGTGCGCGTGGCCCGGAACGGGAAGACGGATTTCCTAAAGGAGACAACTTGTGGCTTTCCAAGTGCGTTGAGATCAAAGCACAAAGGTTCCGGCGCTCGCTTAGTTCATACGCCTGGCGAAGTGGCTTTGCCTGACGAAGAGAACAATGCCGCTGCTGGGTAAGGAATCAGAATTAAAGTGAAATCCAGTTTCGAAACATTCGGTACCAAAGTGGGTCGAAGTCAGTACTAGCTCGCTCCAAGCCCGCGAGGGGCGAGCCTGTGTCAAAAGGTAACGACAATCTATACAAGCACGGTAGGCTAAGAGACACACAGAATACAAATCAATAGTCTATGTAACAAACTATATCTAGAGACAGCAATCAGGAAGACGACGCAAGGAATCTAATCAGAGGTATGTCTCTACATCTACAACCAAGCGTTATATCTATTCTATGAAATAGAGCAGAAGGAATACTAATCAATAACTGGAAAACCGATATATAGGCAGAAATACTGAAGGCTTGATAGGGCGACTGAAAATCTAGACGTGAGAGGAAAGATTGAATGAGGACGGCCGGAATATACGAGCGAGTTGGCTCACCTGAACACAAGCACGCTGATATCTGCAACTCCAGGATTTAAGTTCCATTGGAAAATGGGACGAGCGGGAACCGGTTTGCCGCCCGCTTTCCATGCAACAACGGGACGAGATTATTCATAATATGCCCGTGTATTTCGCTATCCGCCCACCGTAACTGGAATGGGACAAGCTGCCGAAGCTGTTGCAAAGTGCGAATAACCCACGCCGCGGATCCCCAAGCTCTACCACTTGGGTTGTAGTTGTGTTCGTCGGGTGAGTAGGACCTCACCGTTGCGACAATAGTGTTGTACAAATTGTCAGCAACGGAGGCAACTTCCACAATGCCAAAGATTTGTGCTAAATTGACTGGGCCACCAGACACCCGGTAAGCTTGCGCCTGGTTGTCGTAGTAGTGTTGGAACAGCGGAGCAGTTCCGTGCGGCGAGAGGTTCGAGTTCAAGTAGACAACGAACCCCCAATCGTAGTTGTTGTTTCCTCTGTCGATTAATGCGATACCGATTCTCGTATTAGACATCGCGTCGGGGGAAGTTGGACAGATGATGAATGGAATGACCGAGGCTGAACGCTGAAGGGGAGTGCTGGTGTACCGCAGAGGTTGGTACGGCAGTTTTATGGTCTAAACGAGCAGAGCACCGTCCACTTTATACCTTCGAGCCCAGGACCGTTATCTCCTCTCACTGCACACACACGACTTCACACGGGCATCGCAGTTTTCCAGATGGAGCGAAGGGCGTCTGGGCACACCATTAGGCGCCCGCGGTGGTCACCGTGTCTGCCGGTGACCGCCAGCCTTCGGGCCTTCAACGGGCAATTCTTCCCTCATCCTAGGTAATAGGGAACGACGCGGGCACACTTTGGTCAGGAGAAATGCAAGGATAGGCCGTTTATTAATTAAAAGATAGCCCACATAAGTGGAAACCGGTCACTTTGGCATCAGCCGGGCCGACCTCGTGGTACTAATTTAGTAACCTTATGACGACAAAAGGACAATCGACGGTCCTACGGGCGCCTGGGTTGCCTTTTGCAGCACAACGCCTCTGCCCGTGGATCACACTTACGATGGGCACTAGAAGAGCCCTCGCCTTGGTTGACGCGTCCTTGTGTACGATCCGTGCTGCTCGGGAGCGTGCTAAAAAAGGTGTGCACGGGCGATGCATTTTTTCTTCTGCTCGAGACTTTCATTTTTTCTCTGAATTTTCATTTTAGGAAAATTCCTCGGAGCACTCTGTCGAACATGGATCTCATAGCTTCAAGTAAGAAATCATAGCAATAGGTGCATAACAACATAGCATTATAGGCCTAGATGACGCCGAACCCGCCCAGCTTCCTCCTACGGGTTTGAAACAGTTGCGCTCGGTCATACCATCTTCGTATCCCATTCTGGATCTAGAGGAATAATTCGCACTCTTCCCGCTTTGTTTGGCATAGCTTTGAGTACCTCTATCCGCTCCCTTGCATTCATGTAAATATCACGGCACCTCCACGGTAACCTAAACCGGACGTTGGTGTTGTCGCGCAGGTAGTAGATAACGCGCAGGGCCCAGGCCGTCCTGCCCCAGATCATCATCGCCGGATTCCATCCGTCCCTCTCTGCCGGGCATTCAAGAGCAATGATTTTATGCAGTGCGTCGATGGGGATGGAGACGGACAAATCGTCAATATGCAGCACACCGATCAGGTTGGGAATATTCTCGAGGGTACACGTTTCATGTCTGCGGGTCCATTTAAAGCCATTCGGAGGTTCGCTATCTTCCATCCAATAGACTTCGCAAGGACCGTCAGGTTTCTTGTATTTCCCTCGGTGAACAAGGACTGCCCAACGCGGCGTGCGGTCGTCTTCCGCTTGGGTAATAACGAAACCCAGTTTGAGCGTCATGCTAGAGGCGGGCTGTAACGTGAGCTTCGTTAGGACCGCCTGGACCGGGAAAAGGACTGATGCCACTTACTTTAGAGCGTACGGAGAAGAGAGTTTGTTTGGCTGTTCTGCCCGCAACCCTCTCGTTTTATAGCCTGAGGAACACACAAAGCTCTTTTCACCGGTTATTCTTGGGCCACCGTTTCAACGCTTTGACCTCTAGGTATTATCCTGTTTCGACGACGCCTGGACGAGTGCTTAGAGCTCTGTGCTTAGACGTAGTACCCAAAGATAGGTCTGGCGTGATGTCATCATGATCGTCAAAGCGCATGCCGGCGGAACAGCGTCACGAGGCTGTGCGATCTTGCGGGGATCAAAGGAGAGTAGTACCTTCAGAAGGTGCGTTTACTTCACGACGTTTGGTCGACAGTCTACACCCTGGGTTTTCTCCATTGAGGTTCGAGGTTTCCATCCTGACATCCGATGTGTTTTGCAGAGGTTTGAAGAAGAGGGTTGGCCCAGGTGCTTTTGAAAATGCCGCAGTCTAGATGGGCTTGGGTTGGGCCCGTATGATCATACGACCAACCTCATGTAGAGAGCATGGCTTGAGAAGACAAGAACGATCGAGGACTGGGCAATAGTCCCGGTCATTTCCATCCAAAGTTTCGAGCTGGGAGGACGATAGCCCGTAGAGCGGGTGGAAGGAATTTGATCAAGCTCAAGCATAAGACCGAGAAGTTCGGGCTCAACAGGCTCCTCCATGGTGAGTGTCATATCCTTTTCCAGATGTCAAATTTTGGTTGATTGCTCTGTCGTTTGTGTGGCGTCACTGCGCATTGCACCCAGAGCGTTCCATTTGTCCACGAGACCACCAGAAGGTTGAAGCCCAAGAACAGTCAGCAACCAAGGCGCCAATGAGACGATTCCCAGAATAGAAGTGTGATAAGAAGCTACGTATACTACAGAGTATCAATACAAAAACCAACAACGAGAAGTTACAAGAACGACTAGGAAGCTGTAATATATTCGCCAAGCCTGCGTGCGGGGCAGCTAGTGCGTCGCGTCGCCCTCACCCAGCCCCCACATCAAAGATCGTGTCAATGTTGCAGTGTCAGAGACGGACTACAGGCACACCCACGCCGCCACCACCCCACACCCTTCGAATGTCATCGTCGCTCCCACTGCCGCTGCTGCTCGACTCCAACGCAGCTGCGCGCACACCCTCGAGCACCCCTATTCGATCCATGGCATGGTCGTACACCTCTTGGATCGCACACGGTAGCTGGACCATATCCCTCGCCGCCATGCTCGTCAGGACATACACCACCCACGCAGCAGTCGACCAGCCCTTGATCACGCGTCTGCTGCGCCCGTCGAGGTTTGAGGTTGGGGGGAACGCGCGAAGGTACGTGTTCACCATCGGCAACTCGTTTGGGATGGTGGCAACATGTAGGACGCCTAGGAGCGTGCCCAGCCCGAGTCGGGGGTCTGTCAACCGCGCTGTGTGGTGGCGCAGTGTCCAAGCAGTAGCTCGGGCATAGGGGGAAGAAGTTGGGGTAAGTTTGACGAAGTGGATGCGGACGTCGTGGTCGGAGGGGTGGAAGCGCTTCGGATGAAGGACAAGCGCCCAGCATAATGTCTGGAGTTTATTTGATGAATTCGGCTTCTGGCTGTAAAGCGCGATTCCGATGACTGTCATTCGAGTTCAGTTCTGGTAAAGGTAGATAAGTGTCTGTAGAGACATCCATGAGCATTGGGAACATAAGAAATGTGGAAACTTACTGATGGGTGGCTTTGACAAAGACGCCTCCTAGTTGCTATAGAGTGGGAGCGTTCTTGAAAAGAGAAGACATCAAGGTGCCCCTTATATACATCCAGCATATTCATTTACCCCACATCCCCGCAGACCAATCAGCCTTCAGGAACCTCCTTAGCGCGATCAACGAATTCAACAAATGATGTCTAATCGTCTAAGTGAACGTTGCAGGATTCATCAGTCCCGATAAGTCGACACAGAAGCATCATGTCCAAAGTGTGATCAATATCATACTCTGTGAGCGTAGGCCGGGAAGCGTGAGCTCGACCGTCTTGGACTGGGGCCGGCCATCGCCTCCATCGCCGCCTGTTCTGATTTCGAGATAAGGAAGACGAATGAGGGTGCTTCTCCGCAGGTGGCTTGGTGGTCCATGAGAGAAGGGGACTATTTGCGGGACGAAGAGTGAAATACAAGGGAATGATATGAAGGAAGACCCAGAGCAGGCACATCACACTGATCACAGTAGAAGAAGCGATATCTAAGCGAGCTGAATATGTCAAGAATCCCCAAATGGTAGCAAATGTCGGACATAACGTACCTCAGGCGAAAGCAGCTGACGCTCGGTATCTGGAGCTAGAAAAGGCTGTGGAACAACTCCATGTGGCCTTTAGTGACAAGAGAGAGAGAGCAAGGAAACCGAGGGAGGAATTAGCAAGCAACTCACTCATGGACTCACTTTCACGTCATCGCTTGCGACTCTGCCCTTGATAAGCGCCGGTGCATACCCCTCAGTCCTCTCGGAGATAGGCATCTTCTGAATCTCCTGCCCGTCTTCGACGAGGGTCGAACGTCCTGAGCCCGCATGCGACAATACCCATTGGCTCTTACAGCATCTCCAGTTCCCTCGGTGTTTTTAGGCCAGAGTCCTCGACGTACTAGTTGTTTCTTGGCCACAGCTTTGAGAGCCGCAATGGGGGCATTGAGCGCATAGCGCATCCTCATCCTAGGTCCATGTCCCAGCCTAGTGAGCCTTGCCATTGCGAAAACCGAAGGCGAGCTGCACCCTCTGCTCCATTTTGAATTGCAGGGGCTGGGTCGTCGGTGCATATCACATAGAAAGGGCGTCAAAAGTAAGGTGTATGCCTAGGTTTGACTCGGCTTGATGGTGCGACTGTGGAGTTGAAGACGGAAGATGCGGGACAGGTGTTGAAGTTCTACGAGCATTCAAGGGCTTAAAAGAGTATCGTTCCATGAGCGTTCAAACTCTCATGTATGATCTACAGGGTTCGATAGGTTATCGGTGTCAAAACAATGGACAGTAAACTCACTGGTGTTCCTTTGCCATCAGGTCCTCCACGGCACTCCTACAAAAGGGTGGTGTCCATACCCCAAACTTCTCTCTAATTCTCCTCTCCGCCCTCCAGAACCCGCTCGAAAAGCCTGGTCCTCCAGCTTCCCGTCCTAATAGCTTCGTTCTTGCTATCGGACAGACGCATCTAAGTGCATAAGGTTTGCGGAAGGCGAAAGATTTACCATCGACTGTCCAATGGTATGACATAAATGACATTCAGAAACAGGGAAAACGAGGGGCATGGTCCAAGAGCTCAACCAGTCTGGTAATATGCAATGTTAATCGTTCGTTAAGGGGCCTCTGAGAAAGAACGAGCAGGCGTACCATATGAGAAGGTGCTGGTCAAACGACTCAAAAAAGGCATGGTATCGCTCCATATGTGTTCTGAGGTGCTCTGGCAAAAAAAAAAAAAAAAGCTTATTATGCACTGGAATTGAAACGAGAATAGACAAGGTTCTGAACTTACATACCTATGTGCTTTCCTTGCCTCGCTTTCAACAAACCGCCCGACAAGCACTGCGTCCCATCTGGGTACGCGGTGACTGGCTGCCGTACGTGGTCTTGTTGATATAGCTCGAGCTTCATGCACAGAGGTGACAGGCGACCAACGCGATCGCGTTGTCCTCCTCTTCCAAGAACATTGACGATGCCTTTGAAAGTCACTAATAGTATCACCGAGTGGGTAGAGAAGAAGTTGGGTGTTGGATTGGTCTTCAAGCTTCAGACGGTGTTAGTTTCGTCGTGATGGTGATGGTAGGTGAAGGACTTATAAGCGGTTCTTACTCGGTCGAAGCTCGCGAAGCTAGTGCTCGGGGACCTCGGACAGGAGTTTTTCGACGGAAAGAAAAACGATATCACTTCTGCATTCAGACCTCTTAGGGTATTCCTAAATAATCAGATGAATAAATAGGAACGAACAAATGATACTTAGAGGGCGATATCACAGTACTCCAACACAGGACTCGCAAACTTGAACAGCTTCACAACCCAATCTAAAGCTGGAACGCAACCGGCCTCGCGATCGTGAACTCGAAGGGTGCACAAAGGGAACGTAGCAGAATTCCAGTCAAATGCAGCGCCGAGGGCACGGTATTCAGAACAATGTATGATACAGATTCATATGTGCTCTAACAGAAAAGTAAAACAACAGTTAGAAAGGAACGGATCCAAGGGCTCACCCACCTATGTGATTCCACCGCCTTATTCTGGACTAACCACCTCATCCACGCAGGTGCCCATCCTTCAATCCTCTCCGACACCCTCGTCTTCTCCTCTCCGTCTTCAACCACCCTCTCAAAAGTTCTTAGTTTCCAGACAGCAATCCCAGTCGATTCGGCGACAGACTCGTACAGGACATCAACTTGCTCTGGCGTCTCCGAGCTTCCAACGCCACTTGGGCGGGGTGAGGGTGGTTGTGATGCAGGGAAGACAGAGTCGTCCCAAGAAATCGTGCCGGAGAGGCGCACCGTGCTGTTGAATAACCCGAAGAGGATCGGGACGCCTTCCTCCAACTTGAAGTGCCGGCGTGTTATCTTGGGACCTTCCCGTACGCCCGGATGTCCCGCTGGGACGTCAGACGCCGACGTCTCTCAGCTGTATTCCATCTGGGTATGAAGCGACAGGTAGCTGGACATAGTCTTTCTCCAACAGCTCGAACATCTTGCAGAGCACGGAGAGGCGAGCGACGGGTTCATGTGCGTCACCTCTTCCCAGAACGCCGAAGGCGTTGTTGATTGGGACTGGCAGTATGACAGAGTACAAAGAGAAGAAATTCGGTGGTGGGTCGGTTTTGGCTGGTGACGAGGCGAGCGGTTTCGACATGACGGTGTTGGATACAAACCTGCCCAGCCACCTGACGGTTAGAGCACGGCGATCTCGGTCTTGCCGAAAGGTGACGGACTTGGGTATACTACGTAATTGGAAAGCCAGTCTCAACTTTCAAGGAAATTTGAAAGCATCAGAGCGTCCGGACTCCATTATATACAAAGCAGAAAAAATCGCCATATTTGTAGACGAAATAAATATTGAAGCGCACAGTCTGGGAGATTAGAAAATATAACTAAGAGAAGATGCCTGAGCTCTTGATGATGCCACGCCAGCTTTTGAACACGTATGATGAGTAGAGTTCGACTTCGTTTAACGAAGATTTCAGGTTTGATGAGGTCTCGAGGAGGGAGTCGAGGAATGCATATGCGGTCGTTGGTGACGTTAGTTGGTGAAGTTCTACAGTTATAATACTGTCAGCGTGGAAGATAGGATAGAAAAAAAAGAGTAATGCGTACCTGCAGCAACATAAACGGTAGCCAGAGATGCTCGACGAGCATACCATTCGAGCTGAAAAGCAGTGAGCTCCTGCTAACATCAGGATACGACAATAGCTCACCTGAAGTGATCGATCTCCAGTGACCGAGCATGCTTCATCAGCAATAGTGGCTGCGTGTTTAAACGCTGGTAATGGGTCTAGAAGATGTATTCCTGAGGATGGGGTGACAAGGAGGGCAAATGCCTGAACAAGGGTCAGCGTATGCAATAATAAGGAAGACTGGCAAAACACACCTCCGGAAGGAGAGAAACCACAGGTTCGTTATATTCCAGACGCGCCCGTAAGACTTCTCTCAGAGTCGGACTTCTTCCTGAACCCTCCGTTGGAGCAGAACCTGACGCGCCATCTGTCGCGAGTTTCCCGTCCCGTTCTACTTTCCTAACTGTCCTCATATGCACCAAGCCATCCTCCAGCCACGCGTCGATCAATGCCCTCCGAGCAGCATCTCCGTGTCCAAACAAGGCCGATACGGCGGTATCTGATAGCGGCTCGCCGTGGGCTTCATTCGGGGGTAGATAAAGCACGGAATGTGCAAGTGCTTCTCGTGTGAAGCCGTGCGTTTGTACCAGAGGTAAAGCAAGTCTGAGAAGACGTGTACTGGATTGTATTCAGCGATAAAATGCGTGTTATCTTTGAAAGAAAACAGACCTGGAAGAAGCTGACATTATGGAAGGCTGTTGAGGCTGGAATTTCGGGCGCAGAGCGAAAGCCGTGACTTGTCGGAGATTGCCGAAGCGGGTGTGGAAAACCCTGAACCCGATCTTGTCGAAACTGATAACTTGCACAAAAGCATTCATCTCATCGCTCCCTTTCTGCTCGTCGACGAACTTAGAGGTCTTCTAAGGGCAGAAACACTGTGACCAACATGTCAGACTGGGGTAGTGTTTCTCTTCTTGATTGCGTCTTTGCTCATGGAATCGCTCACGAAGGACCGCTTGGACCCTGCTGACCAACAGAAGAGTCATCTAGCGAGGAGGAGGTCGCGAAAGGAAAGCCTTCGGTTCCGGTACAAGCGAACCAAGCGCCTGCGAAGCCTGCACCACCTCCGGTTAAGAAGGTCACGAAGAAGTGGGAGGGTGAAGACGAGGAAGAGGAAGCCCCAGTGGTGCGTACCAACCTATCGCAAATACTTTCAAAATCGATTTAAGTAGATAATTATGTCTACAGAGTGACTGGGAGGAGTCTTCGGAAGAAGAGTCAGAAGAAGAGGTGAAACCCGCACCTGTCGCGCCTCCCAAGAAAAAGGGTACCCTGAAAGCAAAACTCGCTGAGAAGGAGGCCCAAAAAGCAGCAGCCACGAACGGAGACGACTCGGAAGACTACGATTCTGACGCGGTTCTTGATCCTCGGGAAAAGGCTCGCAGAGACAAGGAACGTGAGCTCAAATCCGACCTGAACAACGCCGCCGATCTGCTTGGTTCAGCCGCGCTGGGAGGAACCTCATCCTCCGAGCTCGACTCGCTGCTCTCTGCACAACCGCGCACGAAGGAGGACTTTCACAAGCTTTCGGACCGCATCATCGAGTTCGTGATCAAGCGACACCAATCGAAGCCTCTATACCCTGCCTTCATTGAGTACCACGCACGTGCGCTCGCGATTCCGCTCAAGGACGTCGAGGTGCGCAAGGTCGCGTCCGGCCTAACGGCTTTGGCGAATGAGAAGCAGAAGGAGCAACGGGAAAAGGCGAGCGGGAAGAAGAAGCCCAAGGCGACGGGGAAGCCGGTGTTGGGCAGCTCGAAGGTGTCCGCAAAGTATGAAGCCTTTTTCTTCATTGTATAATTGCTGTGTGCTGACGTTATTGTTTTCTCGCAGACTCGATGTCGCTGTGTATGATGAGCCATTGGATGATTTCGGCAGCAACGCTGACGATTTCATGTAACGCGTTGGCGATGCGTTCTTGTTTTTATTGCGGAACGACGCGGCAGCTAAGTGCTAGCTGTCATGGTTGCCAGTTGTGTCTTCGAGGTTCCTCTACTTTCGTTCCAATTTATTTCTTTGTTCTTGTTATCTGTGGGCGATTGGAAGTCTCAGCCATAACAGTGACGTCGCATTTATTTCAATCATCCACCACTTTGTTCTTTAGTGCAACCGCCGACTTCGAAAGAACAAGGTAACAAGTGTTCACTCTATGCTTCACTTTGGTATTTCCTCGACCAGTCTGGGACAATGTGAGAAAGACTTTGTGGCTGGGAATGATCGAGAGTTGCGCTCTTGCCTTGTTCTTTTTGTCACGAAAACGATTATTTAAACTAGAGCACCCTGGGATCTCGGTCAATGAGCCGGGGACACCGCCCCGGCTCTCCTTGGCCTGATATTTAGTAATGCAAGTCCGGACTGAACCTTATCTACTTATACTTGCACTTTACCCTAGCCCTGAATCCCTAGGCGACGAGGAAGGAGAGGAATCGGGTATTAGGGCATGCAAGGTTTTCTGTGGGTCCTTTGGCGTCTGAATCTTCCGGATGCATATGATGACCGGTCGAGGACAGCCTCTGCTAGATCGAGAGTTTGCACCTCGACATCGACGTTTTCTACTTATCAGCGCGGTCACCCGCAAAGCGTCAAACGGAAGCGTCCTCGTACGTGGCGTGCCGTTCGATGGCTGCATTCAGAGAAACCTGCCCATCACAGGGCGGAGAGCTCTTGGTTTACACGCGCAGTGGACTTCGTCCGACCTTTGCCAAATTACACCCGGCGACCGTGAGCTGGAAAAAGGATCTGAAAGACATGATTATCCCCCGCCACCGCCGTGCACAAAAGGAGTTTCGAGAGAGGGCCGATAAGATGGAATGGAATCAGTCATGGCGCATCATACCAGGGAATCAGTACTCGGCCTAACCCGAATTTTGCAACCCCGTGAAGCTGTTCAGGGTACCATAGCCCAAATCTGGGCGCCATTTCGAATCCAATCATTAATGAGCTACGACTCCGAGAGTCCGAGTCGGGGTGCGCACAAGCCAACCTCGGATGACGGAGATTGCTCCGAGAGGCAGTAGTACCATGGATAGCTAGGATCTGAAACTGACATATTCTGACAATTATCTCCCTGAGATTTATCCTGACCTTAACCCTTGTTAATGCGTTTCCGTTACCTGTTGCCCTTCCGCTCCGAAGGTATCCCGATTTGGATGGGATTAAGCGCCCGTGGCCGCCACACTTGTGAGGCTCGATATGAGAGCCTGACGAGCTTCTACCTACCATATGTCCCCAGAATGACACCGCTTTGAGACTAATACTCTTTCTGAACTGCCTCTCATACATGTCTACCTTGTCAAAGTCGTTACAAATGTGAGGGGGCTCGCGACAAATAAGAGCAAATAACGCGATTGTCACGCAACGGATGTACTGTGACGCGACGCTCCTTGTTCCCTCTTTGTCACTACCGTCCCAAGAAATGCCCCTTTATATTCATGAATACAATTTCTCAGAATGAAACTTGGGGAGAAACCGGTTTTTGGGTCAGACTTTCCAAAGCAGCGGCGGCCATCTCGCTCTCGCGTTCTTGTGGCGAAAATCTCGTAACACACAAAAGGCATCCTTGGGCATGTGCCATCAAGCCTCGCACAATGGTTCGCGACGCGGATCGGCTCTCTCGTTAGATCGTCGGGCACTGCCTTGGATCTTCCCTGGATTCGATCCATCCTAGTCTCCATAGTTGACCTCCTTTGTGGGCGACTGTACGTACACCTTTGATCTCAGCATTTTCTATCGCGATGTTCGGTCTTCGCGTGGCGAAGAAGCAGGGGATTTCTCCTTGCGCTACTCAAGGCTTGCGGAGACAGGCTTCCTCAACTGGAAAGGTTGGCTGCTTGAGTCGTACTTACCCCGCGTGTCTATCCTCACACGAGACTCGGAGCGTCTGCGACCGCTCGAAGATGCACGTCGCGCTCTCGAGCGCCTTGTTCTTGTTCTCGTTGTCAAGCTACGCTGATAAAACACGTATAAAAGCTTTTCATTTCCACCACGCTGAACGCTCCCTATCCTCTTTTTCATCCTCTCGTCTTTATCTTTGTCCCTCCTGCCAAACGGTTCCCAGCGGGCATCCCATGTTTGAGACAAATATGGATCTGTCAAAACGACGCCCACGGTCCTACTGGGCTGTTAGCACGCCTGCGCGTTCCCTGCCGGACTCCTTGATTACCATATTCTGCAATGTTACTGAAGCCACACGACGAATGACTCAAGAGTTGCTCAGGGTTTCCCATGCATCTGGTGCTCAAGTTAGGGCGATGCAGGCGCCTTGATGAGAATAAAAGGTGAGTTTAGGGCTCTTCTCATTCTGCAGCAAACCCTAACATGTTCTTTACCCGCGCTTCACAATGTACGTGCCCGTTATTGAACTCAGTGGCGTTCTGTGCTGACACTTTAAATAGCGACGCCATCCAAGCGTTATTCACCCGGGAAACTAGCGATGCCGTCACCTGTCTATGTCGAGGTTATCCTCTACGTGCCACCACTCGCTTTGATTGAGAGCCCACCGCGCGCCGCCATCGCACTCCATAAGCTCTCACACTATCGCGGCGAGGGCGACACCACCCTCTTCGACGATCCCGGAGCAGGCGTCCAAAGCCTGTGCAGTGGCAACATCATTCTGCCCCGATCCCTCGTCAACATCGACGGGCGATGGCGCCTACACATTCCGACACTCGGACACACGTCCTTTGAAGGTGTCTACGCGCTTTTGACGAACCTCCCAAAAGTCGACGAGAACATCAACCCCGGCGGGATGTTCCCGTGGACTTTTGGGAACTACGTCCGGCGCTTTTTGCGCGAATTGGACGATAGTGGCGTCCTTGCCACTCCAGGGCTACTGACAGCCGACCAATTTTACGAGCAGTTTCTGGCCCAGAAATTGGGAAGTGGACGCACGTAGCCAGCTCCATTAGACTCGTTGCCATCCTGTTGCTCTATCACCTCTGCTCGTTATCAGCATGTACTATTCCTTTCCGTCTCCACCATTTCCACCCCCGTCTATTTATGTCGCATATTGATCTGAATCTTATTTCCTCTCGATTTCGGCAGAACACCTCTCACTCATTTATTTGGTATTGATAGAATATGATCACCCATAGCCCTGCCTCGTATTCAAATAAGAAAGTAAAGCCAGTTCAGCCGATCATAGTTCCTCTCCGACGTTTTCTATTATGATCCCAGTGCGGGGGCACTCTCAGAGAACTCGTATATGATATTTGATACAGGTAGTAGAGACTACATAGTGAAAAGGAATGGCTACAAATAATAGACAATGTCAGCAATGTGCTGAGAAGGGCTGTTAGGAACAAAGTACACGAACTGGTAGATACTACGAGTGGGATATATTTCGCGAGGTGAGATACCTGTAATAGTAATAAGAGGAAAGAGGGTGAGCCACAGGGATCTCTAACTACATTTTTTATGAAAGACCGTTGAATAAATATGGCGTTTATTTATATGAAATCAGTAACAACGGCGTCTCGATAGGCACCGTGAGTTTCAGAAGGCGCCGTCCCCAAGGTCCCCCTTGAGGTACCTATCATAAAACTCGTCGGAGTGGTAGGGCCCCACTTGGAGGAGATACTCCTTCTCCATTGCCCGAAGGAATCGCTTGACATAATTACCGAACGTCCAGCGAAACATGCCTCCGGGGTTAATTCTCTGGTCGACCTTGGGTAAGTCGCGGAGAACACGTCGAATGTGGTTCACAGTGGTGTCTGCCGTGATGGGTATTTCCACCGACCACTCTAAATCGACGCTGGTGCACGTACGCTCCGGGATGGTGCGCTCAGTGGCGTTGGGTATGACCTGCCCTGGATCTTCGTAAAGATAGTAGGCGAGGTGCATCCTGGGGTCGTGCATGACGATCCCAGCTCGAAGCGGAACATCAGGAAGCGCCTGCTTCGGGCGGAAGAAGGCAATTTCGAGGATCGCTTTAGACATTATTGTAGGGAGGGGGATTGGTTTCGAGGGTTCCTGTTGAAGAACATCAGCATGGAGCTCTCCAGGAGAAGGGAAAAGGGCAAACTCGGGGGAAATGATGGAAATCGCGTTCTAAGGGGAGAAAGCCCAAGCTCTTCGGATTTTATCCTACTAACGAGAGACAGTGCCACCTGTGGGTGTCGCAGGAGAGAGTCACGAGCAGTGTAAAAGCCCTCTCTACAATTGTGAAAAACGGATTGACGATCCAAACGGGGGGATTCGAGATGACCGACGCGCAGCAGATCGATTTAGTGCAAGTAAGAAAGAGAGCAATCTAGTGGGCGCACCGTGAATCTCCATAACCATAAATCTCAAACTCGGTGCGGACGCGCGAGTTCACCATAGAGGGTAATCGCGCTTTGACATTGGCTAGCAGAAAGGGAAGGAGGGCACCGAACAGCCCATAGATTACATCATGAAATGGAGAGGGGGGAAGGCTGGATGGTCCGCGGGTTTCTGGAAACCCCAATTTGGATCTCGAGAAGACATGAGGCAGATTCGGTGGAACGGGGGCAGCAAGAAAGATTGGCGAGGCGGGTTGTGACTCTTATTATATATTGTCTGAAGAAAATGGAAGTATAAAGGAATGGGCTGATCTGATAAATGACCCCAGGAACGTTGTTTGATTAAGCTGTCAGAGCCACTGGAGACGCGAACTGGAGAACAAATACGACCCAGTTGGGCTTCCGGATTCCGTAAGTCAAACTCGGAGGAAATACGTGGTCGTCCGGCTCTCTAGAAAGGAAACAGAGCAAGGCACGGACCTGGCCCGTTTGCAGAATCACCACAGGTGAGGCGATGAGAAATCTAGGATTTTCAAACTGGATCAAATCGAGAATCCGTGTAACAAAGGCTCAAGAGATCTCCAAAGGGGAGACAGACGGCAGACAAGGGTTTTGGATTTCGCTGGAATTCGTTGAGAATACGAGGTCAACCGGCAGGTCGCGGAAGAGACGCACCGAGAACAGCGAACGACGAGTTTACGAGAGAGCGCAAAGAACACCCCTTTGCTGTATAGAACATCCATGAAACACAAGAACTGCAAGAGAACAAGTCGAATCCCTGCGCTGTGAGAGGGCGAACTCTCAACAATATCAAGAACAAGGAGTACAAAGTTTCGTTGTCACGGTAGTTTTACGGCGCCCACGTATTTGCACATATTTGTCTGTGGGTCCACCGTGAGAATTACAACTACCCTGGCTCGGAAACTTGCAGAGCCTTCGCCAGCTTCAATGTATAATGGTCAGAGGGACATGATCGTTGTTTTAGGCGGAATAGAACGTGCCGCTCCCTAGAGGTACTTAACAGGAAGCAGAGTGTCCGCTTAGGCACCGGTCACTTTGCAATTCAAATCCCCAAGACCACCTTTTCCGAGATTTTCTCCTCTACATAATATGGGTTAGATTCCTTCGAGAGGATACAGGGCAGGGTATAGTAGAAGATATACGGTGTGAATAATATACAAGATACATTCTTATTATAGTTGGTAAATACACTGCGAGTCGACAAAACAAAATCTATCAGCCTGAGAGCTTAAGTCAACAAGAAAGGCTTCGTCAGAAAGCGTGTAAGCATAATCATAAACTAGAAAGGAAAAAATAAGAAGCGTAGATGTATGATGTCTGCTGTGTCATGTAGCAGGTCAAAAAAGGAGATGTGTATGCTTAAAGGGGACTGAACATCACCTGGTGCTGGACGCACGAGCCAAATACCGAGTCAAAAAGGAAATATCCTTTGACGTGTCTCACCATAACTCTACCAGTACCACCCCGCTTCACCCTTATCGATCAAGCACCCCCAACACCGACTCCAGGACCACCTTAGGTTGCAACAACGTCCTCGATTCGAAATCCCCGCCACCGGTGGCTGTAACACAACGGAGCCCAAGCTCTGTGGTCGCAAGAACCCGACCTTCACTTTCGCTGTACTCGCCGAACGCGTCGATCATCTCTCCATGCTGGAAAGGCCCAGCGGGGTCAGGTATGGTCAACTCGAACGAGGTCGACATAATTTCTTCCCGCGTTACGGCTGCGAGGCGCAGGACTGCCCTCGATATCCTCCGTATCTGGTCCAAATAAAGTGCACGGAGCTGGAGCGGAAGCGATTGGGGCAGCGTCGACGTTGGAGGAGAGATGGATATTGGAGGCGACGATGATGGGCTTTTCAGGGGCGATGACGGGCCGAACGAGTGCCCATGTGCTACCTCGAAGATGTCTGCACACCACCGGAGTATGGTGTCGCTCAGCTCGCTAATGCTGTAGTCCTTCAACGTGGGGTAGATGCCGTGGATGTGCTGATGTGCCAATGCGCGCCACTTGGCAGACGTTGGTTGGGGTTCCGTGCGCTGCATATGCGCATATATTTGGGCGAGGACCGCGTCCGACTTTGTCGGGAAGCCGATGCAGAACGAGGCGAGCGCACGCGAGACACATTGAACAAGACACCCTTGCAAGGCGAGCTGTACGAGCAGCGGGTCCGTCGAATGGTCGCGGGCGGCGAGGATACGAGCCATGTGGGGTCCAATCCGGGTCGACGTCTCTTGGAAGGCCTGCGGCTTCGATGCAGACGACGGGAGGAAGGTGCACATTTCCGTGGCGGAGGCTGCGAACTGGAGGATTTCTGAGTTGATATCGTGCACGGCCTGGAGGACTTGGGCCCCCGACCATGTGTCGATTCGCGACATGTATGTCTCGGCGCCGCGTAGCCGGGCTCGTTCTTCCTCGATGTTGTTGCTATTTGGAGGGGGTGGTCCGCCGATGCCGATGCCGTTACTCATGCTTGTCCCTGCACTGCTACTCATGGACGTCGACGTGGTGGAGGACCGGGAGGGCGAACGTGCGCGGCTGTTGCCATTCAGTGGAGATGTGGAGGGAGAGAAGGTGTGGGAGGGGGAGGGTGTGCGCATCCTCGAGGCACCATGTCCATCGTCGTGAAGGTGCATCCGACGGGCAATGTCAGCGGCCCCCATTCTGGTGTCAAGGGAATTGCCATTGCGCTGGTAAGTGGCGAGGTTGTTGGCGCTGGAGCGATGCTGCAGGTGGTATTGGGTATCGCTCCGGCGACGTTCTGCAAGTGCCCGTTCCTTCTCCCTCTCACGGCGTAATTTCTCCAGCTCTGCCTCCCTTGTGCGAAGGAGCTCGCGGGTCTCCTTCAGGGTTCGCTCTAGCATCTTGCACCTCTCTTCGAGACGGGTTGTGTCAACGTGGGCACGAGCCAGGTCATGTTTCGTGATGTCGAGCTCGCGACGCATAGAGTTTGGGGAGAGATTAGCGAGGCTGGTGGTGGGCGATTGGCAAGCTGCATCCAATCGTTCGTTTAACGGAGATGATAGCTTTGACGGTTCGCGAGATATAGGGATCGGTTGTGTCCGGTGCACTGGCGAGTTGGGTGGAGAAAAATACTCGTAGGCGGTGTTGAGGAAGTTGGCGATCTGGGTTGGAAGCAGGGACATGGAGACGGACCCAAATGCGGTGATTATCAACGATCAGCTAACTTTCAAGGTATGTCGGCAGCGTTGTGATAGCCTGGTAGGCTGAGGAAAGAGGACAGCAGGCAGGTGGGCTGGCGAAGGAAAGGGCCTTCCTGCTGACCTGGTTCTTTTTCAGCACGCTGGCCCCGCGTTGCGTGCACAGTCGAGGACAACGGGCGAACAATTATGGCACCCCCACGTCCCCGAAGTCCGAAAATTTCACCTCAAAGCCGCGAATCCCAACTTCCTATGTAGGAGCTTATCCGTCCAGCAAAGGTGGATTTCTGCGGAGCAAGATAACTCTGAACATGACCTCGCTTCAAATCAAGCTCATGTTGGGCTCATGCCAAGATATCGTCTGACCATGCCTCGATGCGAACGCAAGCTCGTCCAGTGAACCAAACGAACACAGTCTGCTAGGACGGCCCTGAAATGTGCCTTCTCTGTGAGAAAGCGTTCATATGTTGGACCTTTCAAACGTTGTTCAATAATATTTCGCAATTTCTATCTTCCTCCAGCGTTTCTCAAACTTTAGGCCTGAAGTCCGAGATGCTATCAAGAGAGGCCAGTTGGACGGAAAGTGTCCATCGGAGAAACCCAAATCCAGCAAATTCTCATCCCGTAACCGGCGCGAACGCATCAATTCACCGTTCAATCTTCAACCTCGTGTACAAACCTCGTGCTAAAATTTCTCTCCTCTGTACAATAGCCTTGTAGGCCCTCTATACCCCATCGACGACCATACTTGTTGTATAACCATCCCCGTGCGCTGAGTCGCACGCGACTATGAAGCACGCAACGGATACCCGGAAGCCCTACAGTGGTTTATCCCGATCGCTTGTCATTGCGATCGATGTTGGAACCACCTTTAGCGGTGTACGTATCCCACCTGTACCCTCGTTTACGTTCGCGCCAGCTGAAGTTGAACCCTGCACTTAGGTCTCTTATGCCATCCTAGAACCAGGCGAGATACCGAAGATACACGGTGTAACTCGGTACTTGTGTTCAATCCATCTGGTCCCCGAGAGGTTGTCCCGCTGATGAGCCTCTTCGAATAGATTCCCCGGACAAGAACATGTTGCAGGAAACTCGAAGATACCTTCTCTTATATACTACGATAATCATGGAAGGCTCATGGCGGCCGGCGCGGAGGCGGAAAATAGCATGATTGTAGCCCAAGCAGAGGACGGAGGATGGATCAAGGCTGAACTGTACGTCCAGCATTCCCATTTTTTGCGATAAACGAACTCAGCAGACTCGCCGCTAGCTTCAAGCTTCGCCTCCGACCCCGTACGATGCAACTCAACATGAACGGCATGCGTCTCTCTCCGTTGCCCAAGCGCAAAACACCTGTGCACGTATTTGGCGACTACCTCAACTACCTTTATAACTGCACTCGGTCTTTCATCAGCGATACACACGCGAACGGCCGGACACTTTGGAATTCCGTGGAACCTGACATCCAATTTGTCCTCAGCCATCCAAATGGCTGGGAGGGCCCGCAGCAGACGAGAATGAGGAATGCCGCCGTATATGGGCAGCTAGTGCCGGACACGGACGCAGGAAGAGCCAGGATAAGATTCGTGACTGAAGGCGAGGCTAGTCTGCATGCTTGCGTTTTGAATGGGCTTGCGGCGGACGTATTATCGGTAAGCTCTTTTGTTTTGCTAGGTTACCTGCATGAACTGACAAATCTGCCTGCGCAGAACCCCTCCAAACATGGCTTTTTGATTGCGGACGCTGGAGGAGGGACACTCGATATCAGTGCCTATGCTATCAGAGGAACATCCCCGCTGACGATGGAGGAAATCGCGCCGCCAGATTGTACGTGCCCTATTTCAACTTTCACACCTACGCTTACACGTTGCCTGTCGTTAGGTATTTTCGCGGGGTCGATATTCGTTAGCAGACGAGCTAGAGAGTTCTTAGAAGGTTGGATCTTGTTATGTGGCACTTGGTTACCCGCTCTAACCAACGACATTGACACGGCAGAAAAGCTCAAACACTCAAAATACGGCACACCCGACTCGCTTGACCACATTACACGCAAATTTGATGAGACCACGAAACGGTTATTCCGGGACCGCAACGACCTCCAGTTCATTCCTTTTGGATCACCCTTAGACAAGGTGGGTCTAGGTGTTTCTATGAGACCACATCGAGCTGAGATTTGGCTAGGACCCGACTGTTGGGATCCGCTCTGGCCAACTGAGGCTGACCGGGTGCGTTGTATCCTTATACATTTCTTTTCTAAGCATTCATGTCAGTATCATCTCTAGAAACGAAGTCGCCAACCTTTTCGAGCCCTCGGTGGATGGTATGTCCTCTGCATTTTTGCCACATCGCCTCACGGTTAAATGAGTTGAAAAGCTGCTTTCAATGCTATCAAGGCTCAAATTGATGCCTCGAACGGCATGATTAGATCGGTGTTCCTTGTAGGAGGATACGCAGCCTCGCCGTGGCTTTTTAGGTACGTTCTGCCGCTGTAAAACATGAACCAAGTTCAATCATTTTTATTAGCCAACTCCAAGAACGCCTCAAGCCATTCCGAATCACCGTTAGTAGACCAGATACTCAAACGTCCGTCCCTATGCATTTTGCCCATCTCTTGTGTGGCCTGACTATTTTCATTGATAGCTCCAAAGCTGTTGCGGACGGCGCTATTGGTTTCTACTGTGACCACCACGTCGCAGCACGCATGTCTAAATTCATGTACGGTGTCGAATTTTTGCGCGAACTTAACCCCGAAGATCCGGAACACCTCAAGCGAAAGGAGAAGCTTTGCGAGCTGCCCTCTGGGCCGAAACTATTGCCTGATGCATTTGATTGCATATTAGCTAGAGTGAGTTTATTTCCATCTCATAACTTGATGATGTGCTAGATAACCATTTATATAGGGCGTCAAAGTCAAGGAATCTACTGTATTTACTAGAAAGTATTGCACCGAGATCACGAATCTTTCCATGCTCTCGGTTTTCGAAGTCGAGATTTGGTGTTATAGAGGAGGGAATACGGTGCCTAAATGGATCAATAGACATGATGGTTTGTCTTTCCAACAACATCCTCCCTGGGCTTGTCGTTAACGTATTACATTATTAGATGTGTTTTCTACTTTATGCGTCGTTCAAGCCGATCTATCACTTCTCAACAATAGTGCAGAACCAAAAGCTGGCAGAAATGGGAAGAAGTATTGGACGATTGTTTTCTCTGTTGAGATCCATTTCGGCCTCACAGAATTCAAGGCCAGGATGAAGTGGATGGATAACGTGAGTTTATGTCGTGCATATATCGATCTTTCTGTTTTTCCTAACTCTCCTTTTCTCTTACAGGGTCAAGTCAGATAGTAAGCCCGCATATATTCTGTGCTCCCTTCTTCGTTAATCTCGACCTCTCTCAGCGGACCAGCTGTTATTGTGTACAATGAACGTGGACATCGTATAGATGACGATGATATCGACATCTATCCAGAAGATGATCAATCCTTCCAGTCAAGCCGCTTGGATCGTGACCGCTCAAGGAGAGACCAACCACCCTCAAGAGCACGTACACCTGTCGATTCATACTACCCGCAATCGCCGACTGGCAGCAGCAACCGTCGCGTTTCCACCGTTACAGTCACCCCAGAAGCCCCTCGCGTTGAACGCACATCATCCAAGACATACTCACCCTCACTTGTGCCATCCTCACGCAGTGCTGCTTACCAAGATGCGAAGGGCAGTGATGGTGATAGGACGGGTAGTGATTCGGATAGGAGGAGAGGCAAGGAGCGCGAGAGGGAGAGCAAATATGAGGAGAGCTACAGAGAAAGAGGACAAGGTGGCGCCAGCGGAACTGCCACCCCCGTCGAGAGGAGCAGGAGCACCGCAGCGTATGTTGCGTCTTCCGTGTCCAGGGTTGCCAGTAGCGGAAGTGCTGCAAGTGGACCGGTCGGGGTAGGAGAGATGCTGTCATCCTCGTGGGCTCCACCCACTGGAGCTCCTTCCTCGCGCTCTCCATCAATACGTCCGCCTCAACCTCAATCACGCTCGACGTCCATCTATGCTGGCGAGCCACCAGCGGCGATTGTAACTCCAAACCATACATCCCAACTTCCACCCCATTCTCGCTCTCCGTCAATCTATGGAGATAGTGTTGAGGTACCACCAGCAACACCGGCTGCTGCTCAAGACTGGAGCTTTGGTGGCACACCGAAGTCGGCAGTGGACGAGCAAAGGAATAGTCACCTTTGGGACAACCCTCCGGGATCACAACCTTCCTCCTTTGATGCCAACGCTGACCGACCTAGGTCGACGTTCGTCGGCGACGAACATGTGTCTTCCCCCGTTCAAGATCCTCTCTTCGGTCAACCACAGTCAATCTTTGACCAGCAACAGGAGTCGTCGTTCAATAGGCCCAAGTCGCCATTTGTCACTGAGCCGGCGCGAGCTCCATCACCCTTCGTCGACCATAACAAGAGCGGTGCGGAAGGTGGGTTCTTCGGCAACGATAGACCCAAGTCAGCTCTCGGCGAACACCCGCCTGCCATGTTTGGCGACACAGGGCCCGCGGCCGATGCTGGTGGTGCTGCCAATACCCCGTTGTTCGGTGAACCACCAACCTCAGTTTTCGGCACCGACACACCTAGTGGTGCTACAGACAGATGGGGCTTCTCTGCGACGACGTCTATACCTGCACCTGCTGCTCCAGAGCCTGCCAGTGCCACTACCACGCCAGGAAAGAAGGGCAAGAAGAAATCAGGAGTAGCGACTCCTGCAAGCGGGCTTGCCTCGAGAGCTTCACCGGCGGTCAGTGCCAAAAAGTCGCCGCTTGGTACTTCACCTGCAATTACTGGTGGTGGTATCTTTGATGAACCAGCTGGAACAACTGCTGCTCCTGCTCCGACTCCCTCTCTTTGGGGTAGCGGCGCGGGCGGCCTCTGGGGCTCGAAAGGAACATCGCCTAAACCTTTAAGCCCTCTAAACCCTGCCTCTCAGGTTACGAACGAACCTACTGCTTCTCCCGCTGCTGCTCCTGCAGCCGACACTTGGGATACATGGGGAGCTGGTAACAATACCTCTGGCGGAGATGGTTGGGGAGGTGGCGGCAACGACAACGCTGCTGGCGGTGGAGATGGTTGGGGAAGTGGCAATAACGACAACGCAGCTGGCGGAGGGGATGGTTGGGGACAGGCCAACGTTGATGATACACAACCAAATGCTCCGAGCCCTGCTGCTCCTGCTGTGGAAGAAACGCCAACACCTGTTGAAGAGTTCGCGACTGCTACTGCCGGCAAGAAAAAGAAAAAGAAGAGTAACGCAGCAGAGAAGAAGGCTGAAGAGGACGCTTCTAAGAAGAAAGCCGAGGAGGACGCTGCTAAGAAAAAGGCTGAGGATGCTGCAGCTGCTAAGAAGGCTGAAGAGGAGGCCAAAGCTGCGAAAAAGAAAGCCGATGAAGAGGCCGCGCAAAAGGACAAAGAGGAAGAGGACCGGAAAGCGAAGGAGACTGCGGAGCAACAGGAAAAAGAAGAAAAAGAGCAAAAGGAGAAGGAGGAAAGGGAAAGGGCTGACGCTGCAGCTGCTGCAGCTGCCCCGGCGTCGCTGTTCGGCAACACTACATCTGCGTTTGGTGGTGAGGTTCTTTCTTTGTCTTCGTTCCTTCGGGCTGACTAAAAATTTCTTCAGATACAGGAGGTGGCGATGACTCTTGGGGTGGGTGGGGCTTCGGCTCGACTACCAAGAAGAAGGGCTCCAAAGCCACTACGCCGATTACGCCCGCGGCACCCTCTGTGTTTGGGGGTAGTTCATGGGGCTTTGGGGGACCAACTTCCGCGTTCGAATCTGCGCCTAACGTTGCACCTTCGCCGAAACCTGAGCTAGGAACCTTCGACTTCAATTCCTCTGGACCTAGTTTGGGTTTCTCCTTCGGCGGTGCTGACAACAAACTGGCCTCGAAACCACCATCTCGTGCTCCATCTCCCAAACTAGCTGCGGTAACAACAGAAGATCCCCCCGCGCCCATTGAAACGACGGGCGACCCACCAGCTGAAGGCGCTACTGCAGGCGGAGAAGCTGGCGACAAAGCTGAAGAGACGAAGGCTGACGAAGATGAAGGCGCCGGGGACACTACCGGTAAGAAGAAGAAGAAAAAGAAGAAGGGTGCCGCTGAGGCAGATGCAACCCCTTCAACTCCTGCTAATGACGACCCTCCACCGTCGGCAGTGGAACCACCACCACCACCGCCAGCAGACCCCGAACCTGTCGAATCCCCTGCCGCCGATTTCACCCCCGTGGCTACAGGAGCCAAGAAGAAGAAAAAGAAGAAGTAAATGCAACATTCTTCTTTTTCCCTTCTCTTTCGGATGCCTCGAATAGATTTTGTTGGTCCTTGTCCCTCTCTTGGAGCGGAATTGTGTACGATTTTCCTATATATGACCCAGATATCTTCCTCTTCCTTTGTATAGTACACTCCTGTAACTCTGCCCCGAATCTATATATATCATGTCCTTTCCTTCTGCAGCTGGTTATAAGCTTGGGTGGCAAGATAACATGTGCATTATAGAATCCGACACGACCTAGATGAAAAGAATTACCTGTCAATCCCTGATTATAGTGAATGTGGGCGCTCTCCGCCATTCTGCTAGGCCTCAGTGTACACGGCGGAGCCTAAAACTATGACAGTCCTCAGCGGGTTGATCACTATGCACAGCCCTTTCTGGGTCTCTTCTACCAACTCGCCGTCGTCGCCAAAGGGTCGCAACATGGTCGATCTTCCCCCTGAAGTCTGGCTGCACGTAGCACGATTCATCCCGGATAGCGACCTTCGAGATAAACTTTGGGCTGTTAATAGTTTGTTTCTTGACATCGGGATGAACCTTAGGTGGAGGCAGGTGCTCATCATGACGAGGAACACAGTGGGCCCTATGCATATCCTCGAAAGACTGTTGTGAGTCCTCCAGCTCTTCGCGTCTCTTGTGCCCTGACGAAGTGCCGCGTTATAGAGACCCCTTTGTCGCAAAGAGAGTCCGATATCTTATTCTGCGTCTCACCCATGTGAAGGACCCTTCTGCCGAGCCTCTTTCGAACGTCAACAACAAGCCGTTCAGACAGATCCAACAGACGTTCAGACGCGTCTTTACGACCAAGAAAGATACCGCCACGGTCAAACAACGCCCACGGCCCACCTTCACCGAAGTCATTGACGCTCTCATCGCCACGACGCCGAGTTTCACCCACATTCACGAATTAAACATCGACTGCTGGGATTTGCCTCCATCTTACAACCTACGACCACTTTTCTCATCCATCTGGGCCACGTTTGGGCCCCGTCTGGAAGGCCTTTTTCTCGGTGGTAATGTGGAAGGGTACCGCGATCTCATCGCATCAAAGCCTGCGCTTCCTCGCGTTCGTGAGCTTCGACTCGAGTTCACGAACAACCTATTCAAGCCTGGTCAAAGTGGCGACGCGGGCATCCTCACCAACCTGGTCGGCCCGTTCGTGTTGAGCCTGGCACCGCAGATCGAGAAATTTCGAGTATGGTCATGGGCCCTCCTTGACGTTTCTGCTTTTTTCTCTTTGCTCGCTCAGAGCGAATTCCCGATCCTCCGTGCGTTGAATGTCCGGATGGCGTTTGACAAGAGTCTGCGCGACCCATCGGGGCTCAAGACGTTGCTCCTCCGATGCTCGTCCACGATGCAGAGCCTGGAGTTGAGGCTCAACCCCTCTGGTCTCCCCATGAATCCTTCTTCAGAGCAGCCGTTGAGCCTTTGGTTGAGCGAGTGTGCTCGGGAAGACGGGTGCCTTGCCCGTTTGAAGAGTTTGGATATTTACCCTACCAGCATGGCGGCAGGATTCGACGCCCTATTGACATCCATCAAGAGAACAGAGGGGAGCCTCCTTGAACTCATAGTGCGAGATCGCTACCTGTTACCCACAGAGGCGAAGATGGTCGCAGACGCAGTCTCACCGTGCGAGAATCTAAAGTATCTCAGGATGAACGTCTGGAGACTTGACACCATCCTCATTGACCATCTTGCGGAGAAAGCTCCAAATATTTCTCGACTCTGGATATCTATTGGAGATACCGCTACGAATAATAACACCGCTACGAATAACAATGCTGTAGGAGGGATTGCGGTATGTCCGCTTAGATTTCACACGTGGACGAATCACTGATGTTTGCCTTTCAGAAGACATTTCAACAGGATATACAAGGGAGGTTATATGCCAAGTGGAAACTTAAGGACATCACGATCTGGCAAGGCGGGCAGGAGATTGACGAGGACATTATGCACGCCCTTGCCCGGAGTATACCTTCTGTGTACAGCTTCTTTGGAAATGGGCACATGCTTCGTGAAGACCTATCGACAAGTAGTCCACCAAATGTTCCATTTGGACGTTGACTCTGCATGGACGTTTAAAATATTTTGTGCATGATTAAATATCTCAGGGACTGCTTCACGTGGAACGTTGAACAATCTTTTCACCTTGTGCATGAGACAGCTGCACCATGGTCGATGGCTCCTATCCTCATGAACGAACAAGGGTGGGGACAACATTTCGACCCCGATGAGACGTCAATTTATAGGGTGGTTCACATAAGCGACGCAGCATCTTGAGGAGATGAGTAACGTTTTCAGTTAACCAATTATGGTAGCCCAATGCCCGAATAAGGATATCGATGGGTCACGAGCATGCTTGGAACAAACAGAAGTGCAACAAAGACGTGATCCTGCTGCGAACTAACAGCGAGGGTGATGTTGTCAGCAGACAAAGAGAACTCACCACGGACTCAACACCAATGATGAGAAAAACTGCACCCTCAGAGGTGGTTCTAGTGGCGCTTCCTTCAACTACCTCACACTTCCCTTCTGAGAGATGTGTGGATGTCGGAATCAGTCGGATTGATCATCAGACAAGTACAATATGAATTGTCAGGCGCTTCAGCACCATGAAGCCTGGTGCAGGCGGTCGTGCGGGAGCTACTTTGACCTCAGTTTCCTGTGTCGACCGTACGTCCTATCGGAGACCAGAATCGCCTTTGAGCCCTCCCAATAACCAAGCTTTCCAAACAAACCTATTATGCCAAATCAAACAAAGAAGTACACCAGTTAAAATAAGCATACAGTTCTCGCTGAAACATCGATCATCATCTGTCATCATCAGGAGTTCTGAATTCTCCACCTAAGCTCCCAATTATAAAGGTCATCCTATCGTCCTTGAATGCCGGAATACGTATCCCCGGACGGTAGTAGACTTCTATACGGTTGGTGCTCTGGGTAGGCAGCTGATCGAGGTGCACTCCTCGAAGATTGAGTATCAGGCGCGAGATCATCACGGATGTGATGAGTTGGATGAAGGAGGCTCCAATGGCTTTCAAGTCCTCCTCAACTTGCTGATAGGAGTTCAATTTAATGGGAGAACGAGGGTGTACAATTGTACTCACGAAATAGATTATGGTGTTCATTAGGTTCGTCAGGAATATGATGAAAAAGTAGAAGATGCCGTCTCGTACGAGGACGTGCATCACTCTAAAGAGTTGAATGAATTTGCATAAGAAATTCTACCTGAGTCGAGCTTGATCTCACCTGCTTTTCCCGGATTGCTTCCACAACTTCATCGAACGCCGTATGGTAAGGAAAAAGATGATTGAATCCGTCACCGACGGCGCGACCCATTGTGCGGCTACGAAGGGCCGTCAATCCCCTGACTCGAACATAATCGGCAGCACTCACCGAATGCAGGGTGCGTTCCTGTGAGTATACAGCCTAGGATTGTTGTTTAAATCACCAAATTTTAGGTCTGAAAGGGAAGAAAAGATATACCTCCTAATGGAGGGGGCAAATCGATGGCTGCCACGCAGCAATGTCAGTCTCAAATTTCGGTTAAAATCGCAAGTGCTGTGACTCACGAAATCCCTTATCGATACCAACGGCTGCGATGGCCACTTCACCCGCCAAGAGGGCCAACAGAAATGCCAAAATCCAAGACGAGCGCCCATAGAGCGCGTAGACACGGAGGATCATGACCACTGTGGATAACATAGGCCCTCGCTTCAATATCGGAGTCTCAGCGGCGCATAAATCGGTGAACAAACGCACACTGGCAGACTTGGGGGTACCGTCAGCATCGCCGATTCAGAAGAAGCGCGAGGCTCGGGAATAGAGCACTTACTGCCGACAAGGATCGTGGTTCCTGCGCCTTCGAACTTCGCGAACCGGTGGCATCTGTATTCATTTTGCCAATCAGCCCTGGAAGTTGAATACAAACGGAAAAGAGAGTTGACAGACACGTCTTTTGGCCACGTCGGATCGAAGAAGGCTGTGATCCAGGGCAGTGTGGGTGAAGGAGAAATATCGGAGGGCAGGAGACGCTCATACCATTAAGGATGACGATGAATTCGAGGAGGTTGCCGTATCTGTTCAGGTAGAAGAGTAGACTAGCGCCAGTAAATGGCTGCTTCCAGATGCGTTCGACCTGCCAGTTCTCGTTAGAAGGCTTGCCTTCGGAATCTGATTAGGAACAAGAGGACGCACCTCGTCGGAGAATGTTATCACTACGCAAATTGATACAGCTCTCGGGTCAAGATTTGCCCTCAACGTATGTAAGTGGGAATGTCACCCACTATGATCGTAGACGAGCATCGCAAACGAGGCTATCTGGAAGTACTTCCCAGCGAACCTGGGATAAAGGGAGGCGCAGATAGTGTGAGTAGGAGCCTGGCACAGATAGTATTAAAGGGTTGGGCTCACAAATGAAGGGCTGCTCGCGCAAGGGCGTCAGCGTCCTGAGAAGACATTGCAGGGAGGGTGGAGCTGAAGTGACCGAAGTCCCCCTCTTATGTCTTTCCGAACGCAGGCGGCAGACTATTCAAAGACGGCCACTACCCACTCAACTTAACGATCGACAGGCATCCTGACCCACGCTTGACTATCAAGCAAACGAGGGTGATTTGTATCACTAGCTATCAGGATCATTATCGTTTGTCAGACAGGTTCACTTGATAGGATGCTGCCACTCACGACAACCTCCATGGGCGAAGCGCCGAGGGTCAACTTAGGAAGAAAACTCAGTGAAGCAAGTTTTGAAGTCGTGAATGAACGCTTCCTGCTTCTTGTCGTCTCCTTGTTCCACCATGAAGGGGAGAAGACACTGGCAAGAAGGCCGTGTATTTGCCTCGAGGGCTGCAAAAATAGGACACATCAGTTCTTGGCGCCTTCTCCAGCGTGCAGCACGATATAAGAGCACTGAATCGGATTCCAAAACGGACCGTAGACGTACAGGAAAAGCAACCGACAGCTAAGCTTTGATTATAGTCACCACTTTCAAAGAAGCGGCTCTGACATACGTCCGTTGAGAAGGGGGTGGAATGATTGCCAAGGAAGTTTACAGCGATGCGACCTAGCGGGGAACTCGACCGTTTCACAGGTCAAGCAACTAAACTGCCATTGCCGTCGGGATGCGGCCCTCGTGTCTTGACAAGGACTTGGGCAATTCAGCGGCATCGTGCAGCCCAATGCTAGTTGCCATCAAACTACAGAGTGGATTTGAGCACACATGAAGCACCAGCTCGGATTACAAGCCGTCAATTCCAAGAAGAGTAATGCCTGCAGGTGGGTCTGAAACTCTGAGAATTGTTTCGACCGACGGCCTCTTGTGTGTAGTCAGCTGAGCACAGAGAGACGCCGTGAAATCGAAGCTCTATCGTTCGACAGAGTTCCGAGTCTGGCAGGGCCCAGAAGAAAAGAAACGGGGACAAAGAACCATCGCATACTCTGAATTTAAGTAGAGTCCGTCAGTTGGTGCGAGAGAACTCAGAGATGGTACTAGTAGAGTTCGGAAACGAAACCAGAGGAGAGTCACGCTCGCCTCTGACTGATTTGTCATTCCGCCGAGCGGCATGATCGGGTATTTCCGAAGGCTGGTGTGAACAAACTTTTGGGAAGACCAACGTGTGCCAAACGCCGCTTGAACGCGAACCACTACCATCTCTTCCCGGAGTCCTCTTTTCTGACGGTTTATCGACAAATCGTCAACATTTCGTCCTCCCACCTCCCCCATTCCCACTCTCGCATCATCTTCTGTCCAGGCAGGGGATTCATGCTTCGACCTCCAATTGCTATACCAAAGCATAAGAGATACTTGCCCAAATCTTCTAGTTGTCTTGTACGCATCCAGCTCAATCTTCCCGTCTGCCTGCAGCTAACGACATTCCAGCGTTGAAATACCACCCATCTGCCCAGTATGGCCGCCGGAATCGTCAACATTCGCCGTGATGTCGATGACAAGTTCTATCGTTACCGGCATGTGTTACGTTTTCTCCGTGTGCTGACTCACTGCTCACATGCGTTTACACGCCCAGCATGCCCCTTCTAACCACCAAAATTGAGGGAAAGGGAAATGGCATCAAAACCGTGATCCCTAACATGTCTGACGTTGCTCGGGCCTTGAGCCGACCTCCCACGTACACCACTAAATTCTTCGGGTGCGAACTCGGTGCGCAGACCACTTTCGACGAGAAAAATGACCGCTACATTGTCAACGGTGCTCATGATGCCAACCGGCTGCGTGAGCTGCTCGACGTCTTCATCGACAAATTCGTCCTGTGCAAGTCGTGCAAGAACCCCGAGACGGAGCTCATCATTCTCAAGACCGGCAGGCAGGAGGACATCATTCGTGACTGCAAGGCCTGCGGAGAGCGCACGGGGGTCGACATGAGGCACAAGCTCACCACGTTCATCGTCAAAAATCCTCCCGTCAAAATCAAGAAGGGCAAGAACAAGAACACCGGCGGAGATGCGGCATCGGGTGTGGGTGGCGGTGGCAACCCTGATCCCACGGAAAATAGCCCTCCTCCCGAGGGCGGCGCTGATGGTGCGGAGAGCGACGATGAGCTTACGAAGAAGATCAAGGCTGAGGCCGCGGAGCTCAACACCGACACCGCGTTGGCCAAGGACGACTGGTCTGCAGACACTTCCCCGGAGGCGGTCAAGCAGCGAGTCAAAGCTCTCGAAAGCAGCATGGCTGCTGCTGCCCTTGGTGGTGGGGACGACGACGGCAGCGACGATGACGCCAACAGTCCGTATTCTGTCCTCGGCCTTTGGATTGAGGAACACCCCGACGCTGACCCCAAAGCTCGCTCCATTGCGATTTACAAGAAGATTGAGGAGCTAGGCATCGAGAAGAAGCATAAGACCGTTACTGTGCTCGTCCAGGCTCTCTTCACGGCCAATATCGTCAAGGAGATCGACGGCTATGCTACTCTTCTGACCAAGGTTTGTTCCTTCTCTCTTTCATTTCATTCAAAAGTTTACCCGGTCGTCTCTCAGATGGTTACGTCCGAAAAGCACCAGAAGTCGCTCCTCGGAGGGATCGAACGCTTCCTCGGCTTCTCTCACCCCGACCTCATTCCCTCGGTGCCTAAAATCTTGATGGGCTTCTACCAGACCGACCTCCTTGATGAGGAGGTCATCACCCAGTGGGGCACCCATGTCAGCAAGAAGTACGTCGACAAAGACACCAGCAAGAAGGTCAGGAAGGCGAGTGAGCCATTCTTGAAGGTATGCTTTCTGTCCGTTCTTGCGTTTCCAGCATCGCTGACCATCGTGCTTTACTCTCTTTTGTAGTGGCTCGCTGAGGCCGACGATGATGATGACGAGTAGTCGGCTGCCATCGTTGCTCCTTTTACGCTGGTTCGAAGCTTGGCAAAGGCAAGACGAATGTGTCACCACCCGTGAATCTCGTTCGCTGATCTATATACTTAGAAAACTCCTTTCGTTGCTCTACCTTCTTTTCCTTTATATCATCCCTCTCGTAATGTCGCCCTGGGTCGACAATCGCATTGTGGCGTATAGACAATGTCCGTCAGATCTAGTCTCCATATGAATATGATGTTCCTTTTTTCCAGGAGGTCTGTCCTTTGAGCACTGCGGCATTTACGATCTTCCATGCTGCGTGGCTATGAATTGATATAAGAGGATGTGCCTCACTGTTCGTGTCTCCCGTTGGTCACTGGTCCCTCCGCATAAGTACTGCCTACTGGCATGACAGGGATGCGACGTGACGATTGCAACGTTAGCCAACAAAAGCAACGGTCAAAATCAAAACCGCAAGCTCATTGTTGTCTGCATCAGATCGCCGCCGGCATCGTTCAAGTCCTATGGGGTGTTACTCATCACCCTCATTGCGGTCTCGTTGTCCTCAATGCCTTTGGTTTGCAACAGGATGCGGTACGAGGGTGAGGCGCTGTTGAGGAACACCTTTATGACGTCGCGTTCTGCTTACTTTTTTCCTCAATCCTGTGCAGACAGCAAATAATCCCTCCGTCAGTTTTGTCCTTGCTACCCTTCGCCCCCTTCCACCCTCTAAGACTACCTGCGCGAAACTTTGTCTGAAGCGTTGGTATGAGTAAATGTTCCTTTGCCAGTTATTGCTGTAATCGTCGCATGCTACTACTGTCATGGTCAAGGTCTTCGACTCCGCTAGTATTTCGAGTCAACGCTCAAGCCAATGCCAGGCCGCGCTGCATATGTCAAGTTGACCACAACCCTTTTCTGTCTCACACCCCACTCTCCTTGTTGTTTCTTTTTCGCGTCCACAGCTATGGGTAACGAGTGTCTTTTTCCTGGGATAGAGCAGTTAGCTGCACAACTCCCGACTGCTTTATCGATGCTATCAACGTCAATCAAACTGTTGTCGATGCTGTTATTAAGTACGTGCTGCATACCACTATGACCGTACCTTACCTGAGGTCCTTATAATATGTCTATGAAAGGCTTTCGTGGACGGCTGCAAGGTTGTCGGCGCCCGTCACTGCCTCTAGTGGTGGCCCATCAGTCAGAGGACGCAGACCTCTACTGCGAGCTCGCCGGGTCAGATGGGCGATGCTACTGTGGCTAGATGAAATTTGAACGTACTTGGGCTTATTGGAACTGTTGGTGTCGTTTGTTGTCCTTGCTTCAAAGCCTCCAGAATCATGTTGCTCACGCGACAATCCCTGCACGTAGCGAATGTAGATGTGGCGCAACTTGATGGCTGCGCTACATTGCCATTGGACCGCTTTCTGCCGTCTGATCATTGACCGGTCGCTTCCCCCCCAGGGCCTAATCTCACAGCTACGAAGCGTCGCTTTTCCGAATCTTCTTTTAATGTTCGTTAAGTGAGTACGGTATTCATGATCAATCTCATTCAATTACAGTCCTGCGTGGCATTGACGAGGAGTGTGGTTCGGAGAACCGGAATAGCTACAGCTTTTAGGGTTTATTTCGTCCGACCTTCCCCAAGGCACGAAGCGCGGCACCGATTCCATGTGGAGAAACCTGGAGAATATTCCCGTATGATAGTATCTTATTATCATGGTCATATGATGCTCTAAATACTCGTCCCCTCTACTTGGAGACCAACTCATCGCCAACTGTCGTTCTGAAGCGCCAGTGAAAAATTTCTTCCCGCCAGGTTTTACAGCCTTTTAGTTTTTGGATGTGATGCTAAAGACATATTTCATTCCGCGTTTGCAGGAGGGATGGATGCAGCTGTCAGTTGATTCTGTCTCCGGCATCTCCGACGGCACGATAAAAATCTCTTCCCCGGATTATCAAATATCAGAGATTTCGTTGCACATGTTTGTTTCCTTGCCCTGATCATGAGCCTGGGCATCGTCTCGCATTTACTAAACCAGGTCTACAGTCACCCATGGCCTGCCAGGAGGCCCGTAATCTTCTCTCCTGGAATGGACTATAGAACTCGGCCTTTCAAAACCAATTTCCTCTTCATAGCCTCCGACCCCGCAAACATCTCATGATCATCTCTGGAGGGCGCCGTGTTGATTGTGAAATTAGAGATCGCGGCAACCCTCGACAGTTTGTTTGTGATATATAGACAATTTGACGATCACGGAGTGGTGCATTGCTCTGCCCGTTCTTGTCCTCTAACCGCCATCCCCCTTCCTCGCCGTCGGCCAGCAAGGCAGACCTCCACCTGAGGCGCTCGCGATGCCGACCGCCGAACATCCAGTGTTCTTCCCGAGCCCTGGGATGCAGGTTCTGAGCGCCCTCATTCACTTTTTCGGTGCGTCTTACCCCGGATCGCGGCAGAATCAAGCTGATGGTCTATCCAACCCCCAGGTCTCACTATCATCTCGCATTGCATCTCCCGACGAGTCCAGTATGAAAGCCTGACCTTCAACGGCATCCGAACTATGCCTTGGCCCCGTCTTTCCGTCATCCTCATGTTTTGCGATTCCTGGTTGTTCATGCTCTCAAGTGAGTGGATCCGACATCTTCTCTCAGGCACGATCCTCAAGTTGGCGTAGGCGGTATTCTGGTGTTTGGAGTGGGACTGGAGTATTCGAAGGCGGTTTGCACGACAGCCATCTATCTCTGCATCTTCTTCTACTCGACGTCGAAGTTTTTCCTGTATGCCTTCCTTGGTACGTCTGCTCCGCCTACTTGCCTGGGCTTTTTGCCTGACAAGCGGCATAATTTTCAGCCGAGAAAGTCCACATCGTCTGGTCACCGACAGTCGGCGGGCGACGTTTTGAGTCACCGGTGTATCTCGTTTGTCTTGTGTCGGTGTCATTGTACTGCATAGTAATAACTCTCATGCTTGGAGGTGAGTATTGTGGGGTCCCCTCATTTCCATCTTTTCTCAACCCGGCTCCGCAGGTCCCATCCATGAAACCGCTTCAAACGGAGCTTGCGTGACTGGTCTGAAGCCCTTGGCCTCCATTCCCCTACTGGTATACGACGTGTGCGTTCCGTCCATTCTACACTCCCGAGTGGTATAATTGACGTTTAGTTGCAGATATATCAGCATGTTTCTGACGTTCCTATTTTTGTTTCCCCTCCTACGATCACAAATGATGAGCTCGACCGTTCGCCGACTCAGCATTCGGACATTGATGTCAGTCAAAGTTCCATTGAATGACCTGGTCGACTCATTGATGATTTATGCAGAGCTGCCGTTATTGCCCTGACCACATCAACTGTGAGCGCGCTTTTTCTACAACTCAGATTTGATCTTATATTCTGCTTTTCAGATCAACGTCGTCATGATTATTGTCTTCAAAGGCCGGGAGCTGGGATGGGTAAATCTGAGCGCATGCGGTGCAGATGTGAGTAGTCATTTTAATTTTCTTCTCATCGAATTCTTGATTTACTTTCCCAAAGATCATCATAAATGCCGCCGCCGTTTTCTGGGTGTCAGGCAGCAAACATGGTAGGCAGCAGCAGCAACATATCGGCTCGAGTGGTCTGCCGCCAGAGCGCGGTCGCGGAAGGCAGCTCGACCCTTTCAGCGTTGGCGCCGTTGAAAGTCTACACTTTGCTACCAGCACCAAAGCATCAGCCATTGATAGCCCACAAGCTGACGTCGAGAGCCCGCCTCCACCCGTTCCTGCATTCCGTGAACCACCGCAAAACTTCTCTCCACACGTCTCCTATCCGTATTTCCGAGGCGAACTGGAACGTAACCTCGGGACGCAGCCAACCCGCGTTCAACGCCAGAACTCTTGGTTCCGGCGGATGCTTACTGGTGAGGCGATGAGTGACGCGCCGGCCGTCAGGGTATGTCTTCTTTGAACGTCTATCAGAACTCTATCTGACATTTTTGTGACTTTGTCAGATTACTGTTACTCGGGAATTCGACCACCAGCCCTCGCAGATTGGTCTGCAGGCTAAAGACGACTCAAAATCCGATATCCATGAAGACAAATCGTCTTCTTGCGATCCATCATGATAACGACCTCTTTGCTTTCCTTTGGCTGTCATTTATCTATAACACCAGATACCACTTCGAGGGAAACTAATGCCAGTGTATTCGGGAAAATACCCACCCAACCATCCAGCAGCTATTGTACTAGGGAACGTGTTGTTGAGTTGTCTCCAACACCATCAATCTCTCTACGCTGTAATATTCATGAGCGCAAACGGACATACCATACTCATCCCATAGTTAAAATTTGTTGTACCACTACACCACATCCGTATTGACTTTCTTTTCGCCTCCTACCACGGTTAGGGACAACGTACTGTGGGGATTGATGGTGGCAACGATACATGTGTTTCATCGTGCTCGAGGTTAGGTCATATGAGAGGCCCGTACAACACATATGGATAACCTGTGGCGCCTCAGGACATTGATGAGGTTCCCGATAAAGAGCGATCCTCAAGCTTTTCACTGCCGTTTTCTCAGATAAGAAAGCGAAGTGACAATGAAGCGGTCCTTTAGGAGCCTTTAGGAGACAACAATCGTGCAAGGAGATCAGCAGACATCGGGGAGACGGGGACCCTCCTGGGCATCGCGTCATAGGACAAGCGAACGGCATTTTACGAGCCTATCAGTTGGCGTTCGGTCATCAATGCCGAAGGGCGTTCGTTACCACCATGTAGTCAATTGTCGTCCACGCGATCCTCGCGGGTTCGTGGTCACATTACTTACCTTGCTCAGTAATACGAGTAATCGAGTAATTGTGCCTTGCAGCCCAGGCAGCCCCTCGAGAGCCGCGGTGTCTCGATCATGATGCACTGCGATTTTTACGGGCCATTTTACTTACGTTCTGCGAGGATCGTCCAGAGAGGGGTTGTTGTCACGATGACTTCTCCATCAGATCGTAAACACGCGAGACGCGCGTCAATTCTAGCGGTCAGGACGGGCGCTTAAGCCGAGTCACGTCATGGGCCACCTGAATAGAATTCTCTCCTTCTCATTTCCTCACATAACCGATAATAGATGCAATCCCATGGACAGCTGGCGTTCGAATTAGTAATCTCGTGCACACACAATTTGAAGGGGTTGCTAACCTACATTCGTTCTGAAAGGTGAGTCACCGGAAGGGTCCACTCATGAGCCTCCTTATGAACCACCCCGGAACCCTCCTATGACTTCGAATTATGGCACGCTAGGCCATCGTCACCACTGTGACGGTCAGCCGGACACTTATGTCGACAACACAAGAAGACGCCTCAGCCAATCATTCAGCACCCAACGCACAGTAGCACCGGTACTTGAGTGAACCTGATGTTTTACAAAAAAAAACAAGCCTCGGAGGCCTCATAGAAGTTGCGAGGGACACGTAAATGTGGAGGCGAGAAAGAAAGACGATGCTTAGAGATAGTGGGTATTCGAAGGAAAGATGGATTCACAGATGAATGGAGCTTATATATCTTGTCTAGTCCCACTTTTTTGGGGAAAGATCACTGAGTACCGACCACGCGACGATTTTTCGCGGAAGACATTTTTGGTAGGTCGATTCCCAAATCAGGAACACTCAGTCACGCGCAAGGTGCGCGTCGATCTTGAGAAGGCAGTCGAACCATTCTTCTAGCATCTCTCGTAAATGTGAGATTGTTTCCAAGTACATAAACACTGCTTGTGCTATGACTCGAACATTATCTAAATACAAGACTTCAAGTTGGCTGAGCAATCTTACTCAACGTGCGTAGTCGTTCTTCCGTTATTTCATTTCATTCTGTGAGAAGTTAATGCCTTACAGGTTCCATACACTTAGTATCTGTCTCGTATCATTGGACAAGCTTATTAGGACTATAATATGTTCTCGGTACAGTATTGTTTTGGTTTGTCAAAACCTGCATTAACTTTTGTTGGACTCACAAACTAAGGGTGAATAAAATTCCTCGCGGTGGCATGTGTATGGTCATGCTTTGCCTTATTCCTCCTGCTATGTTGGCCACGACATGGCCAAGTCAGTAATGCGCAAAATTATTCTGGTAGATCTGATGCTTATGGGTAATGCTCAGCCAGATTAATTGCAGAACCTGACTCCATTACAGCTTCCGGTGAATTGTCGCTCCAAGGTTCCTCTAGAGTAAATAAGTTACACGAGGGCAATAGTTCCCGCAGCGGCTGCGAAGAAAATACTGGCAGTGGTTAAGCCAAAGCTGGCGAGTGCACCGCCAGTCTGAGTGGCTACGTCGGTAGAAGTAGTGGAAGAGGAGGAATTGTCGCTGGACCCACTGCCGGACAACGAGGATCCACTCGCATTGGAGGAACCACCTGAAGAACCGGAAGCGGAGATAGGTCTACCGATAGTTGCGCAGGTTTGAATGAAGCCTGTCCGAGATTAGAATTGATTGTTATTTGCTGGTCTCGAAGGAGTCACGACAGTTCTGTACGCACTGTCAACGGCAGCATCTGCGAGAGATTGGTCGAAGCTGCCCGCGTCTACGGAACACTGGTAGCAATTTCTCAGGGATGCTACGACGCTTTCAGTACATAGGCATTCCATCGTGTTGCAGCCCTGGACCTAGACAAAATGATTGAGCTAACAGTGGATGAGAGCAACAACGTCTCGAGGGCGTACATTGAAGGCATCAACCAAGGCCTGGCATTGCTGTACAAGGCACTGACTTGGGACGTTGCTGGGGTCGAAGCCAGACAGTTGGCGGGTGTTGAGGCTGATTAAAGGGGCAGGTTCGGCGAGAACTAGGAGATCAAATTGTCAGCACCGCGACGACAGGATGTGGTGTGCGAAGAAACAAACCCGCGGGAAGAGCAAGAAGGACAGTGGTAGCAAAGCTCAAAAGAGTGACCATTTTGGGATGGCAATTGGAGTGAAAACCCTGAGAAGTAGGAGGCAGTTGAAGGAGGGTAAAGAATGCCCACAACACTTCGAACAACGACCTTTTATATGCTTGAACAGGGATGCTGAAAGCCATCATACAACACCGCAGACCATAGAAGCCAAGAGCTGATCGATGCCTCCGAAAACTATACACTTCCCATAAATATTATAATCAGTGGAAGGGTCCAGTCAGGTTCGAGTGTCGTGGATAATGGTCAATCATCGTTGTCAGCGGAGGACGAGTGGAGTTTGCGCGAAATTTTGTTGTGGGTCGCAATCAACCCGTATATTCGCGAAAAATCAGGAATAACACTTCAGTCCAAGACATTTCAGGACACGTCCTCGAGTTCGAAGATGCATTTGAGCACACACCGAAAGCGAATCTCGTAGGCATTCGGGAGAGACGCGTTGTCAGGCGTGTCATGAACGTACTTACCCTACACCATCATTTCCTCGGCAGGGGTCCGAGGACGCCCATATCCTAAAATGAACTCTAGTGCAAATCATGATCATCCTGAAGATCTTCTGAGAATCGTGGTGCAGAGTGACTAGCGCTGCGTCGACGTCGATGAACAACACGGCAACCGAGCCCGACTTCGACAGATTGGGTACAAAAATATCCTGATTTCTACCAGAAGAGTTCTTTTTATGGTATGAACTGTCGAAGGCTCGCAACGGAGGAAAACGCACGGACTTACAGACCCTAAGGGTAGCTGAAGCGTCGATAAAGTTGAGAAAGGGGTCGTGGCCGTCATTGTCCTCTTCTGAGTCTTGGCAAGGATCTACTCTGCAAGAGGTGGAAACGTTGTTGGGTGTTGATCAATACAAGGAAGGCGTCCGCTCCTTTCCTGTTGGGCGCGGTGAGAGTGCAACTGTCAAAAAGTTTCCTCGAGCCTGACATATCACGGATAGCTGAGGAGGTCGCCACCGAATGTCCGGGTGGAGGAGAGGCGCTCGAGCCTGAGACATCACTTCTTCTGAGGTGCTAAGTTCTAAAAAAAGATATTGAGTAGACAAGAAAAGACGAGGTCGGCTCGAAAAATCAAAACTTTGAACCATGAAAGAAGGCAAAACAACGCGACTTGAATTAAGTAGTAAGTAAGTAATGGCGAATTCGAAGGAAGATTGTACATAAATGACCGATGGAGGAAGAAAAATCGAGAATTATAAGTATAGAGTTCACAACATCATTAACTAGCGTGGCAATCGAAAGAGCAAATGAAAGCGGTATAAAAGAAGACCGTGGTATATGAAATGACGAACACCAAAAGGTAAAAGAGGATTAGGGGCAAAAAGGTGGAGGCGAGCAGGATTGGTTTGATTCAAAGGCTGGAGTTCGAAAAGAAGAAGACAAAGGGCGACGGGCGTGGGGATGGTGATTTGGTCGACACTCGACAGTGTTGTGGCCATGGCGCAAGGAGATGAGAAAGCAATCGCGTCCAGAATGCTGTATCTCGTTCTCGACGAGAGATGTTGGAATCTGCGGGAAGCGTACAGTTTTTGATTGGCGGCGGAGATGAGGAGTACGGAGGGCAACTTGAGATCGTGGCATCATGGATACGGCCGTCGTCTTCGTTTGAGCAGAGCTTCGTTTGAGCAGAGGGAAACGCGATTGAGGGTTTGACCCGCGCTGAGATGACCAAGGCTGCACCTCGTCATACACAACGGCCGAAAAACCGCGTTTTCGAGCGCATATAAGCGACGTTGTGTGGCAGGTCGAGACTTTCTGTACCAGCGAACTGGACCCTGCCAGGATGCCCGTCGAGAGAAAGGTAAATCGGAGCTTTACAGATGGAACAAAATATATCAGTACGACAGAAGAGATAATGAACCAAGGGGAGATAAACTAACCTGCCTGGATCATACCACTTGCAAGGTTCAGGCGAGCTTCCCATACTTCCGGAACCCCAAAAAATGCAAGCTGACGCGGTCAACGCGTAGAACAAGCTGGTTTCATCATCCCATCGCCAATCATCGATCATCCCTCGCCCAATCCAACCTCCAAACCCACCAGAAACCCAACCCAACCTCATGCCCCCATCTCAACCCCAATAAAACCTTCAAGCCCTCAATCCTCCCCACTCCCATCCCCATCGCCCTCTCCCTCCTGTTCCTCTCCTTCTGCCTCACCCTCATCGCCCAACCGGCCCTCACCACCCTTCCACTCCCGTTCCCAGGGCGGATCCGGCACTAGCGGCGTAAGCGCAGGATGCCCTGGTGGGAGAGAGGAGCGGGCTTGATGGAGGCGTGCGAGCAGGGCTGAGCGGTCGGCGAGCAGACTTTGGATGTGGTCGATTGCTAGATTAGAAGGAGGTAAGTAGAAGGATCGAGAAGAGTAGGAGGTGAATGAGATAAGAGAAGATAGTGAGATAGACGGGAGAAAAGGTGGGGCTCAGGAGATTGTCGAAGAGTGAACGAGAAAATAAGCAAGGGTTCAAAGACAAGTAGCTGGCGAATCAAGCAGCTGATCCCAATAGCTACGAGGTCCGAGAAAAAAAATAGATATAGAAAAGAAGAAATAAGGAGGAAGATTTGAACAGCTTAAACCAATATCAACTGTCACTGGAAGACGGCAGCTGGCGGAATGAAGGACAGAATATCGGTCTTGCAGACCGAATAACAACCAAGAATATGCAAGAAAAATAATAGAAACAAAACCCAACGAAAAAACGATGACTCACTCTTCGACAACACAACATTTTCGCTCCTCGGACCTGCTCTTCCATCGATCTTCAATCCATCCTTCTCGTTCTCCTGCCCTTCCTGCCCCTTCCCTTTCTTCGCCCTTCCCTTCTTCTTCGTTGCTCCGTTTACCCCAGGGCCAATCCTCTTCGTCGCCTGTCTCTCCGCCTCCTCTTCCTCGCGGATCGCCTCCCGCAGCGCCGGCACCGTCTCGCACAGCGCCTCGTACCCTCGCCGGATGTTCGCCCGCCGCTTCTGCTCTGACTGGATGTGGTTCGCTTTCTTCTGCGAGGGCGAGAGGAGGGCAGGTTTGTGTGAAGGTGCGCCATTGGCGTTTGTTGGTGCTGCTGCTGTTGAGCCCGCGATGGGTGGAGAGGTAGACGTCCGCGTACGCTTAGAGGTAGATGTTGAGCCCGAGGTAGAGGCTGTGGCGTTGCCGTTTGTGCGTGACCGGGTAAAATGTGATGAGGAAGACGAGGAGGGGATCGGGGACGGTGGCGATTGTTGAAGCTGTGTCCGACCAGATGAGGAAGTCGACGGCGCAGATTGGGAAGAGGGTACGCGATTTGCGGATCCTGAGGGGGAGATGTCTCGTTGGTGGGGGGGTATATGCACTTGAAGTTGCTGTTGTTGTTGGGAAGGGTGATGCATGGGTATCGAATTATGTTGTTGCTGCTGGAAATTGAACGGTGAATGCGGAGTCGTGGGTGTGCCGGACGTTGAAGAGTCGCGAGGGGAGATATGGTTCATGTTCAGAGGCGACAGTAAATTCTGTTGTGGTATGCAAGAGTGTTGATATTGCGAGTTCAGCAACAGCATTTGCTGCTGCTGATGGAGCTTGCTGTTGTGGAGAAAAGGAAAGGAATCGTGTGGCGACGAGTACGAGTTGGCTCTCTGCTGCTGCTGTTGCTGCTGCTGGAGATGTTGTTGCTGGTGTTGTAGCACCTGCTGCTGGTGCACGAGCTGTTGCTGGTGCTGCAGCTGCTGGTCGTAATGACCCAGATGCCGTCCGTGCAGGTCGAAATGTCGCTGGTTCATGTTCGACTGGTGGCTCATCATGAAATCACCACCGGAATCCCAGCGATGATCTGGATCGAGCGACATGAGATCCTTCGTGGCTTTTGCGAGCGCCTGCCGGTGCTCTGGATTCGAGTCGAGCGAATCGTCGACAATCGAGTGCTGCATGGGAGCCGAGTTGTACAACGCCCACTCTGACGCAGACAAGGTATCCTCCGAGTAGTCCATCGACGAGAGAAAGGTCTGGAATGCATGACTCTCGGACTGGGTGAGCAGCGACTGCATTGCTGAGTGCAGATCCCCAGCGATAAGGAAGATAAAGGCAGAAGCGAGGAGATGTGCGCACGGACGGCGACGGCGACGACTGACTGGCTTTGCGAATAAATTGTGTTGCCTGATGGACTGTGGGGTAGACGACAAAGGGCAACCCTCTCCGACAACTCGCATGTGAAATCTTTGTCGCGGTGGCGGTGCAGCTCCTTCCAAATCGGGCCGCACGTGGCAAGCTGCTGCTCCGTCCCGCCGCCGCTCACACCTTTCTCTTCCTACCCCGCATTTGTCGATTCCACCTGATCTCAAGTTCCTTGATTCTGATTCTGACCACATTAAATTCTCCAGAAATTCTAAACTCTCTTACCTGGAGCTTTATCAGAACACGCAGAATTTTCCTGCTCCTCAGTCCCAGTCTTCTGGGCCTCAGTGACCCCACTCGTACCCTCTGCCCACTCACGTCAGAGTGTCAAGGGGAGCGGCCACAAGGTCTCCATTTCGACAGTTTGGATTAATGAAACAACGACCGCCACCTGCTTGAAAACCTTGGGTTGAGTCGTTGACACCATCGCCCCCATGCCGACCAGACGTGACGACTCAATATTCAATGGTCGTCCCTCGCCAGCTTTGAGGGCAGCCCAAGTCCCTTAATTAATGTCTCTATGGACTCTCAAGGTCTGTCTTCGGGAGCGAGCGCTCAGCTAGTGTTGTTGGCGTACTTACGACCGCGGCGGCCACGATTCGGACTGCACGCGGTACCGTGGAGCTGCTGCGCTTAGAGCACCCTTCGTCGGCGTCGGGAAGGGCAAATGCCATCATAAACCCTCTTTACGACTCGCATGACCTCATCAAAGGCAATCTTACGAACTGCGAGGCAACTTAGGGCAACTTGCTCATCTCTTCGTTCTTCTGCCGCCTATCCCAGACTTTTGACCCCAGAGCACTTGGCCAGTATGTGGAGGTATCGGGTCCTCTCTTCCAAGGCATCAGAACACTTCTTATTTATAAGCGCCCCTTTCGCTCATTCAATGTCGTCCATGTGGATGCTGTTCCTATTTCCAGCCCTCGTCTGCAGTCTGCACCTCTATCGTTGCCCTGTTGATCCTCTGAAACCTCCAACAATACTGTAACGATTTTTGCACAGCCAGCCCAAACCGACTTGTTATGTCGGACAGCCGTTCATCCTCCTACGTCAGGCTACTTAGTCGCGTCCAACTTCTACAATCATCTCTTGGACAACGCAAAATTGATGACAAACGGAGGGTCTAGCGCTCAGCAACTGAATGCTGCTGGCGCAGCGCGCGCACTCGACTTCAGCATGCAGAAGCTCCGAGAGAAGCTAGGAAGTGGGGAGAGAGCCCTTCTGGCATCGTTGCCCTATGTTCACTTTGGAGTTTGATTTGGATTTCGTTTTAGCGGCTGTAGCGGTAGTCAGTTTTATCTTCATATTATACAACAGCAGGATCTGTAATTGCTTGTAGGATGATCATAATGCACTGTTGAACCGAGGCTCTCAATCCATTATGAGTGCAAATGATAGGTGCGGGATCTGCAACCTCGGAGGACCGAATCGATATGTATCTCCTCTCAGTAGATTTCCTCGCGCCATCGTCGTCGACGATGAGCAGGAAGAAAGTGCCTGCGAATACGATCTCGGCGCCTATTGTAAGGGCACGTTCCATTGCCCTCGTGCGGCCGACATCTTGTCACTTCTTTAGAAGCACGACTTTCCCTTCGTCCCGTTGAATTCAAACCAACGACATTTCCACATTTCCCCCATTTCATCGTGTGACGGCACTTGCTCATAAACAAAAGCAGTGAAGCTCATTTGAACACTGGACTCCCAGGGGCCAGCACCTGTTCTCCTCGGCCATCAATAATTAAATTCCGATGAAGGGCTCGCTGACTATACAAAGTCAAAGCTGCTATGTATAAGTATTGCGAAAGCCCAGGTGCTCGAATCTCTGGCGGCCTCCGCGGACCGCTGGTGAACCGGTGTCACTTCACACTGATTGATGGTCAACCATTCACAGAGTAGGACAAGCAAAATAGAAATAGACCGTGGCAAAGCCCGTTCGCATGGATGCTGCGTATTCATGGTGATAACGATCCAGGCCGTAGAAATGAGAAAAGAACGAATAAAAAACAGTGGAAAAAGGTAAACCCAATGAGAGAATGACGACCACGCTGTCCTGGACCAGAGGAGTGCTCTATAAGATGATACTAAACCATGCACACCTCGCAGACAGGAGACAATTCTCCTGAAGGCAACAATGAAAGAAGGGGGAAACAAAGAAGACTGGAATGAGATGAAGAGAAAGTCACTGAACGACTTGAGCTACCGTCAAGAAGCATCGCAAGACAAAACATAGCTCCGCGAGGAGGGAGATGTGCCTCGAGGAAAACCATCGAAACGAGAAAAAGGCAGGAGACAAAAACGTAGAAGCAAAAGCCTACGAAAGAGCAACAACTCACGTTTTGACAGCACAACATCTCCGCTTCTGGAATGGATCCTCCTTTCGATCTTGCTACTTCCCCTTCGACCGATTTTCGCCGCTTCAGCCTGACTGGTTCTGTGTTGGCGAGAGGAAAGGGAAAGCAGATGGTTGGTCGCTCTCGGCGCTCGGGTTAAGCCTGCGGTGGGTGGTGAAGCAGACTGGTGAGCTCTCAGTAGACGCAGTGGAGTTGGCGTTTGTCCGCAACCAGGTAAGGGGTGATGAAGAAGATGAAGGTTGGATATGAAGAGAGAATTGGAGACGGCATTGGGTTGGAACTGTGTCCGACCCGATGAGGAGATTGAGGGTGCTGCGAGGGATGATGCAGGGGTATCGAATTACGTTGTTACTGGAAATCGAAGGGTGAATGCGGAGTCGTAGGTGTGCCGAACGTTGGGGAGTCGTGAAGGGACATATAGTTCATATTGAGAGGCGACAGTAAATTTTGTGGAGGCATGGATTGGAGCATATGCTTCTGCTGCATAACCTTGTTGGTGTGCAGGAAAGGCAACAATTCGTGTGGTGACGAGTACGAGTTGGCTCTTCGCTGTTGCTCCTGCTGGAGATACTTAGTGCCCCATATGCCGCCCAGCGACGTTGGTTCATGCAATTGGTCCATCTTATGAGGGGGCTCCGGATTCGAGTCTAGCAAACTGTCGACCGTGTGGCCATGGAGTGACGCATGGCGACGCAGAGAAGGTATGTTCTGAGTAGTCCATTGACGAGAGAAACGACCTGGAATGCCTGGCTCTCGGCCTGGGAGAGCAGCTCAAACAGCCCTCTGTGGTGAGGAAAGGCAATGACTGGTTGGCGAACTCGCATGAGAAACTTGCGGTGGCAGTGCACCTCGGTTTGTTCTACAGGCTCACTTAGTACTGTTTTTGCTCACCCTTCTCGAGCTTGATCTACCATTGATACTCAGTGTCCTCGAAAAATCACTCTGGATTCGCTTTCAAAGTACAGGGAACCAGAATCACCAAACGTCTATTGAACTAGCCCCTGAAGGTCTTCCAGCCCGACCGGACATCTTAGAAATGCCTTTTTCGTTCGCTTCCAGCTAGAGACCTTCGACCTCATAGCAAACAGCAACAAGCCATCCAACTGCTACCTCTGGGCAGCCCTGAGATGCCGTTATGTCTTTCCAACGTCGGCGGGTTTCACCCACAAGGGACCTTGAAGACCTGAACGTCACTCACGAGGGTCATCCAAGTTTGTCTGCATGGTTTGATTATCTTGAAGGCACCCTTTTGACACGATTTAACCCTACAGGAGACCGCGTTGATCTTTTAGAATCCATCTTGAATCAGCAGAGGGCGGTCGAGCTGCCCACACCGACCCAACTTTCTCAGCAACCTTCGTACATCGAAAACGCCATTACCTATAAGGAGAAAGTCATCCTGTTCTTGCCCGAGACCCCTCCTAAACTGTCCAGCCATCTCTCGAATCCCGCGATGTTGTTCACTTCTCGGTTCAAAAAGTTTGCAGACATTGAAGACGTCGACCGTGCCACCCCCCGTCGTCAAAGAGCAGCGAAATGTATTCCTGAGGGGCATCCGGATCTGCCGAACCTACTCTCTGAATTCGGCTGTTCGTTCGCGACTCGCTTTCAATTATTTAGGGAACCGAACGATATCAAGAGCGCCATTTCGAACCATGAGAGATCCTCCTCACGTTCGCAGGATACGCTAGCATCCACGAACGACTCGCCAACCTCAGGACAACGTATTACTCGTTTCAATGTCTGACTGGAATGCTGTGCTTTTGGATTGGATTCCTTCTGTGACATGTCAACATGACTGCTGTGTGCCGCCGTTGCGGATGTGAAGGTAACGAGCAGACGTTATCAGAGACTTATGTCACGACAGGCACGAGTCTGACATGTACAGCACCCGGGGTTAAATTATGTTGACAAGCAAACGAAAGTTGGGCATTGCCCAGAGTATGCAGAAAAGGCCATGAGGTACCCTTTATTCAGCTACAAGAGAAGGCAAAAAGACTACGGAAGGAATTACCAAGGAGGAAATGTCAAGGAAACGAGAGGATCTTTAAATAGGCGCCCGTCAGCAGGTATGCACACCTTTCGACACGAGGCGTACGTGACGTGCGATCGCCGGGGACAAGCAGGGGATGTCAAGATAAGAACATCAAAGTAGAAAGCATCAGTACCCCCTTCCCCTGTAGGACCCTCCTACCAACCACTGAACCGCCGGAGCACGATGAGCAACGAAGACGCTGATCGCTCCAGTCAGCACAGATCTGAGGGGCGTCCTACAACGGATACAGAAAGGAAAGTGGTTCTGCGAGGTAAATGTGCCACAGCACCTGGCCTTCAAGTTTAGTTCTCATCCCCTTTCTGAACACCGTGATCCATGCTGTGGCGTATAGAGTTCCTCATCAAACATACTCCCGGTGGTGCTGCATGCCCGCCCATATCCGGGCTTACTGTCACAGTTTTGGGAACTTGCGCAGAGGAGGATCCCGGATATGTCGAGCAAATATCCCCAATTACGTGGAGGTACCATCGAGTTCTCGAGCTGTGAGTCTCAAAGTTTTCTTCGCCACGCATGGCTTTTCATGCCTTGACCTCGAAGGCACTCAGAAATGGACGAGCTTACCTTTGTCGCTCAGTCGGAAGACTGCGGTGACTTGGGCTATCTGTTCTTCACCAGCGACGAGTTGTCAGCGCTCATGGTAGTAGAATCCGGTGCGGCCTTCGCCATAGGTGTGGAATACATAAACTTAGATGTGCTTTCACAGACGTCAAGTTGGAGCGCGATTTTATAATGGAGGGTGACAGTGTGGGCCACCTGAAAGTTCACTTTTGCATCGGTCAGCTTTCACAAATAATGTTAATTAATCTCATCCCGATTCTGGTCTGATAGGTATACAGCGCAACACCAACGAAGATTTAACGCCAGTTTTCTCCCTACGCGAACTGGGGTTATCCCTTGTTACGCCAGAAAACTCTGCTGAACATCCTTCCGTCACTCTGAAAGCTATGGGCGATCACCTCATCGGCCAATTCAAGAACACCCTGAAAATAGATGACGTTACGAAAGCCCTCTCTGCGTATCAGCACGCTATGAAGCTGGCATCCCCCAACGACTCAAACTATGGAATTTACCTCTGTGGTGCCGTCGGTGCGCTGTTGGAACGGTTTAAATTCTCGGGGAATGTTGCCGACATTGACCGAGCTATTTCAATGATGAAAGAAGAAGTTGCTCGCTCCAGGGAAGGCACTAGTTCCTTGAACCAAGCTGCTGGCCTCAACAATTGCGTAACCTTATTCCGCACTCGGTTTGAACACTATGGGAAACCCCAGGATCTCAAATTCGCGCTCAAATATCAGCAGCAGATGGTCGAAATCACGGCCCAAAGCGATACCTCCTTACCTAAAAGGCTTCAAGTTCTGGGGTACTTGTTCAGAACATGGCATGCATATAGCAGTGATCCCACGGACCTCGAAAACGCCATTGTAAATCACAAAATGGCGGTTCAACTCACATCTGAGGATGATCCGGAGTTACCCAGCAGGCTCATGGGTCTGGGAACCTCTTTCCGGATTCGTTTCGAACGATACGGGCATGATCTTGCAGATCTTGAAGGTGCCATACGCAACCAAGAGAGAGCTGTTCGACTCTTTCCTGAGGGACATATAAACAGGCCAGGTGTATTGGATGACCTTGGACTTTCTCTTTTCGCTCGCTTCCAGCACACTAGAAACAGAGAGGACCTCGATGCTTCCATAAAGATGCACCAGCAGGCGATCCAGATTATTCCCCAGTATCACAGTGACAGAGCTTCATTCTTTTCTAACCTCGCCACTTCGCTTCAAACCCGCTGCGAATACTACGGAGACCTCGAAGACATCACGACCGCCATTAACTACCATCAGCAGGTGCTCAAAGTCACCCAAGACAGCCGTTCCGACATCATAGCCTTACTTCTCAATAATCTTGGAGAGGCATTTTGGACTCAATATTCAATGACGGGAGCCGTTGCCCACCTCGACAGCGCTATCCCAAACTACGAGAGAGCCCTCGAACTTCTCGACATCCTTGGCTCCAGATTTGCGATGCATCGTGTCACCAATATCTCAAGTTGGGAGGGGGTCCGAGTCCGAACTCTCTTGAACCTTGCCCGGACATTGACGACACGCTTCGAGAATGGAAAAGGAAACCTCGAGGACATCAACCGTGCCATCTCGTATGAGCAGACAGCAATCCAACTCCTTCCCGAGGGGCATGATAGCCTTGCGGGCTGTCTTTCGGGCCTCGGTATCTCATTAGCAGCTCGTTTCAAAACACTTGGGAACTTGGAGGATATAGAAGTTGCCATCTCTAATCAGCAGAGAGCAGTTGGGATGACCAGGGAGGGACATGTTGACTTGCCGACACGGCTCGCGCACCTCGCGTCTTCATATCTGGCTCGCTTCCAGAAATTGGGTAACCGCCAGGACATCGAAAGCGCCATCGAAAATCAGCAAAGAGCGGTGCAGCTGACTCATGAGGTGCATCCTCAACAACATGTGCGACTTGCTGATCTCGGAAACCTTTTTTCAAGTCGTTTTACAGATCTTGGGGACACTGTGGACCTCGAGAACGCTATCTTAATTCTCCAGCAATCAGTACAATGCGCTCCTCCATGGTTTACTCACCTCCCTTTGCGACTTATGAATCTTGCAGCAGCGCTTGCTTCACGTTTTTCCTATAACCAGGAAATAGGCGACCTTGAAAGGGCCATATCGAACTTGGAGCAGGCGGTCAAGTTATTCCCCGAGCACCAGGCGGAGCTGCCCATGTGCCTCAGTAACCTTGGAATAACCTTGATAGTACGCTTTGAAAAGACCGGAAACCCCGACGACGTCGATTGTGCTATTTCACACATGCAGAAGGCCCTCGCTCTCATTCCTGACAGCCAGACTTTCAAGTTGGCACAAGCGCTTGCAGGCTTGGGAGGCTCCTTTTCTGCTCGCTTCACAAACACTCAGGACCTTGCAGACATTGATCTCGCCATCTCATACTTCCAACAAGCCGTAAATGCCGTCCCAGTCGGTCACACTGACCACCCAGTCTTCCTATCCGGCCTTGCAAGGTCATGTGCCAATCGCTTTGGCAAGACCAAAGACCTGGCTGACATTGAAAGGGCAATAGCAAGTCACCAAAAAGTAGTCCAGTGCACTCCCAAGGAGCATCACGGGCTGGCCATCCGCACTTATGACCTTGCAACTTCGCTGCTAACTCGCTTTGAGGTGACAGGGGATCCTCAAAGCCTTGCTCAAGCGATAGCAATGTTTAAAAAGGCAACAAAAGAGACAAGTGGGCATCCGCGAACGCGCCTTTCTGCTGGCTACGCATGGGGGAAATTATGCACGCAATATCATACGTCTGAGTTCTCGGAGGCATGGAATGTCACCATTGGACTATTGTCCCAGGCTGCTGGCTTAGAACAAACGATATCCAAACGTCACAACAATCTTGTTTACATATCCACTATAACCACCTTTGCGACAGGTGCGGCCTTCGACAACAGCGCCTTCGAAAGTGCCCTCGCTTGGCTAGAGCAAGGTCGTTGCCTTGTCTGGAACCAAATCAGCCAACTTCGTACGCCAGTGGACAGGTTGCGAGTCTCCAAGCCATCTCTTGCTGGCCGCTTCTTGCAACTGGCCAACGGCTTGGAAGCTTCTGGATTTCGTCAACAGTCGTCGATACCCGCCGCAGAAGTAGCCATTACACCCAGAACAATTGCAATTCAAGACGAAATTCATGCTCATGCCCGATTTGCAAAGGATTGGGACAATCTACTTTCAGAGATCCGAAGGATTCCAGGGTTCCGGGATTTCCTTCAGCCCCCCAAAGTCACCGACATTCTTGAACGGCTGCCACAGGACACTCCGATCGTCATCTTCAGCATCGCCCAAGAGCGATGCGATGCCCTAGCATTGGTTTCTGGTGTGGATACTCCCATCCATATTGCGCTTGCAGATTTCACCTACGAGAAAGCGATCGAACTTCGTCGCGAGCTCCAAGGATATCTGAGGGCACATGGTGTTCGCCTGCGGGATGATGAGCCTGATCCTGATGCGGATCGCGGTGGACACCAGGTTCAGTACCAAAGACGACAAGGCGGCCTTCATAGGATTCTTCGATCGCTGTGGTTGGATGTGGTTCAGCCGATATTAAGCGGTATTGGGTACTCGGTAAGTCACCTTCTGCGCCGAAATCTTGTGCTTGCTGACGGGTCCTGCTACCAGTCCCCGCCGTCACACCGAATGCGTATTTGGTGGTGCCCGACCGGCCCACTCGCGTTCCTGCCGCTCCACGCTGCAGGGATTTATGGCGAGGACAGAACTCCTGGATCTCTAGTTTCCGATTTCGTTGTTTCCTCGTACACACCGACTGTGACCGCCCTTCTCGAGAAACTAAAAGAAGAGCCCGCGAAAAAGCAAGGACACGACACAATACTCCTCGTCAGCCAGCCAGAGACTCCGGGGCGTACCAAGCTGCCAGGGGCGAAAAAGGAAACTGAGGCGCTTATAGCGCTGATGTCCGGAAAGGGAATAGAACCCCAGTTGCTCGAGGGAGAGGAGGCCACGACCGTCAGAGTCAAGACGGAGATGGCTGCCCACAGTTGCATCCACTTGGCCTGTCACGCCGTCCAGGACATCGCGAAACCTCTCAACAGCGGGTTTTGCTTGCACGACGGTCTACTTCAGCTCCTCGAGATCATGCCCCAGCGCCTTGCAAACACCGAGCACGCGTTCCTGTCTGCGTGCCAGACGAGCACAGGAGACGAGAACCTTTCAGACGAGGCCGTTCATCTTGCAGCGGGCATGTTGGCTGCTGGGTACCGGGGAGTGGTGGCGACGATGTGGTCGATCCGGGACAAATACGGACCTGAAATCGCATCAACCTTCTACAGTCGTCTCTTGGAAGAAGGGGAGTCGTGCGCTGAGGAAGGAGTGGTAACGAAGATTGATGGTGCTGGTGCTGCGCGTGCACTTGACTTTAGCGTGCAGAAGATTCGAGAGAAGCTGGGAGATGGGGAGAGCGACCTTTTGGCGTGGTTGCCTTACGTCCACTTTGGAGTTTGATTTGAGATTCAATTTCTATACTTTTGAAAGCAGTCAGCTTTACCATCGTGTTAAATGACGATAGGATCCAGTTTCTGTATAGTAGTATGGTTGTCGCGCATCGTTTTCATTCAAGATCGCCTTACATGCCGCGCAACACAGAACGGAAGCTCTTCTTCACAAGTCAGAATCGCGTCTTGAAGCCCGGTGAACATCCTGCAGCTGGTAGTGACGGGTTAAACATCGTTTGTTGGAAGTTCTCTTCAACGTACCGTAGCGGCCATGAGATGATCGAGCGAGGGCCGAAGATTGAAGGATTAGCAAAGAGATTCGATTGGTGAGAATTCAGCTCTCGGAAAGCGTAAAGTAGCAGGAATAGAGGCGGGTTGCTGGTCAAAGTATGTGACTAAGAAGAGGTTGCCACTGGCACTTTCAACCGCCCCTATTTGCGCGGCACGTGAAGTTCCCTATCTGGGTGCATTGCACTGTCCCACACCCGAGTCGACAACGACGACCATCGACAGTCTCCTTATCTCTCATCCGACCCACAACCCCCCCCTTTCACATATCCAGGTGTATACATTCACGATGGGGGACGTGATCGACTCGATGCTCGACCTGATGCGGCGACTCCCGCCTACGCGGACGCAGGAGAACGTAGCAGCACTCGTCGGGATCTGCCCAGAGGACGCCGACGAGCTCCTGCAGAGCGTCGACCAACCCCTTCAGGTCATGGTTGACCGCGCGACGGGGAGGGAGTACCTCGCGTGTGACTACAATCGCGATGGGGAGAGCTACAGGTGAGTTTGCGTACGAGTGCTGCGCGACATGCATGCATGGTATGGAGGAAGCTGATGGATAGAATCTGTGTGTAATGATAGGTCCCCGTGGTCGAACGAGTACGACCCCCCACTGGACGATGGCGCTGTACCCTCGTCGAAGATGCGGAAGCTTGAGATTCAGGCGAACGAGGCGTTTGATACGTACCGCGAGATGTACTACGAGGGTGGCGTGTCTTCCGTCTACCTCTGGGACCCGGAAGAGCCGAGTGGCGGAGGCAACTTTGCTGGTGTCGTCGTTCTAAAGAAGAGTGCGTGTTGTCTCCCTGTTCTGAGTTGTGCCAGTGTTGACGAGCTGCTTCGTGATCGTGATGTCCAGCGATGACACCTGCGACACCATACGAGCCCTCTGGCTCCTGGGATTCAATACACGTCTTCGAGACCATGGAGAGAGGACGACAAGCACATTACAAGCTGACATCAACGGTCATGCTGCACCTCCTCACGCGGAAAGGATCTGAAAGCGATGGGAAACCCTCAGCGGACACGAAAGGGCCCGAGAGTTGGAAGCGAAACGGGGAGCTGAGCTTGAGCGGAAGCATGACACGCCAGGTATGCCTATGCCGAGGAACGCTGTTATTCTAACGTCTGATTGACTTGGCCCGACAGACCGAACAAGACTGGCCCCTCCAGGAGACCTCGTCCCACATTGGAAACATCGGGAAGATGATTGAGGAGATGGAGATAAAGATGCGTAATCTCCTACAGGAGGCGAGTCAATACGCCCCCTCCATCTGCCAATGCCTAATTCATTCGATCCCGACAGGTGTACTTTGGAAAGACACGCGACATTGTATATGACCTGCGCAGCGTGGGCGACCTGGAGAAGGCCAGACGGCAGAAAGAATTGCAGAAAGAACTCGTTGGGTTTATCAAACGGCCATGACGAGCTTATGTCGGTCCCAAGCACCAAATTGTATAATTTTCACTTTTAGACCAGCCCTACTCGAGAGACATGTTGAGGAGATATCCTGGGCATGAGCTCCTCTTCTTGAGTGGTGCATGCTCAGCTCGAGTTCGATTTTATCTAACCTTTCTTTGCATGGGGCCCTAGATTTTCTGCATAACAAAGCGAAGTCTATCGCCTCGACAGGTTCAACTTTTTCAGAAGTAGAACCTTTAAAGTTTAAGCGCACCGCAAATCGCTCGGCACGACTGAGAGGCGAAGGCGAGCGATTCGTCTTCGAGTCAAAATGAAGTAAAGCTCTGATATGAATATCCCCGAACCACGTACGGGAGGACCGGCAAACTTCTGGTCTTCGTAGATTCAATATTCACTAGACTATCGTGTTCTTACAGGCCATGCTGTCTGTCGTAGGCCTTTACAACGACCCACCACCACCACTTACATCCGAATTTTTAACAAGCTGAGGGATTACGTTGGAACCAAACCATGAATAAAAAGACAGATGAATGAAAAGTCAACCTGAGATAGGTGGCGGCGGCCGAGCCGATTTGAACCGCAGTCCTCCACAGCGAAAAACAACTTAGATTGCCGGCAGAAGCCTTCTCTTCGAGCGTGGTGCAACACATTTCAAGGCTTCATCCAGCGCGTTCTATGAGGCGAAGGCGGGTGCTTGACCTCGTGTCAAGAAGCGACGTCAAACGGTGATATTTTTTGAGCAAGGATTTTTATAGACACGAACGCTATTCATCAGGAATGTCCTTCACCGATTGTCCAATCGACTCTAGAATCAAGGAACGTCTCGAGTTAATTTGACTTGCCTCGACACCCCTCAGAAGTGATTGTATCCGAGTCCAAGATGTCGTTACCTTTAGGGTGTGGACGAGCCAACGGAAGTTTAGAACTACAGTCGCTGCTCTTGTTGTTCTAGCAAGTGGGCAGGTGACGAGTTATCGTCTGCCCGCTAGCACGGCGTCTGCAATTGGATTGGCGTGAATGGTGACCTAGGAAGGTGCTGCATGAGGCGGCTGCTCGGCGAGGTTCTCGACGGCACTTACACTCGTCAATTTGATCTCGTTCAGCGGCCTGTTCTTGTTGTTGACAGGAACACGTTCAATCGCGTCCAGAGTCGAGTCCGCGCCGTCAATGACCTTGCCAAAGATCGTGTGCTTGCCGTCGAGGTGGGGTTGCTTGGCGTAGGTGATGAAGAACTGGGACTTGTTCGAGTCGCTATCATTTCCCGAGTTGGCCATGGCCACGACGCCGCGGGCATTGAACTGGGCAAGCAAGCGGATCAGAGAAGAAGAGGGAAAGTAAGCGAACCGACTTTGAGGGTGGACCGAATCTCGTCGGAGAAGGGCGAACCCCAGATGCTCTGGCCGCCCTTGCCCGAGCCTGTTGGGTCGCCGGTTTGGACGATGAAGCCACGGATATTACGATGGAAAATGCATCCGTCGTAGTATCCTGACGCACATAGAGCGAGGAAGTTCTGCATCCGTCGCGATTAGTACCGAACGGATGTTGGAAGGCGAAAAGGACCTGCCTCAGCTGCCTTTGGCACGGCCTCGCAAAACACCTCTATCTAGAAGATTTTCAGCATTTTTGTAGGCCGCATTCAGGATTTCAACCCACCTTGAGGTCGCCGTGGGTCGTATGTAGGGTTACAGACTGTACATGTGTCAGTGGGCGGTTCTAAGATGGAGGAACGGAAGAAAGTACCATTTTGGAGTGTGACGGTGACATCGAAGCCTATATTTCCTTTTTCGCGTGTCCACTAATCGGTGACCCGGTGTTCACGCTCTCCAAATCCTTCTTTCTTCACAACCATCACCACAGACTAATGCGCACCCCGTCGCTTTATAGCCAGGATGACCCTATCACGGCAGCCATGAAGCCTCCGTCCACCGAGACGGAGGCAGAGCGCAGCGCCCGATTGTATGCAGAGGCAGAGGCGAAGCGGGTCTCCGAGCAGATCGACGAGGACCTGCGAGAGGAGCGCGAGCGCCTCAAGAGGCGGAAAGGCGATGTCAAGGTACGCCCAGTCGTCGGTACATCTTTCGCGCGCATATATTAACCGAATGTCCAGCTACTCCTCCTCGGCCAGGCCGAGAGTGGCAAGTCTACCCTGCAGAAGCAATTCCAGCTCATGTACCGCCCAAACTCGCTCGATCAGGAGCGCCATTCCTGGAAAACGGTCATTTACTTCAACGTTGTGCACTCTATTAGGCACATTCTGGCGACACTGGAGAGTTGGGACGACGTACTCGACGACGAAACGGATACTATTACCATGGACGACGCTCAGTCTCTTGGTCCCACGAAGCTGAAGGGCAATGGTATTGCTGATCAACCTTCTCCATCAACTTCCCTTATGGACGGAAGTGTTATTCATGGGTCTCCGCACTCCGTCGCGAACTCAGAAGCCACTGGGTCCGCCAACCACTCTACCCCCAAGGACAGTGGCGCCCTTCAAATCGCCAACCTGCGCCGCCGGCTCTCTCCTTTGGTCGCCACGGACACTCAGCTCGCGGATCGCTTAAGCGGCGGAATCACCGTCTCCGGTTCTGGAAAGGGGGCCGTTTACGTTCGCAGCGGATGGCAAGCCCGCACGATCGAGAATGCTCTTGGAAAAATCAAGCAGAAGCGACCATCTTCAGCCGCAGAGAAAAAGGCCCGCGAAAGCATCTCTCAAGAAGTTACCCCTGACCCCATGGTTCAGGAAGTCGGAAGATTGCTCGAGGCTTGTGAGGAAGACATTCACGAACTGTGGAGTCATCCGACCGTCAAGGGCATGATGGCGAAACGGCGGCTCAAATTGGACGAGTGGTCGGAGTTGTACGTGATGACTTTTGTGCTTATCTCGTCTACCATTCACTCTGCCGACAGCTTCCTGAGACATATCTCTCGTGTCGCCGCGCCGGATTATGTGCCCACGACTGGTAAATCAATTTTTTTGTGGTTTTTTGGCGCATATATTCACCTCAATTCACCCATCTCACCACAGATGACATTCTTCATGCCCGAATTCAGACAATGGGCGTTGCAGAACACGTCTTTGATGTGAATATCCATGGAAAATCCGTTACCTGGCACTTATACGATGTGGGCGGTGCTCGAGGGCAAAGGCACTCCTGGGTACCCTACTTTGACGACGCGAATGCCATTATTTTCGTTGCGCCAGTGAGCGCCTTCGACCAGGCATGTCTATCCCTACGACCTGTCTATTCTCACCCTGTCGATCACTGCGCTAAATACTGACTCTGCATTCCAGTATCTCGAAGAGGATCCCCGAACAAACCGAATAGATGACTCCCTGCAATTGTTCACACAGATTTGTTCGAACGCCCTGCTTAAGAGCGTTCATTTGGTTCTCTTCCTCAGTGAGTGGTTCTTGTCTTCCATCATGGATTGCCAGTCACCTGTGTCATCGTAGACAAAACTGATCTCCTACGGGCGAAGCTAGACCGAGGTTTGAAAGTTCGGAAATAGTAAGAAGCACCCATCAAACATGTGGGCGTTGGCATTGATTCCATTCTTCTCACACAGCATCACGTCCTTTGGCGACCGCTCGAACGACTATGAGACGGTTGTTCAGTATTTCCGAGCGCATTTCCTGCAAGTCCATCGAAGAAATAACGAAAACCGTCGTGTCCTGTATACGCACTTTACGAGCGTAGTCGTGCGTACAACTCACTTTTCATTACTGCGCTCTGACTCACTCTCCTTGTCTACCGCAGGACACGAAAGCCACCCAGCGTATTATTGGAAACGGTCTGTTCCGACTTTCTTCCATCCACGTGTGTCCTTCTGATCATCAAGTTATATAGTTCGCGACTCCATTTTCAGAGGCTACTTGCAATCAGCAGCGCTCGTTTAATTTCCGTCTCCGTCGTCCTTTGGTCCAGGTCTGGTATGGCCAAGACGTTGCTGCTGTTCCATCGTCTCCGGTGTTGTGCTGTTTCGCTCTGATTCGACTCCTCCGCTATTAGTTCTCTCCGCTCATTTTCTACCCCTATGAACATCTCTCGATACAGCCACGCATTTCGATGTTATTTGTTGCCTGTCTTTTTGTCGCTTGCTCTTCCACGTTCCCCTGTACACAACATCGAGGTTTAATTCACGATTCCTTAGAAACTCACTCTTTTTCTTTCTCGATATCTCTCATCCGTGTACGCACAGTTCCGTCCATGCCGCCTGTATGTACTAGCCATCCCACACTCGCTTGACCCGAACTTATTTCGCTACTATCGTCGATCGTCTTCCTTTCATCCCTCTTGTTATTACCGCTAATTGTCGCAGTCCTTCCTCATCGTTACGAATTTGACGAAAATAAATTATCCTTGTCTCTTCGGCTTCGATGATCGTCGGCTAGCAGGATGAGTGACTCAACCGGTACTGTCGACCATTGTGGATATGTTGTAGAGCCGCAATTGAGAACCTCCAGTACTGATCGACGTTCTGAACTACCACAAACAAGGCGAATAAGTAATATGGAAACCCAGTAACATACTGCACGGGTCCATCTCTTGAGCTTAGTGGTGAATACGACCCTGATGAGATTATTAAGCGAAAAAAGATAGTGTGGCGCACTTGTTTTGCTTCCGTCGCCAAGAGTTTTTTTGCCTCGCGTCCCTCAAGTTGAGGGACTGAACACATGCATAAGCCATTCGTTGCTTTTATCGAGCTACTAAATTGTGGGTGGCAGGGGATTCTTTTTGAATCTTTCTGTCGCAGACCGTCACGGTGTCGCAGCTCAGGCTGCCGACCATTATTTTTTAAGTTTGGCAATTAGTTCAACTCAACGTCAGTGAAAAAGAAAGTACTGAGAGCTCCGTTGACCGATGAATTGCATCTACAAACAACAGGGCGTCCCCTTCAACACCAACACTCCATTGGGCCAACATTTCTGAACAAGCCCTTAGTAAGTTGTCAAGTACCAGAAACCCTCGTCCTTACAAGAGCGAGCTAGACTCAATTTTTGCACCCCCCGCGTTTAGCAGCAATGCAAGTGTCCATCAGCGTCTGTATTTTTGGGTTCAGCACTTCGACTTGGGAAACTTGAGAAAGAGGCACTAGCCGTGGCAGCATGGTCATTTGCACGCGCTAGTAGTTGTAGAGGGCGAAGCGGCGGCGGCGTCCGCGCGCTGAAATTCTTCGATCCGATGGGTTTTGGAAGGAGGCGAATGAAGGTCCAGTCGCGTTTTTGAAGGCATCCTTTGTACCTACAGAAGATCGAAACAAGACGCAACAAAAATCAGCGGAGCACGCAGTAAATCTGGGATAAGGAAACGTGCAGGCAATATGGGTCAGGAGGGGGATAGATGCAAGGCGGATTACCCTGGGCCGTGGTTGACTTGTAGGTTTAGAGTAACCCCTTGACTCCAACAATGTGCGATGTCTTGTGCGGCCTGCTTGACGTGTTCCAAAGCCACGATGTGAATACATCGCCGCAGGCTATTGCAAACCATTTTGCATCTATTTTATCTTGGGAAATCACCTGTGCCAGCAGTGGGCCAGTTTTGACGACGAAGGGTGAGCCGGGAGCGCTGAGCCAGGGTTGTAAAAGGGTTGTCAAGTCAATGCATGAATGAGTGTACCACTTGGGACCTTTAGAGTTATAGATAGTGTTCCGTATTTACCAAATTGTTGTGTGTTACACCTTCGTAACCGTTTATCCCGAGAAATGTACATAGAAGTGAAATAGTATCTAAGCTCCGAAGTGGACGTACGGCAACCATGCCAAGAGGGCTCTCTCCTCATCTCCTAGCTTCCCTCGCATTTTCTGCGTGCTAAAGTCGAGTGCACGAGCAGCACCAGAACCATCAAGCTGCCGATCCCTTCCCTCCCCCGCCGTAAACTTCCCACTTTCCAAGAGATGGCTGTAGAAGTCTGACGCAATTTCGGGCCCGTATTGATCTTGGATCGACCACATCGTCGCCACGACGCCCCTGTATCCAGCAGCGAGCATTCCTGCTGCGAGATGAACAGCCTCGTCTGAAAGCTTCTCGTCTCCAGTGCTAGTTTGGCATGCGGACAAGAATGCGTGTTCGGTGTTAGCGAGGCGTAGGGGCATGATATCGCGTAGCTGTAAGAGCCCATCATGCAGACGGAATCCACTGCTCAAAGGCTCGCCAATGTTCTGGACACCATGGCAGGCAAAGTGTACCCAGCCATGAGCACCCATCTCCTTCTTGACTCGGTCAATCGTCCCAGCTTCGTTTTCAAGCACACGGGGCTTGATACCTCGTTTTCCTATCATCGCGTTGAGCGCCTCCGTTTCCGCCTGTACACCTGGTATTGGGCGACAGCCTGGCATTGCAGGCTGACTGACTAGAAGTACACTCGAGTGTGTTGGTTTCTCCTCGGAAGCCTCTTGAAGCTTGTCGAGGAGCACGCTCACGGTTGGGGTGTACGATGAAATGACGAAGTCGGAAACAGAGAATCCGGGGTCCTCTTCTGAGCCATAGACTCCAGCAGCATGGATGGGGATGAAAACAAGTGGCCCAGTAGGGCACCACCAAATTCGCGGTCGGTCTGCAGGAGGGCACTGATTTAAAGATCCATGAACACAAGTACGGCATACAAGACAATATGAACGGGGCTTACCGAGTACTCCAAGATGTCGAAAATCGGTTTCACCACGCTGAACCACAGAGTGCGTAAAACACGGTATAACGTATTCTCCTCGATTGGCATTGCCCTTCGTCCAGCCCGATCGATGTCTTCTTCGGAGTCAACCTCGAGGCGGACACTCTTTTGTTGAAGAAATGAGCGTAGGTCGCGAGAGAGTTGATCAGCTTGTTCATAAGTGAACGATTTGAGTCGGATGTGGAGGGGTTCATCGCGACCGGAAACCAGCACCATTGCATCGCATCGGGTCTTCGCGATGTTGAAGATAACAATAGGACCTTCCTGGGGCAGACGGGTGAAAATATCTGGGATTTTGGGAGGCTGCAGGAAATCTTGGAACCCAGGGACGGAGCGAACGTCTAAAAGCACTTGATCCCAATCGTTGGCGAGTTGGACATGGGCACGGACTTAATCTTGGATTGCGATCGTTTCGTGTGTGATTGCCTCCAAATACTGTTGTTGATGTCGGTATCCGGACGCTTCTAGGGCACGCGCCACATGCAGGACGCGGTCGGCGAGGGTTGGGTCGTAAGCACGCAAGATGTCCACAGGCGTACGCAGCTGGTTGATCTGATTCCAGACGAGGCATCGACCTTGTTCGAGCCAACCAAGGGCAGTTACAACCTCCTTGTTTTCGACGGCAGCAGCAGTTGCAGACGCAGTCAAATCGGATACTTCAACGAGGTTCTTGTGACGCCTGGATATTGTTTGTTCTAGACCAACTACCTGGGACAGGAGGCCAAGAGCGGCTTGAAAAGCTTCCATCGACTCTGACGAACGGTCAGCCTGCTGGCACAATTCAGCCCAACTTCGAGCGGCGGCAAGGCGTATGTTCGGATGTCCAGACCGTTCTTTGGCTGCCATACAAGCCATGTCAATTGCTTCTCTCAGATCCTCTGGATCCTTTGTCACATCGAAACGAGAGTGCAATGAAGTCGCGAGGTTGTAGAGTCGTATGGCACGTTCAGCGTGCCCTTCGGCAGTCATCTGGACGGCCATCCGTTGGTTTGAGATCGCACCGTCAGCGTCTAAAAGGTATTTAGTATGTTTGAAGCAATCCCGGAACGATCGGAGTATGTCTGACTGCCTCTTCCTGATTGAAAATCGCGCTTTTGATGTCTTCAAGGGATTGCGACTGTATAAAGCGAGTATGAAAAGAGCTTCCGAGATTATTGTGCAAACCAGGCAGTTCGACATGAGTGTTGGGAATGAGCTGGACTGCCATTTGATGATTTGAGATAGCGTGTTCGAGGTCCGTGGTGTCTCCCATCCATTTGAAGCGAGTCAAGAAGGCATTCCCAAGGTTGTTGAGGAGCATGGGGAAATTGGCATGGTCAGCGGGTGTGAGCTTGACAGCCTGTTGTTGATGAAAGATGGCGTTTTTAATGTCGTCAAGATCTTCAGTGCGCCAGAAGCGGGCAGAAAAGGACGAAGCAAGATTGGCAAGCAGTGCTGGATAGTTCGGATGGTCCTTGGGGGTGAGCCGTACTGCTTGCTGTTGGTGTAAGATAGCGGTTCCCAAGGTCAGATAGTTGGTTCAGTGAGCTTGTGTGCCCCTCAGGGGTGAGTGCGACTGCTCTCTCTTGATATGAGATTGCATTGCTGATGTCCTTAGGATCTCCGGTGGATGCATAACGAGTCGCAAGTGATCTTCCAAGGTTACGGAGCAGTCCAGGTAAGTTGGCGTGTTTGGAGGGGGCGAGTTGCACCGCCCTGTCGTGATGCGCGATAGCATTGTCCAAGTGTTGAAGATTGCCGGTGTGTCGAAATTGCGACAAAAATGAGTTTCCCAGGTTGGTCAGTAGTCCGGGCCGGCTGGGGTGGCGTTCCTGAGTTCGCTCGACGGCCCGCTCCAGATGTGAGATGGAATTCTCTACATCTTCGATATCTCCGTGACGTTCGAATCGCATGAGCAATGATGTCCCAAGGTTATTGAGAAAAGTGGGCAGGTCGGTGTTGTCATCCGGAAGTAATTTGGCTGCTTTGCGGTGATTTGCAAGGGCGCTATCGATGTCCGACATGTCTTGGGCGACTTCAAAGCGGGACTGAAACGTATTTCCAAGGTTATTGAATAGTCGAGGTTGAACAAAATTGCTGTCTGCGGCGCATTGAATCGCCATCTGCTGATTACATATGGCACTTTCAATGTCTTGACGGCCTTTAGTGTGTTGAAAACGAATCCGAAAGGATGTTCCGAGGTCGCTGAGCCGTAACGCGAAATCCGGACTCCCCTTCGGAGTGCGTTGGAGGGCTATCTGATGGTATAAGATTGCCTTTTCAGCATCTTCCGAGCGGCCGGTGCACTCGAAGGACATCCGATACGAATGTGCGAGTCCACTAAGCCATGCAGGATGGTTCTGGGGATGAGCTTCGACTCCTTTCCGCTGATACTCGACCCCTCGTTCGATGTCTCTGGGGTCACCCTCGTGTTCAAAGCGAGTGCGGTACAAACTTCCCAAGTTAATGAGCCTTCCAGGGAAATTAACATCACTCTTGGGGGTGCAAGCAACTCCAACGTCCATCATCGAAATAGCTTGGTCAATGTCGGATTGATTCGCCGTCAACCCGAACCGCCTGAACAACGCAGATGCAGCATCGCAAACATACTCAGCGTAGCGTGTATTGTCAGGCTCTGTCAGCTGCACGGCCCTGTGGTAAGCAGAGAAAGCTTGGCCGATGTCATGAATGTTGTTGCTCGTTGCAAATTGTTGCATTAAGCGATTGCCCAAGGCATTCAATGATGCGGGTTGCTCAGAAAAACTGAAAGAGTTCGTTTGCATTTCCGACAGCTCTTGGGTTGTGAAGCTTGACAGGAAATCCGAGACGGTCGCTGTTATATTCAAGTCAGCTCATGATCAACTACAGCCGAAAGTTCAACAGATAGAAACATACCTATGCTGAAAGACATTTTCAGGGTCCCATGAACACCATCCTCCATTGCGAAACTGCGATCCAGCTTGAGGTCTAGAAGTGGAAATATGAGGCATGTACAACTCGATACGGAGAAAAATGCACGCACCATATCCTACGGTCAGAAATGCCAACATATCGTCTCTAGTAAGAAATAAAAAGCCCAGATCGCCAACTTCTTCTGACTGAGCAACAAACGTAAGATCGCCAATATCTGGGTGCCTTGGGTCCCAGTGATTGCTTGATGTAGCACAGGACTAGAAAGGTACAGAGGCACGCACAGTTGGATGACACGATCGTACTTCCACAGAGCAGCAGAGATCTTCTCCGTCCGTGCAGCGTCCTCATCCTCATCGTCTTCAAGCCCAAAGACGGAGAGCGAGAGTGTTTCAGGGACATGCCGACCCCCGTCGTCAAAAGAGTGCTCTATGAAGAAATCTACGTTCTGGCATAAGTAAGAGGTGGAATAATCCGAGAGTGGAACACTCACCCTTCAGAACGACTTTCTCATTCTCGCTATTGAAAAGATTGCGTTCAATAATTGTCCTAACTGATGAAGATGAACTAGATGGGGCCGTTATTGTGCTCGTGCCCGCCGTAACAGGAGAGTTGTCGCTTCCTTCCTTCAAGCTGTCCATTGGAGAGAGGTCGAAGGAGGCACTTGACGGTTTGATCTTGAGGGGTGGGTTGCTAACGTTGCAGATACTCCTCAAGTCTGGTATGAATCAACCCTTGGCCGGCACTGGCTCTAGCCCACGGAAACATCACACCAAGAAGCGTGTGCAGAAGTGCCGGGCGCCTATTTATACCCCCTATCAAAGGCTTTGGTTCTTGCCGATTGGTGGCCCGAGCTTCTAAGTTCTAGCTCATCTCGTATGCTGTGGACTTAGGTTGAATAGAAGAGTCCCACTCTGAGCCCCAGGCTGCCCACCATTTTGCCTGGCCCACTCTATATGGGAGCGGGGCAATGCCCCTTTCACAGCGATCCTGTATCGCTTGAGGCTGACCATGGACATTGGTTTTGGTTGTATACGACCAGATATGTGAGCGGCTGTGAACGGTGGCTCCTGTGTGGGATGAAAAGCAAAGTCATTGTTGCCGAGGACACTCAAACGTTGTTCAAACGGCAGTCGTTTTGCCCTCCGAGGCGGGGAGCATCACGTGCCTGAAATAGGGATGAAAGTAGTCTGCTTAACGCTGTGCACGCTATTCAGAACCGTAATTGCGGTCCTATTATGCAAACGCCAGTACTCCGATGACATTATTCGGCAACTGCAGTATCGAAATCCCACACTAAACTCCGAAGTGGACGTAGGGCAACCATGCCAAGAGGGCTCTCTCGTCATCCCCCAACTTCTCTCGAATCTTCTGCACGCTGAAGTCAAGTGCACGAGCTGCGCGAGCACCATCAAGCTTCGTTACCCCTCCTCCACTGGTGGGCAATTTCACTTCTTCTAAGAGATGGCTATAGAAGGTTGCGGCAAATTCAGGCCCGTATTTGTCCTGGATCGACCACATTGTTGCCACTACGCCTCGATAACCAGCGGCCAACATCCCGGCAGCGAGGTGAATCGCTTCGTCCGAGAGCTTCTCGTCTCCCATACTGGTCTGGCATGCTGACAGGAAGGCGTGGTCGGTTTCAGAGAGGCGCTCTTGCATTATCTCAAGGAGATGAAGGCGGCCGTCGTGCAGATGGAATCCACTCTTGAGAGGCTCTCCTATATCTTGGACGGCATGACAAGCGAAATGCACCCAATTGTGTGTGATCAACTCCTCCTTGACCCGAGTTGCCGTGGCGGCAGCACCTTCAAGCAACCGAGATTCTATAGTTGCGCTCGACAGCATCGTCTTGAGCACTTCTGTTTCTTTCTTAGCGCCCGGTAGGCGAGAACACCCTGGCGTCTCTGGTTGGCTGACGAGAAGTAGGTTGTCGTGTCTTCGCCTGTCAGTGGGCGTCTCGTTCAATTTATCGAGAAGGGAGCTGATCGACGGGGTGTAGGAGGAAATAACGAAATCGGAAGTCGATGATCTAGCAGTCCTGTCTTTCGCAAAGATCCCAGCCGCATGGAGGGGAAGGAACGCGAGGGGGCCAGTGGGGCACCACCAAATACGCGGCCGGTCTGAAGCTGGGAACTGTCGGTTTCATTAGCGATGACACGATCTCACAGTGAAATAATCTACACATACCGAGAAACCAAGGGCGTCCAATATTGGTTTTACGGCGTCCGCCCAAAGAGAGCTGAGAACTTTGTAAAGACCGCCCTGCATCCCGAGAGGGGGAACTTTGTGTCCGCCACGATCTGCCTCGAGACCTTCGTCGTCCCGCTGGATATCATGCGCCCTTAGGTATTTGCGGAGACTGCCAGAGAGTCCGAGCACTTGTTCATGGCTGAAGTTTTCAAGTGAGACGTGGAGGGGGACGTCACAACCAGAAACCAAAGCCAACGCATCACTTCGTTTCTGGCCAATGTTGAAGATGACGATAGGGCCCTCCTGTGGCAAGCGCGAGAGCAGATGTGAAGCATCGGGAGGTTGAAGAAAATCCTGGAACCCGGGAATAGCGCGAATCTCTGCGAGTATCCGATCCCAATCCCCGGCGAGCTGGACATGGGCCTGAGTCTCCTCTTGTATTGTGATCGTTTGAGGGGTGACTGTTTGCGAGATGGCAGTGGTTTCCTGTTGGCGATATGCCGAGGCTTCCAGCGCACGCCCCACCTGTAAGAGCCTCCCAGCGAGTGACGGATGGTGGACGCGTAACCTATCGACAGGGGCGCGGAGCTGATTGATCTGGTTCCATACAATGCAGCGACCTTGCTCTAGCCAGGCGAGAGCGTCTTCGAGTGCACCGTGAGCAAACGCCGCCGCTGTAGCAGAGGCGGTCAAATCTGTCATGTCGGCAAGGTTCTTGTGGCGGCTGTGTATCGTCTGCTCTAGCCCGGCAACTTGGGAGAGGAGCCCAATGGCTACCCGAAAGGCCTCCAACGTGTCTGGTCCGTTATGTTCCTGGCTCAACATTGCCCATTTCCTGGCCGAGTCAAGGCGTATTGAAGGATGACCTGAGCTGTGTGTAGCTGCCCTACGCCACACGGATATCGCTTGAAGGATATCTTGTTCATCCTTGGTGATGGCAAAGCGCAGTCGAAATGAATCCGCGAGATTATGAAGCAATAAGGGAAGTCCGGCGTGTCCGTTCGGAGTGATGTCGACAGCTCTCTGCTGGTGTGTGATCGCCGTTTCAATATCTCGGACATCTTCGGTGTGTTCAAATCGTGTCCCAAAAGAACTTCCGAGGCTTGTCAACCACATAGGCAGGTAAACGTTGCTTTCGGCAGTGAGGTCTACTGCACGCTGATGATACGAGATGGCCCTTTCGACGTCGGGAAGTTCTCGAGTACGCCAAAAGCGAGTTCGAAACGAATTTCCGAGATTGTTGTACCATGCAGCGAGCCGGGGGTGGCCGTCCGGCGTGAGCTGTACCGCTCGCTCCTGGTTTGCAAGAGCGCTTTCGATATCCTGAAAATCGTTCTTGATTCTAAAGCGATTCAGGTAGGAGTTTCCAAGATTATTAAGGTGTACGGGGAGCTCAGCGTGGCCTGTTGGGGTGTATTCGACTGCTTGCTCTTGAGTCATAATTGCCCGTTCGATATCTGTCAAGGCTCCAGTACGCGTGAAACGGGCAGCAAAGGAGGCTGAAAGATTAGTGAGTTGCCCAGGTAGAGCTGCGTGCCCTTTAGGGGTGATATTGACTGCCCTCTGCTGATTCGATATGGCACGTTCAATGTCGACGAGGTCTCCAAAGCGTTCGAAGCGAATGCGTAAGGCCACTCCAAGGTCACCAAGTCGCAGAGGTAGACTGCTATGACCTTGAGGAGTAAGTTCCACGGCTTTCTGCTGGAGTGATATAGCGCTTTCAATGTCGTCGGGATCTCCAGTGCGTTCGAAGCGAAAGGCGAACGATAACCCAAGGCTAGAAAGAAAGTGGCTTGACGCTGTGGCATGAGACTTGGGGGCAAGCTGGACGGCTCTCTGCTGATGAGCAATGGCGCTCTCGATATCTATGGAATCTCCAGTAGATCGAGCCCGAGTGATGAATGAATAACCGATGGAACAGAGCAAGGTCGGGAGGTTGCTGTGGTTTGTGGGCGTGAGTTGGATTGCCACTTGTTGATTCGAGATCGCACTGTCAATATCTTCCAGGCACCCGCTGCGTCTGAAACGCATCTCAAACGAATTTCCTAGATTCCCAAGGAAACCGGGTAAGTTGGCGTGGCCAGCCGGCGTGAGTTGGACTGCCCTCTGCTGATGTACGATGGCATTTGAGATGTCCTCGATGTCTCCAGTGTGGTTGAATTGGGCCACGAGCATGCTTCCAAGATTATTGAGTAAGCCAGGCAGGTTTGGATGTCCTTCGGGATAGAGTTTGACCGCTTGCTGCTGATACAGGATGGCGCTCTTCGCATCTTGAAGATCTCCCTTGAAGTCAAATCGTGTGAGGTATGACGCGCCTAGGTTACTCAGAAAAGAGGGTAGATTGGAATCATTTTCGGAAGCGAGCTCGACAGCCTTGAGCTGATTTGATATGGCATTGTCGATGTCTGTGAGGTCCCCAGTGACTTCAAAGTAAAGTAGAAGGCAATTTCCCAAGTTGTTGAGTAGTCCGGGTTGGGCCGGAACAAGGCGGACCGCCGCCTCCTGATTTCGTACGGCGGTGTCAATATCCTCACGTTCACCTGTACGTTGAAAGCGACATCGAAAAGATGCTCCAAGATTGCTGAGCCACACTGGAAAAATATGGTTCTCCTCGCCGACGAGTTGGAGGGCCATCTGTTGATTTAAGATGGCGTTTTCAATATCTACAAGGTCGCCGGTGCATTCAAAGCACATCTTGAACGAGTCGCCGAGCTGGTTGATCAACATAGGGAGATTAGGGTCCTCGTCGGCAGTGCTTTTAACTGCTTTCTGCTGATATTTAATAGCGCTCTTCAAGTCTTGAGGGTCTCCATTGTGTTCAAAACGAGCGCGAAATAAGCTTCCGCAGTTGTGCAGCCTTCCGGGAAGGTCGACATCACCCTCAGAAGTACAAGCAACGGCAGTTTCCATCGTCGAAATAGCTTGGTTGACGTCAGTTATGTTTTTCAGCAACCTGAACCTTCCGAACAATCCGAATGCAGAGTCAGCGAGGTACAGCCCGTACCTCGCGTCATCGGGTCCTGCTAGCTGGGCGGCAAGATCGTAATTTGAGCAGGCTTTGTTGATGTCATCGACTTTATTGGTTGCCGCGAATTGCTGCATGAAACGATGTCCGATGGCATTGAAGAGGCTAGGCGTCTCGAGAGAATTCCCTGGGGTAGCTGTCGATAGACTTTGTGTTTGGTAGCGGGGCTGTACGCTTGGCCTGGTATTACTGTCTGCGTTGACGGTATGCGAGAAAGCTGTGAGGGTAGGATCAGCTATTACGTGATTTCTCGTCATGACGAACTTGACAGACCGACGCTGAAAGTTATTTTCAGCTTTCCTGGATGTCCTTCCATTACAAAATTGCGTTCAACCTCCTTGAGGTCTAGATTCGATATCAGTACCCAGATCTCAGTTCGACGAGGTCGAGAACCTACCATGTTCAACTTTGAGGAACTCCAAGAGGTGGTCCTTTGGAAGGAACAAGAACCCCAAGTCACCAGCACCTTCCGACTGAGCAACAATCGTGAGGTCGCCCATCTCGGGATGCCTTTCACATCGCAAATAATAATTCAGCTTGCCCATGAGCTAAAAAGAGGCCCGGACTCACAGCTCGATAACACGACCGTCTTTCCAGACAGATTCAGAGATACTCTCCGTGTGTCCAGCGTCGCCCTCTCCTCCAAGACCAAAGAGACTGAGAGTAAGCGTGCCTATGTTCGGACGACCTGCGCCTTCCAGGGAGTATTCCAAAACGAAATCTATGGCAGTATAGCATCAGCACAAGCAGGACGTCTCAGAGATAAAGCAGGTAAGTACCCTTCAGAAAAACTTTCTTATTCCCATCAGCTAAAGTATACGCTCTTTCGTTCTCCATTACGTCGAGGACGAATGAATACGATGAATGGATTGATGGGCGCTTCCTGTGGGGGCGATGATAAGGTTCAACGCGAGTGTTCTACAAGGTGATAAACATCAGCAGCCTCCTATATATCGGAAATGACATGTACGTTAATGCGTAGTCACTGCCGTAGCTCACGCACATTTTGTCGAGGCGGGTGTGAAAAACTCCTCGTGGGCGCCTATTTATAGCGTCTGTCATACACTTGGCCTCGTGGATTGGTTCTTGAATCATCACGTGCCGTTGCCTTATGACAGCTTATCATTTGCTTATATGAACTTATTTTCATTGTGCAAAGAGCCGAGATCCACACGTAATCGGGCCATCTCTCTTAATGGGCTGTTCACCTTCTCAAAGACGCGGTCTTGCAAAAGTGCCAATCCAAACATTTATCTTCACTACTCAAGCACTCACGACTGGATAGACTCCTTATTCCTTCTACGCTCAGCTCACTTCCACCCAATGCTGAAATGCATGCTGAGGGCTGATTATCGCAAACATCACGATCAGAAGCTGTCTTGACCTTCTCTAAACCTGCCATAATTAATCCAAAAACACGGCATGTACTGGACTCGAAAAATGAGTTCGCTTAACTTCGTTCATTCAGGGCATTCTGTCTTATTGACAGAAACAAAAATGCCACGTACCCGGATTGAACGAGTGACCTTCTCATATATTCTTCTAACGAAGAGATACAAGTGAGACGCGCTACCACTACGCCAACGCGGCTTACATTGTCATTGGCTTATGACTATAGAGTATAGCCAGTAACTACCCTCACCTGCTGCACGCAAACGAAGTTCATGGCGTGTCCAGACCGTTGTAGTTCATAACTTACTCATCCACCAATGTACAGAAAAGGAGTTTCAAGTGCGACATCCAGAGTAAATCCTCGTTTATTTAATGCTGCTCTAGCCTTAGGGAGGTGCGTCCGTTACTTGTTCGGTCTATCGTTATTTCGAGGTCATGTGGGCCGGTCCTATGCTAACTTCAGTACAGGCGGTCCCTTCTGTTAACGAAGACTCATTCTAAAAAAGAGCATTATGTTCACCGCGCAGAGAAAGATTATTCCACCTTTGTCTCGGGGAAATGAATTGCGAGGACTTCGATACCGACAGCGACAGACTCCAGACTCCAGGCAGTGAACTTTGAGATTACCCACAATCTCGTTGAGAAAGGAAAATACGCAAATCCTGAACCGAAGGAGACATTCACTCTTCCAAACGGCCTTATAGGCGGCTCTTGAGCGAGGCAACGATTTGCCACGATGATCAGCAGTGATCTGGAGTGGAATGGCAGAGACTAAATCTGTCAAACGCGTGTCAAGCAAGGATATGGGAAAAAAGACCCTCGATGCTCGATTGGCGACTTCGACACTTTCCATGAGCTGATCGAATTTTAGAGAGCAAATTCGGACTCATATCCTGAAGTGAGATGAGAGTGGCGCACAGTGGATCACATGACGTCTTTGATAGATTTTGGAATGGCCGTGATTCTTCGTCGTTATCTTTGCCAACACTGCTACCCTCCGTCCTGGTTCTCTTCTTGTATCAACGATACCGATGTCTGAGGGAAAGAGAAAGTTTCAGGGAGATGACAAGAAACGAAAGAAAAAGTACCGATCTGTACGCCGCCTACGGCATCTTTCAGTCTTCGTCTTCGCGATTGAGTACCCTTCCTAGGACGGAACGCCAATCTGGGGGAAGAGGCATGTGGAAGGGCCTGGCGTATGGGTGAGCTGTGCGTGGCGTCTCAGCTGTACTTCTTTGTTGCTTCATTCATTCTCCAGGTGTGAAAGGAAAGGAGAAACAGACAGTAGGAGAAATCTACGAGCTGTTTGAATCGGTAGGTGCGCCTGTCGTTTGACTTGATGCTCTTTCCATGAGTCTCGCTTCAGGTAGCAGCAGAATTGTGGGCCAAGTCAGAGGATAAAGGCGTAGCGTCGCATGATTCAGATGCCGAAAACGAAGACGCAAATCTTAGTCTAGAAGACCAGATCGCCAATGAAATCTCTGCGATGAAACGTCCCCGTACGCATCCTGAACAACGCTTCGGTGGGTCTTGATTTTCTCAAGAGATGTTGATGATCTGACGTCTTCACCCTAGCTAACTGCCAAACGAATACGCCCTGCGGTACGCACTTGGCAAATTGAGGCAGACAGCTGACCAGATCGTTGACGAAAACCTTAGTCGTCTTCATTTCGTGTAAACCACCCGTTAATCCCGTGGACCTGGTGGTGAAATGCATCAGAAACATTGAAGAAACTGGCGTTACGCGCACACGGTTTGTTTAGACGATTTGATGTATCTCTTCTTCCTGACCCTGCTGCCTCATAGCTACGTGCACCGCTTGGTTCCTGTTTCAGGGACCTGCGTCGCCAACCTCCCAGAAATCCAGTCGCTGTGTCAGAGAGTCTTCGGCGACTTTTTTGACCAGCATCCGGACACCAAATTCAAGGTAAGAAAGGCGGCACCGCGGCTTCAACTCACCTCATACCCATTTCAGTACAAGATCGAGCTTCGAGTGCGGAACCATACCACCATCGACCGGTCAACTTTGATCCAGCATGTCGCTCAAAGTGTGCCGGAAGGCCATACGGTTGACTTAGAGAACCCTAAGCTATTTATTCTTGTTGAGGTGTTCAAGGTGCGTCGGTGGCCCACAACTCTCGGTGTCTGACTTGACCCGGCTCAGAGCATATGTGGGATTTCAATCGTTGAGGACTATTATCGTCTGCACAAATTTAATGTCATGGAGATTGCCAACGGGTCAAAGAAGCCAGACGCCGTGGCAGAAAGCCGAGTTGGGCCCGCTACTGGCAAGGAGGAGGCGGGAAAAGGCAAGACAACGTAATTTACCAATTTATCCGCGGTTGCATGTTATAACAGCCCGTCAATCTATTGGCTGGGACAATGGTATATAATACAAATTGTATTCTTCCTGCTGCAAGAGAAAAATCGAAACGCGGTAGATAATAAGTTAACACCAAGCACCCAAAAAGATAATAAGACGGTATGACGAAAGGCAGGACCGATTCGTCCCTACTAGTAAGAATGACCGAAGGCGGTAGTAGAGAACGACGTCGGGGCAGAAGACCAGAAAGTAGGGTTCGAGTCGACTTGAAGAGAGTAACTACTGTAATATTGGCCGTCCAGAGGTGGGCACAGATGTTGGCCCGCCTCATATTTGACTCCGTGTTGGTTGTTCTTCTGGAGTTGGCTAATCCGGGGTTGATACGGTGAGATGGGGGTAAGGAGGGACTCGGAGTTGACTGAGGAGAAATCCGGGCTGAAGGACGGGTCGCCGGAGTAGCTAGAGGTCGAGAGCAAGGGTAAACCATCGTTCTTAGTGTTCCCAGGGTGGCGAGGGGGTTGCCATTGGTATCCGTATTGGTGCGAGTTTGATTGCGTGGGTAGCGTCAGTTGAGAAGGAGGCATGGAGGAAGCCTAAAGGAGGAACGAAGGATGACCGAAGATGAGTGCTGGAACAGGATCTGGAGGCAGTGACTTACCCTCATCGACGACCCAGTCGAGTACTCGAGCGGATACGTGGTGGGAAGAACATCTGACTGTCTCCGCGGCGGTGGGGGAGGAAGGACGAACTTGTAGACGATAGAGATGTTGCGCGTTTGAGACTGCGCCTCCGATGGACCGGGGGACTGGGCGGGGATCGGCCTCAGCTTCTGGAGGATGGTATATTGGGAGACGTCTAGTAGGTGATGTCAAAAAGAGTAAGCACAAAGAAGAGTACGGTTACATACCTTGGCAGGAGCATAGAACTGGCCAGAAGTTTGGGACCAGGTCTGTACTATAGAGCCACCCGGATCTCTGCATGGGGGAAGAGATGCACTTCAAAGGCGCGACCTCGGTGTGAATAGGCGAATTCGACCCATTCATATATACGATAAAGGTTGATTGCAGAGCCAGTCCGGTGTGTGATGGAAACTCGACAGACGAGCACATCGACGAAAGGAGTGACGATGCCCCTGGAGCCAGCAAAGCGTTCGATGCAGACAGCGACGGCGAGAGTTGGATCAACTGCGGCGTCGTGGAGTCATTCGCGACGAAGTGGACAGAGGGGATGGGCGTCGGCCAGATCTCATTCTGCAGTGCAATATCCACGTAGACGATCGTCTGTGGGGGGTTTGACCCGGATGGCCGAGGGTCGGGAGATGGAGAGAGCGAAGGGGAAGGCGAAGCTGCTGGGCTGCATTCTGAGGTAGAGCTGACCGAAGTCGTTTCAGGCGTGCCGCGGTGAGATATAAGGTTGAGGACTGGAACAAGATGAGCAAAACAATAACAAGAATTCGTGAATTAAGAACGCACTTTTATCGCCCTTACACGTGTCGCGTAATTGCTGCAAGCGGCTTCCGACCTGCTTTGGCGTCCTGCGCTTTCCAGTGGTTTCGAAGATATAGTCGGAGATAAACTTGTTGCGCATCGGGAAGCGCCCAAGCGTCTTAGTCGACTTGGAACCAATCGTCTCTGGTTGGTATTTCTCGAGAGCTGGAAACATCACGTTTATATAAGTATAGTTGGGTGTGGCGCGCGTCAAGACGACAAATTACCTTCCAAAAGAGCGGCTTCACTGGAGTCGGAACGTCAGGCGGAATAACACGGATGGTGCGAAGCCACTTACAGTAGTGGTGGCCAGACTGCTTCGCCCTTCCCTCTCAATGTCTTCCAACTCCTACGTCCAGTGGCGAGTATCTGGGCCGCGTCGCGCGATTTCTCCTCTTCCGAGGGGGTATATGACAAGTCGTCGACTGTCGTGGACATGCAGACAAATCCATATTCTTGTTTTCCCTTCGCCTTCGATGACGAAGTTGACTGCCAGTCGGTATAAGGCATGGTGGCCGTCGGATCCTACGCGTGTGATAACAAAGAGCAGACGGAATAGCCGGGTAGTGTGGGGGACGAGACGAGGCTCCTCTGTGATCCTGGCGCCCTTTATAAGTCTGATCACGGAGATACTCGATTAAATTTCGAGATTGGTGTGTGTGCAGGGGCGGCACACACGGACAAATCCATAGAGCCCTTTGTACAGGTCCAACCTGTGAGCCGCCGATCATAGATTCGAGGACCCAATCAGCCGATGAAGCACAACTGCGTTGAATCTCCCATCTTGCAGAGATGTCATTGTTGTGCGCTAACGAGTCCATATTTGGAGCGGCATGTCGATCCTAATCGACGAACAATGATCGGGCGACCATCTTTGCCCGTCAGGTCCATGTGTTGGGATTTCAGGTGAATCCGGTTCTATCCCCTTTCGACATACCTTGGGATTTCGTTTCGCTATGGCTAAGAGTTCGAGGAGGTGCGTCTGCTCGAGCTTGGGCCAAGAAAGTAAGAGCGTTGGTTGAGAGCAAAATGGCGAAGCATCGCCTGAATACTTTCAATCACTGCAAGTGCTCTCAAACACACACTTAGAACATACATCAGTGGTATCATAGGGACCCAAATCGAGATTTCTCACCAAACTTTCTCCATCTTGAGCGTCCCGCATAGCCTTTAAATCGAGCTCGAGGTATAGCATTGCCACAGGTGGTTGTAATGATGACGGAGTTGTCAGAGATTGGGCACGAAAACCAAAAAGTCGCAAACTTCCTAATCGAGGTCATTGGCGGTGTTTGGCTTTAAGGTGCCGACGTGACGCCGGGGCATCTTGAACTTGGTTCGCGCTGTCGTCTCGGAAAGCTCGTGCATATTCGACCATGGGACCTAATTTTGAAGGCCACAGAAGCCAGGGGACATGCTGCGCCACTTTGTCCGAGGAGGAGGTTCTTCCATCATTTTTAGGTTACTCCCCGATTCCCGACGAACTTGAGCTGACGACGTAGTGTTCACAAGGTCGTTATCTATGCAGGAGCCGTCTGATGTAGGACTTGCGTTAACCTTGTGGCGGGGTAGAAATGCATAGCTTTGCATAGTTCTTCTAGATGGTCACCTCCTGTTTCCCATTCCAGTGACGACAACCATCTGCGTCATAATTAATATTAGTTCTGAGTAGGTTGTCACTTGGTTGTCAGATTGTGAGTAAATAAAACATGAGGCCTGAGTGGTAAGCTATGAGCGAACATGTTGCCTCGTCTCTCGTAAGGATGCGTCAAAAACGGCTGATAGTCACACATTCCCCGGAGTCTGCGTATGGGCGCCATGAACAGCACAAAGATGTGGACTTTGAAATCACCTATTCCAAGGCATGTGAACAGCCCTTGTTTCATTTGGGTTTATAGAAGCCTGTTGTCCTAGTGCTCGTGTCATTTGATGGATCGATAAGATTCTTTACTTACAAGGCACGGAAGCCTCAAGAATCACCACAGGAGGATATTTCGACGCCAATTGGTTTAAGCCTTCTTTCTCTAATGCCCACCTATCGGGAGGCTCAAGACCATTTGCCTCTCGATGCGGGAACCTTCAATCCTCAAGCCGTCAATGGGCGGCAGTTCGTGAACAACTGCGTGTTGGGACTTGTCAAATGTCCTTGGTCCATGCGTGGACTAGCTGTCAGCTAGTCTTGCCTCGTTGAACTAATTAAAGGTATCCATAATCCCATGCTAGAGGCAGCAGCTCTATACGTAACATACATCCTCCTAGGGGATGCCGAGAATTTAGCGATAAGCTCAAGCGTTTGTCGGTCGAGCATGACGGATGGTCTTACAGATGCATGCACAATGTGCCATTGAACTTTGAAGGAATCATTATCGGGGCGGACAGTCGTGAGATCTTTCATCTCAGTTCTCGTCTAGAATCAGCGGCTTGATGCCTAGGTTAATGAGCCACTCATGAAGAACTGTTCTTCCAACGCTCTGGAGAGCTGAGGCCTCTTCTCCGACTCTCCGATGAGGTCCCTCTACCTCGAACACTTCGAGAGTGTGGAGGACGATTTCTCGGCTGGAATGTGATGACAAGATTAATTATTCGAACCGCCGCATATACCTGCGCAGGGCACAGTCGAGCGTGAAACCTACTGAGGAGGTCGGAACTGCGCGTCGGTCAGGACTTGAGGCGGACGGGTGTGGCGCCACGCGCCTGAGGGGGAGGGATTCCTCGAGCGACAATCTCAACACCGCCATCATGATCGTCCATTGCATACCTCCACCTCGAACACGATTCGGCACCCTCCGATCTCCAATAAAAGTCCTTACTCCAGCGATGGTAACAAAAGCGGACTATTGCCTCCGCCAGGGCGCCTTCAAACCCGGTCGCTTCGGCGGCCCGGGGGCTGATGATAGACGTACTGATGGCATCACTATTTCCGGTAATCTGAATCATAGCCCTTCCTGCGCTAAACCTTAGCTTCACTGAGAGACGGCTTCGACCCACCTCGACGTTGTTAATTGTTCATCAGAGAGAAGTAGGAGTTGGCGCCTGATGAGAATGCGGCATCCAGGCAGCCCAATGATATTGGAGGCTTGTTTCTCAGGCAGGCGGATACGGCTGGTGTTTCATATACGCCTCTCCCTGATCCCAATGAATGCCGGCTACAAATTCCCTGGCCATCCGACAGTCAAATGGGCCCATCGTAATACTTTTCTCGTATTCTCATAGCCAACCGCCTACACGGATGAGTTGCTGCCCATGTACGACGACACTTCAACTAGTGTACTCACCGTGATCATACTTCAACATCCTCGAGACCAACTTTGCGTTTCGCCTCGAAATATGTCACTTTTTCGCGTCCCGAGGAAGGCTTTTGAGCTGAACACCATAACCCCGGACGTCTTTCAGTGCCGATCCACCACATGGAATGGCGTAGGGCCTCAGTGCCTACGGCTCCTCCATGCCCGAAACAAAACGACAAACTGGCACTTCACAAGCTTCACAGGCGAGAACGAGAACCCAAGATGGATTCCGCTCGAGTCACTTGATGCTAGATGAGTAGAGATGGGATCACGTTTGAGGTGGAATCACGAAATCCTTGGTGCGATCCTCTGCAAGATTCCCAGCACGCGCCAGATCCGGGGAGCGGGGAGCTCGGAGGCGTGAGCCCAAGGTTTCTCGCGTTTGAGGGCGATCCCGAAAGGGACACAGAGAGCAACATCATGATCAGTGATGCGACGCATCACACTATCAATTATCCATCGTTGCGCTTCGTTGCGGCTTCGGAGAAATTAGGCGTTTTGGGTCGGTTTGGCTGGGCTGGGCGTCTGCACGCGAGGGCATCAGGCGATGGACGGGCGTGCGCGCTTGAGCGTGTTGAGCTTCCTTGGCGAAACACCAGAGGTTCTCGACCGCAGGCTTGCGAAGAAACCGATGCGCAGACCGGAGCCCAGCAGCTGCGCCAGCGCCCAAGGTGGCGTATGTTAGGTTACCACCAGACCGTACCGCGAACGCAGGCTGAAACCCGTTGGTAGTGAGACGTCGAGCCACCTGTTCCGTTGGACCTTGAAGCCCAGTGTGGCGCTCTCAGCGTGATGAGAGAGCTTGCGCGGCGACTGTGCCGGGTGCGATAGCGTGTGATGCTTCCCACCTCCCGGAACACGGACACAAGCACAAGCACAGAAAAGGCTGCTAAACCAATGCTGAACAGCGTACCACCCGGAACCCGACACATCTTCAAATCTGGCACCTGGGTTTGCGATTTGGTAATTTCGCGGGTGGGGAGGACGGTGATGGTTACTGATTTGCGGTATGGAGCCAGGAGTAGGGGGCAGGGGCGCCTGGCGTTGGCGTTTTGATTATCGCGTGGGCTGCAGGCGAGCCATGTCGCTAGTCGAGAGGCTTCACCCCAAGATCATCGAACTCAGCGGGTCTCGGGGAGGAAAGGCACTGATGTGGCAATTGCAATATAGATGTTAGCTCCAGAGAGCTCAAACGCGACGTTCAAGAATCAAGCTCAAGTTGCATAGGAAGTACATAGCTCCGAGTCGGAAATGGTTGGTTGGGTGTCGTATTCGCGCCTGGAGGCCGCAGTCGGTCAGTTCCAAACATGACTTTATTGCATAGGTTGGTGTGCGCAGGGCTGCCTCCCTCAGAGGAGGTCTTATTTAATAATCACCATGGTAAGCGTCAGTTGAGTACTAAGCACGAAACGTCGAACAAAAAGCACTCATATGCGTTACGAGCCACGCCGGGTGCCATACAATCCCCGCTCGCCAAGTTCAACTTCAAAGGGGAACTCGGAGGCCTTTGGCCTGGGTCCTTTGATGATTCGAGCATCGTACCATCGCAGGCTCAAACGTGAGCGAACACTGAAGATTTGCAGATTTTCTTGTTTGATGGGAATTCAACTTGAAGGGAAGTGGTACGTACAATCGGCGTCCCAACCTGGTCTTCTGAAGTCAGGAGATTAAGCATATGTCAGCGGTTAGGAAGGAAAAGTTTCAAGGTAACGTTGACGGTGAAGATGACCCGTACGTAAAGACAATTGAGAGGAGGTTGGGTTTGACGGGGAATTACTCAGGATAGGGCTCGTACGAAAAAGGATGACTCGATCAAACAGTCATGTGACCTCTGATCGTGAGTCTGAACCCGGCAATGGCGGGCCACCCATTCCCGATGTCCCTATGGCTCAGCGAATCAAATTCGCGCTATAGAAAATCCTATTGATTAATCTACATCTAACAGAAAAGATAAAAGATCTACGATACAGTTGCAAGTGCTGGGAATGACGTGCAAGCAGAACTGGCAGACAGAAAGGAGCGACCGGCCGCGGGGCTGGACGGCGGGAACGTAATTTAGGCGAGCGAGGCCAGTGCGGGAAATGGAGGAAATGCAAGGTCGCCGAAGCGCGGAGCGGAATTGCGATGAAGGGGACGGAGAAGGGTGCACCGGTAGAAACCTGAAGGAAATTTGAAGAGCGTGTTGCGCTGCAGTGAAAAAAAATCTTTATGTACAAAGTATGTAGAGTACGATAGTTCAAACGTTCAAGTCTACGATGGTGGATGCTGGCACATGAACAGAATAAACCATTAAAAGTGCATGTGATGGAACAGCGGGGATTGGGGAAGAACTAGAAAGAAAAAATGAAATGTCGTGGAAGGGCAATTGCAAAATCGTGTCAAGTGGAAGTGTAACGTACAGCGAAGGAAGATGAAGGCGAAAACGAAGGAGATGGAGATGGCGAAGACGAGGAAGGAACGATGGACATCTGCCAGACGGACGGCGATCTGGGAAGAGTTGTTGATCGCTGGAAGATGCTTTGATGCAGGTACGGTCGCTCGCTCCGGTCCTTCGCGTGGGACGGGGGAATTCGAAAAGAAAGTGACAAAACGTGCGCACTGCCAGTGCTCATTATGCCCGGAAGGAAAAATGGAGTGTACGGCGTGTGAGATTGTGCCAGTGCCGGTGCAAGTGCCAATTTTGCGTGGACGATTGGAATGAATTGGATTGGACAATGGATTGGGCAATGGGGGTGCAGTGTGAGGGGGTATGCAAAGTTAAAGAAGAGCCGTAAAGTATGACGTGCGTACGAGAGTTGAGGAGAGATCTGTCTTAAAAAACGAGGACCGGGGCGCGAGGAGATGACGGAAGTTCGAACTCTAAGAATGGAGAGATAACCAAGAAAGACAGAAAGAGAGAAACGACGACAAAAAAGCGATGTCTCATGCTGCTGCGATGCCGGTGGGCGACGTAAGCCCATTTCCCCTGTCCCGATGGAGACGACGACAGGTAGTGTAATGATGGAGCGATGAAGGCGAGGTGATGGGGGAGGATGGAAGAATTGAAAGTTGACTCGTAGTTGGGAGCGTGGTGCGGCCACTGTATTCGGCGTTAGTCCGGGGGAACTCGCACGCATGCGGAGATGACCGGGGGCCGACATCGAAAGGGAAATTTGGGAAAAGAAGGAAGCCAGTCTAGCCAAACTTTGAAAGGTGGGGGTGGTTTACGAAAGCAACGCAACGCATGCACACTTCGCGTGTTCTTCTCGTTTTTCGACGGCCGTGGGCTCGCGGGCGGGCAGGCTGTCGATCAGCGGGCCAGGGAGGACGACTTGAGGCCCTGCGCGAGCTCCGACTTCCACTCCAGCCGCCTGCACGCCTCGGCGTAGTCTACCCACTCCCGTCTCCGCTCGTTACGTTCTAGCCAGTCTTGTTCCAGCCCGACCACGTCCAGCTCATAAAAGTGATACGTGGCCGAGGGCGTCGGTATCGTGATGACGTATCTTGTTATCGTGCCGCGTACGCCCGCTGTGTGGATGACGATGACGTGTACGGGAGGAAGGTGTGTGTGTGAGGTGGGAGGGGCGAAGAGGGAGAGAGAGACGAGAATCAGGAGATGAGGAGACGGAGAGAGGGACAAAGGGTAGGACCTTCTTCCAGGGCCTCTCTCGAGGCTGCAGCCTCCAACTGCACATCCGACGGCTCCCAACCACCTTTTGGCACTGTGGATCGTGTTTCAGGAACAAAGCGGGCCTACGTCAGTAAAAATTGCGTACTCGGTGCTCGACCGCCGTCGCCGTTGGAGCCATGCTTGCTCCTAACAGACGACTACGACGAGCATGGAGCAGGGAAAGGGGGGCACTCACAGACCCAGTTGTTCGGCCGTTTCCTGCTCGTGACGACCAGGACCTTGCCCGCGGCGCGGGCGATGGGTATCGCGCAGCACACGACACGAGGAACAGCACGGCCTTTTGTACCCATTGGAGATGAAGAAAGTGGCTGGATATGAACGGACGTTCGGGGGGATTCGTTTGGGGCAAAGAGTATGGTTGACGGGCGTTTTCACGAAGTCTGCATGAGCTGAGGATAAGGCGTGGTGTCTATGGGCGTCTCTAGAAGACGAGCTGGCAGGTGGTCGCGAGGATATCCGGCTCCGGGGCTGTCGGGTGATGCTGGTTTGGGCGCGACGAACGTGGCGATGAAAAAGATATTTGCCTGCTGTGAGGTATGACAATGGGTGAGCTGGAAGGAGAGGAGAAGTTGGGGGGTTGTCGGACCTGTGCTCGTGTGGACTCGATGATATTAGTATAAGAGAGAGTGTGCCGCGTAAAGATTATTTGATGGTGATGTACAGAGTCAGGACGGTGGAGAAACACAAACGCAGAGCCAGGCCACCGCAAATATTACGTTGGCACAACCCAAATCAGGCGCTGCCGCCACCCAATATACTCGACGCACGTTCTTCGGCCTCCCCGCTCCCTCCCCGGCCGCCCCCGTGCCGTCCCTTATATCTCCTCCAAACCTGGCCCCGGCCGCCCGCGCCAAGCCCGGTATAAATAGATCCGCGTCTATCCCATCTACTCGTTCCACCTACAGGTCCCATAGTTAGCCCACTGCCCCTCTTCTGACGCTCGCAATACCACTCACGCGACCAGCAGCATGCACACGACACCAAAGCCCATCGCCGCAAACTGTCAGATTAACCGTATACACTCAATGTGAGCCAATTCATTCGCCCCGACGTCTGGGAAAACACTTGCCTCGCGCATCGCCTGCTTCGCGCTCTTGCTCTCGGCGAGCAACCTATTTATTGCCAGTCAGCCTGGGTCACACCACGTCAAGTCAATCACAGTAAGACCGCGGCGTCTGGCATTTGAATCTGCGCAGACGACCACGAGCAGCAAAGGAATCGAGGGTGCGTTTCATTCGAAATTCCGCTGCGGCCCCATCGTCCAATAAAACCGCAAGGAAACACTCACGTTGGTAGCACGGCTACGGCTCCGATGTAAAGGAAGCCGCCCGCAACAAAGGGTATAACCTGCGCCGAAGGAACCAAGAGTCAGTCAGCATCGCGTGCGTGTCGTGTGCACACTCCGCCTCGACCCTCCGTAAACACCAGAGCGCTGACTCACAAGGTCAGATAGCTGCAGCGTCGTGCCGAGCAGGCCGGTAGCGTCCTGGCGGACACCTGCTGCAAGGTCGAGTGCCAATGGAGTTTCGTGCGTGCTGCTGCTGGCGGCAGCATTGTGCACCGCAATTCCGATAAATGTTCTGATAGACCGGAGCAAGGACGAATATAAAAAATATAAATATAGCTCCGGCATTCAAGCGAACCCTGGAGTATTTGTCCAGCTCACTCACCCAACCTGTGACAAAGAACAAAGGGGCAACGATGTCAGTACGGGTCTTCCGGGCGGTCCTCGAGCGATAAAGCCAACACGCGTTCGCGTCCGCGAGTTCCATGAACCCATGGGGCACAAAGGCAAAGACAAAGGACGACGAACGTTCGAATTCATTCAAGGTATCAAGGTATCAAGGAAGGTAGGTGGTGGGGAAAGGGTACTTACAAATGCGCCAATGGCTGTCAAGAACTGCGACTGCATTGCCTGCCTTTTCGTGAACCCGCTCCGAATGAGGATACAGTAATCGGCAATTTCGTGCGGGATCTCATGGGCGAAGCAGGCTAGAGTTGTCGTGGCACCGATGAGGGGGGACGCGTAGAAGGAGGCCGCCATGCTAGTGGGTAGAATAAGCGACACGAGAAGAACACCGCAAACGAACGTGCAGATGAGGATGAGCATATTCTGTCTCTTTCTCTCTACCGCCGGAGCAGATAGAGCGGGAATAGGCACTTACGCGAGGCCATCAGTACTGTGCACGGTCACGAAGGCATTGAAGTTAGTTGGGTACATGTGAAAGAATAAAGCAACTCACATATTATGAACAAAGTCTCCGAATAAATTAAGGTATGCAGATAACTTCGAAGGACCGTTCGTCGACTGCGAGTCTGCCGGTTCGCTGGAAGGGCCATTAGCATTAGCTTGGGTATCTTCATCGTTAGTCTTCCTGCTGCGAAGGCCGTTCTGTGTGCTGGACGTATCATCGCGTCCTGAGCTCTTGCTGACTTCGGGTTCAACGTGTGTGGAGGTGGTGTGGGAGTGAGAATGTGGATGTGAATGAGAGTGTCCGGCGTCATCTTCGTCTCCGCTCAGGACGCGCAAGGTCTTTTCCATGAAGAAGAACGCTGCAAATCCTACGAAAATCCCAAGCCTGGTGGCGATAATAGGCGCGTTAGTTCCAGACAGAAATAGCCCAGCACATGACGCGTTGATGAGAATGCTCACCCGACAAGGATATTCCGCTTCTCCTCAACCATGACGAAATGAACCCCCGAGCCTTGGTGTTCGCCCATGAAAGAGTGCGGAACGAGATGCAGGAATACATCCGACAGCAGGCCGCCGGTCTACAACGCGCTTGAGCCCTACACCACCTCCAAGAAAGCCAAAGAATGTGACACGTACGGCGAACGCAGTCATCGTATTCAATGTGTTCGCGTTTATCTCGGCAGGGATGAACGCAAGGATGAAGTTGGGCACTCTATTCGATCAGTTCTCCTCGATCAACACACAGCCCAAGACTCCGACTCGAAAAAGAGAGAAGGACGCACGAGCTGATGTAGAACGTCCCGAGAATAGAGTTCCACGCAGGCCCGAACGGGAAGAGCCAGCTGAAGACCTTGCGCATGACGGGCGACTCGCCGGCTTCTAATGTCGCCTTGAGAAGGCTGAGCTTCTGGATCGGGGCGCATTCGGAGTGGATCGCGGATTCCTGGAGTATAGAGTACATTCGAATTCACATATTCACGGTGAAATAAATGCAATGAATGAATGAATGAATGAGAGAGAGGAACCGTCAGCGTTCTGTGTTAAACGGGTGATTGTATTCCGTCCTCGTTCCTGTTCACGTTCACGTTCCCGTTTCCGTGCCGCGGCTGGACCTCGGGCTCCGGTGGGGTCGAGGGGTCGAGGTATGGAAAATAAGATTAAACGTCCGTACTCACGGAAACAGACAGTTTGAGGATATCTTCCACAGGCACCCCTCCGGCGGTCGACTTGGCGGAAGCTGTAGCATAGACTCCTGCGGCAAATAGAGATAAAAGAGCGACGAGGAGGAGAGAACGGGGGCGCCGGAGCGACATGGGAGTCAGAGGTAAGAACGTCGAGGGCGTCGGAGGTGACGCTGACACTGATCATCGGACACTCGGACGCGTGGTAAACAACTTCGGCTTCGAGCGGGCCGGAGAGGGAAGGAGTGATGGGATCAAAACGCGTGTGCTTCGGAGTCAGTCTGTACGCGTTTCTTGTTCGTTTCCTTCACATTTGACCACCACCCTCGAAAAAATGTACCCCGCCCCGCAAGAACAACGCGTCCTGGAGGAGGCTGAGAAGATCATGGTCGACTCTATGGCAAAATACGACCCTTCTCATGATAAACATCACGGCAAGTAATCACCCCACTCAAGGCGTGATAGGGTGCTAACTGACTGACGCGTTTCCCGGCCATTCATCCAGTCCAACGCGTCAGGAAGACCGCGCTTGCCCTGGCACGCGCCGTAAACCCTACCCCAGATCTCCTGATCGTCGAGCTAGGTGGGCACATTCGCCCCTCTTTCGAAACCCATGTATCCGCTCACTTATTCTTCAATCTGAACCACGATCGCCCCTTCGAAATCGAATATGAATTTGACGTTCTCCTGACACGGTGACACCTGTCCGTCGCGAAAATCAAACCCAGCTGCACTACTGCACGACGTGCTGGACAAGAAGTACGTGTCAGCCGAGCAGGCAGCGGACCCCTATGCTTTCTTCCTCCCGTTCTTCACCCGCATGAAGGCGGAGCACGGTGTCGACCTCATTGCGGACGGGCGTGGGCAGACGATTGCGAGAGTCATGGATAACGTTTCATGGAGCACGGAGAAGAGGCTTAGAGAGAAGGGCGAATGGACGGAGTGGCACGAGACGTGCGTTGAGCTGCATTGCGTGCAGGATGCGGACAGGTTGGACGCGATAGGTGCTTTTGGTATGTAATTCAGTCTCTGTTAATCACAGCTGCAATTGGCTCTTGACTTCAACTTACCTTTCCTTCTCCCTCCCCCCACCTTCCCCTTTCATCTGTCAGGAATCCTGCGTTGTGCGGCCTACACTTCTGCGGTGAATCGGTGAGATCCTTGTTCGGTGTCCCTTCTTTCTCTCTTTCCCTCCGTGGCCTTCGGTTTCTTCCTTCGTTCCACCTGTTCTGATTCTTCCGAATTCCAAACCGTCGCGTTCATTTCCACAAAAATGCATACAACCACCCAACCACCCATCTATCAAAATCGAAATTAAGTCGGAGACTAACACAAAAACTCTAAAGGCCTCTCCACACGCCGCCCGACGATCCCGAGCACGCGCACAGCGCGCTACAGCACTTCCACGACAAGCTCCTCGCGATTCGCGACCGGCTCAAGACAGCACCTGGAAAGAAGATGGGGAACAGGCGGCATCAGGTGGTGAGTGCCCCAGTTTCTCAATCTGCTGCCTGCACGTGCAGGTGAAAGCTATTTGCGGGCTGACATGGGCGCGCCCGAATTTCCCTTTCCCTTGGACCCTTCTTCGACGGACGAACGAACGAATGGTATGTCTCGCGGGGTGCCATTGGCCAGCTCCTGGACTTCCTGGCTTCGGTGGACGAAGAGCTCGACGGGTTAATCTGAATGGGGCTTGGAGTTGAGTCATTGGTCGAGGAAGGACACGCACACTTGATTGTGGCGCCTCCGCTGAGGCTTCGAAGGTTGTCCGAGACCTAATTTTGTGTAGTTTAGGGACTTACCACTCCTATTAGACTCCTAATGCCCCCTTCTTCAGCCCTAGATCAACAAAGGGATCTCTAGGTACCAGTATGAGGGCCGTAAGTGAGAAGGTCGCCGTTGATGCTGTGTACTATCGTCCCCGAGCCCTGCCCACTAACCCCCTTATCAGGCTTCAGATTGGCGCCCAGGAAGTCAATGAACAGCCTCAAGCATTGAGTTCAGGCTTCGAGCTTGTGGTCCCTTGTGGACCTACCGACTCCTCGTGAGCAAGAGAAGCGTGTGTCGAGCCTTTTACACCCCACCAAAGTACCAAAGTGGTCCACGGCAACTTGGACTCAATACATACCACTGGCAGCTTCCATCGACTACGGATGTATAAGCACTCCGTTCGCACAGGAACTTCCTGGCAGCAGCAAAGTACTTGTCAAAGGGTCTTTGCCAAATTCTGCCACGGGCAGACAGAGCCTAATAGCTTCGCCCTTTCAGCTGTCGAAGTGTCAGTGCATGACAGTGGCCGTCGGTGCCAACTGTTGGATTGACGGAGAACTTGAGGAGCGACCCCAGAACAATCGTGCAATCCCAGCCAGAGCTGAGATTCTTAGGGAACCCGCGAACCCACGAATCCTTGTGAAACGACTGGAATCGAGGTCCATCGAACAGATACAAGGGTATTCATAGCTCTTGATACCTCAGCCCATACACGATACATTGCAGCTTCAATCAAAATCCGACATGTCGACGTTGTAGATAAAATGCTGTTCATGAGAGCCGAGAGTGAGCGCTGAGGATCTGGGTGGTTCGCCGAGAGACGGGTGTTTGGGCTGACCTTGTATAAGCTCATGACTTTTACGACCCAGGCTTCAAGGTGGTAGATTTTCTTGTTCCCGTTTCGCATACGGACCTCCTGCGAAATAAGAATTAAGCCCGAGTCAGTAATCCCATCGCACCCGTCGATTATGCAGAGAAGCTCACATAGAAGGCTGCCCAGTGCATGATGTCCGCTTTCAGAGCTTCGTCAACTTTGTCAACTACTCGCTCGGCGACCGTCTGGATCGGAGAGAAGGACGCGGTGAGGAAGCAACCATGTGAGTGTTGGTGGAGTCATTCACCTTCATAATGACAGTTGGTGGGATGCAATGACTGAGCAGTTCGTAGAACTTGGTGCGCACTTCCATTACCCGGGCCGGCGACTGCTCGGAGACTATGAGATCCGCGACCTTATGGCAGTAGACCTCCCAGTCGGGTTTTGCGATGTTCAGAGACCCAGTCAAGTCAGGCCTAAAAGGAAAGAAAACAGGCAAGAGCCTTTGGTCCCAGTTGCTCAGAAAAGAGAGTGCGGAAGTGGACCCACGATTGCATCTTCAGAGCTTCGAGGACAAGAATAGCTTTTCTCAGATTGCCACCGCAATCTTCAACGATCTTGTTCCCGGCCTCTGGTGGCAGATCAAATTTCGCATTTCTAGCGACAGATTGGAGGACCGCCATAATCTGGGAAGTAGGCGTGCTTGAGCTTAAACGCAAGCCAGGCGATGAAGACCGGAATTCCCATTTCGTACCTCTTCTTCGTTGGGGGCTGCCACCCGCATAAGGAGACAACGGCTCTTGATCGGGGCAATAAGGCGGCTCGTGCTATTGGCACATAGGATTATCCGCATGTTCGACATGTATTTTTCCATTGTCCGACGCAGGGCTGCTTGGGCGTCACGGGAGAGGGAGTCGGCTTCGTTGATGATGACGACTACGGCACAGGTTTATATTTTGGTCAGGAAGAATGGTTGAACAACGCACCCTTGAACCGTTGTTTCGCTCCCAAATCCACCTGTTGGGTCTGAGCTATTTCCTTCAGCAGCTCCTGGATGACGACTCTGTCGTAGTTCCCCGCTTCACTGTCGTAAAACCTGAGTTCGCCGCCCTCGCAGTACAACGGGTGATGAGGTGAAATACCTGGGTGTGATTTCGATATGGTAGTTGCTCTGAACGATGTTGATCTCCAGCTTTCGCTTTGAAGGCGACAGAAATACCCGTTGGTCGATTTTGAGCTAGCTTTTTGTGAGAACGCCGTTTGTCAGAGCTTTGGAGACATACCTTCTCCGCGCCAGGTCCAAACAACTGACGGAGGGTGCAGCTAATGCGTGTCTTCTTGCCAGCACCGGGAGGTCCATAGAATAGCATATGAGGAAAGTCTCCGGATGCTGCCTAGGATTCACGTTACAAAAGAGTCCCCAAGAGAACAAAAAGAGACGAACTAGAGACTTTAGGCGTTCTGATAAGCCTTTGTGGTAATGGAGAGCATCGAGAGTCCGGGGTCGGAACTGTAAGACGCCGCGTGTAAGAGAATGCCATATCATTGACGAAATTGATTACCGCATCGACCCAGAGAGACATCTATCTGAGTAGCAAGGGTGTGTATCTGGTTCGGAGGCGGGGGGCAAGGCGGACCAACGGTAGTTGTTGAGTGGAGTGAACGATGGTGTTGAGCAAAGGGTGCGTGACTCAAATCGCGTTAGGTAACGCGTTTATTGTCACGTTCACGTAGGTTCGCGTGTGCCATTCTCAGGCGGCCGGCGGCACAAGACGCGATCGACTTCAAGGGCATTGGAGAAGGTGCGCCCTAAGCATTGGTTCCAACATTTTGAAGGATTAAAAAGTCAGCTATCACGGATGCTCTGTGACAGTCTGTCAGTGGCCGAGAATCTGACAATGCCAATGCAAGTTTGTGCGACTCAGAGTACTTATCGTCGCGTTCGCAGTGAAGGACGAATATTTGAATATTGAAAAATCTACTGCTCAGAAGAGTCAACAACTTATTCAGACTCCGGAGAACTTGGATCAAGGCCTCATTATCCTCTCATCCCTAGTGGCCAAGCAGTTCTTGCTGGCAAAAGACATGTGATTTCCTTTAGCGCCCATCCTGAATCTCAGCAAAAGAAGCGCCGAGCTGAGAGACGCTCATTCGAGGAGTACTGCGTTCACGGTTCAAAAACTTATTGTACAAGAAGACTGGCCAAAGAGATATTTCCTACGCAGCAGTAACTCCCTGCATCCCAAGATCCTCCGCTATGATCACAGCTGCCTTCTCTCCGATCGCAATCGCAGTATTGTAAGTGTTGGCTCCGACGTTTGCTGGAGCAATGCTACAGTCTGGAACATGGAAGTCCATTTAGCAGAAGTTGTCAAGTCAAATATTATCGAAACCTACCTGCGACTTTCAGATTTTGAACGCCGTACACATTCAACCTTTCATCGACGACACCACCCTGTGCGCGTGGCTTCATTGCGCAAGTTCCCATCTAGACCAAGATCAGGATAATGCAACTTTCGAAGATAACTCATCTGCGTACCGAGTGCCAGGAAGTCTCAACTAGATGAGTAGATGCTCAGCCATGGTTCACTACAAATGCTTCAAAACACGAACCATATTGCCGATGATATTTGTCGATAGCCTCGTCATCCTCCTTCGTGTATACGATATTCGGCTGAGAGATTTCCACAGGACCAGAGGTCGTGGCCGCGGCAGAGCTACCAGCAGGGAACTCAGGATGACCCACGACGAGATCGCCTCGGTAATGCTTCATTCGTCGTGCAAGCTCGCGCGACTTCTTGTAGATCCATCTAAGGATTACAACATCCGCAGGACTGGAGAAGACGAGACTATCAGTTGAGAGTTTTAACTTCTGTTTGTAGAACGCACTCGTCAAGGTATCCGGGATGGAAGTCGAGCGTTCCGTAAGGGTCGAGGCCAGACGTAATGTGAACGTTTCCAGTAGACGAAGGGTACCCCTACATATGGATCGTTCAATTATTCCGAACAACAGGAAAGATGAATCGCACTGAAAAGTAGGCCATAGAGAAATACTTCCCGCGAGGAACTGAGGGATTCGGTCCGCCGTACCTAAGCCAGAATCCTGAACATTGGCAAATTCAGGTCTTTTGAGACCAGAAGTCGAAGGTACTCACGCAGTAAACAGTAAGATGATCTCAACAGGTTTATCAGGGGCGTTGGCAAAGTAGGTCTTCCAACGATCATCGAACTCTGGAGACATGGCTTTGCGTTCTTCCTCGTTAGGTCGCATTTTTACTCCAGCATCAAGACCACTGAGTTTGAGAGTCCATTAATTTCCTGAACACAAGCAGATGGAGACGATAGGACGTACTTCTGCGATAGAAGTCCTTTGCCGTTTTGAAGCCACTGCTGCTCGAATGCTAATCAAGACTTCTGAGATCCCATACCTTAAAACTTGAAGTGATACAAGACTGACGTTTAACCTCCTCTTCTGTTCCACGGAATACAACATCCATGGTTTCGGAATCATCGCTTGCGATGAATGGGAGAAAGATCACGTTGTGGTCTGGGACAATGTCAACAGCATATCGGTGATAAAAGCTTCTGCCAGAGAAGTACCTAGATAGTGCTCTCCAACTCCAGGAAGGTCAACGAGGAGAGGGATGTTGTTTTTATCAAGTACTTCCTTGCTACCAATTCCCGACCTTTCGAGGATGGCCGGCGTACCAAAGGCTCCTGCGGACACGACAACAAGACGAGAAGCACGAGCGACGACTGGTTCCGTCTTCTCCTTTTTCCTCCCGACGACATCATCGACATATTCTACTCCGACGGCACGATTTCCCCTAGAGCGTTACATGTTGGATAAGCAGTCATGTACCATTGGACGAATAGCAAACGCACTCGAAAACGACCCGAACGACGCGCTGTCTGGGGAGGATAGTAAGATTCTTGTTGTGATCCTGGTTGTAGATATAGTGGTGGGCTACATCGGATCTTCTGCCAGACTCGGCATCGACATATCTTTTAAAAAGGCGTTAACAAGTTCAAAAGGCGTTGATAACAACTCTATACTATACCTTGCCCAGCGCTTCCAAAGTGAATTGTCAGCTAATGAGTGCCCATGAACCCGAGACGGTCCTCTCACCAAGTAAGTGTCACAAGAGGTGAATGCGTTGTCATCGTCTACGACCGTACGCTCTTTGTCGTAGGCCGCAGCAGTTTCCAGGAAGTCTTCAGCAATGTTGATGTTTTCGTTCGAGAACGATACTTTAATCGGGCCAGAGCTCCCATGGGTGTTGTTCTGAACCTCCGCTTGGTACGTTTCCGCCTGAAGATTTACGATGTACCAGTCAGACCATATCCACTTAAGGCGACATGGAACACCTAACCTTCTTCAGAAGAGGAATCAAGCTCGACGAACCCCACCCTTTATTCCCATGCACTGTTTCCCAATCATCGTAGTCTGAGGCGGAGCCACGGGTATAGACGGTGACTGTGGACCATGGCATTCATTGTCGGGGGAAGGTATGTAGCGACTAAAGGTATCACTTACAATTGACGCTAGATCCACCTCCGAGTGCTCTACCCATCGGGACGACACAAGAACGTCCGAGCAGAGCCGTGCTCGGCTTTCCAGCATGGAACGTGAAGGCATCCCCTCTTTTTGCTAGGCTACTGAAGTAACGGCCTGGTTGCGTATGTTCGGGCACATCGCGGATGTGTGCACCAGTTTCCAGTATCTGGAGGCGAGCTCAGCCCCTGGTACACACGAAATGAGACTACACAAACCAATATCTTCAGATTGCGGTCGGCGGCGGCAAGACGGCCTGCAGTAACGCAGGCAGCTGCACCTCCTGCAGGATCGAGGTGATAAGCAAGAGCTCAAAAGAGCAACGCAGAGTGACAACCTCCTGCGAAGATTATGTCGTACGGTGCAGCTTGTTCACCAGACATGGTGGGCACCAAAGGCTCCAACCATATTCAAGGGCTGGTATTTATGCACCTGTCAATGATGGCCGGAAGACTCGGATTGCTACGGTGACCTACCAGAGAAGGGCTTTTCTTCTGATAGAGCTTAAAAGGATAAAAGGGGGCCTAGGCGAAAGAAGGACAGTCTCAAACGTTGTTTGCCAAATGAGCCGCCACCCAGCTCGCGCTTGAAGACAAGGTGTCGCGATGCATCGAATATTAGAGCTTCCTGCGACTTGCAAGTTCCAGTTTGCTCCACCGGTTTTGTCCAGCGATTTCCATGAAGAGAGCTTAGAACACTGCTCGACGCCAATCGCACCACAAAGTTCCACATGACGTGAACCTTCTCCTCGCGGAGCTGTCCTTAACTCCAAACGGCCGCCCAGCTGAAGGGATTCGCTTGAATTGGGTCCCGAACACCAAACGAAGATGAACTTCGACCGTGTGTGCCAACTGGAATACCACTCTGGAATCATGTTCACACTGCTGTTGATGCATCGATGAGAATTAGGGTTCGATGGAAGGAAGTCATCAGATATACCTATGGGTCTACAATGGCCCGCAGTTATGATCAGAGGCGGTAGAATACCGTGGTCGTGGATGTGGAGGGATGGGAGAGGAGAGTACCTAGCGTTCAATATTTCAATGCTGTTCAACATTTGGCGTTGGGTTAGTCGGCCCGGCGGGTCAGGGGCCTACGACCTTCCATGAAAGATTACAGGAAAGAATCGTCCAGGACGGGGAATATATTTACAATTGTCTAGTAGGAACGATTTGAAATAGAAATCTCAATAGTCTCAATATACATAATTTTTGGATTCTGTAACACAAGCGCCCACAAAGCATACAACCTCAAGTGGGACCAGCAGTAACTCCCTTGATCCCCAGGTCCTCTGCGATGATGACAGCGGCCTTCTCTCCAATGGCAACAGCAGTGCTATATGTGTTGGCGGAAACGTTGCTCGGTGTGATGCTGCAATCTATCGTAAAGGCGGATTCAGAGCACTCCGGGCACAGAAAGGAATGGACATACCGGCAACTTTGAGATTTTGCACTCCATAGACGTTCAGTCGAGAATCGACGACTCCACCCTTCTCCCGAGGTTTCATAGCGCAGGTGCCGATCTAGGTGGTAATGAGCGAGGATGAACATAAATATATCATGGTATTTGACGCACAGAATGCCAAGTGGTTTCAACTAGAAGTATATGCTCAGTCTTCAAGGGAATGGGGGAAGAGTCGAAGAAACTTACTATTCTGCCTGTGATATTCGTCAATGGCGTCGTCGTCTTCTTTTGTATAAGCGAGAGGAGGAGCATCGATGTCGACAGGCCCGTCGGTACGATTGCAAGCTGCTAAGCTGCCTGCTGGATACTGAGGGTGACATATTTCGACTTCGCCTCGATAGTACTTCATGCGACGTGTAAGCTCGCGGCTGCGCTTGTAGGTCCAGCGCAAAATGGCCACATCGGCCGGACTGCATGTTGGAACGGCATGTGAGTAGTAGCCCGAAAACTAAGCATCTGAGAGCGTACTGTTCGAGGAAACCCGGCTTAAAGTCCATATGAGAATAGAGATCGGTGGCAGAGGTGATATGGACATGTCCAGTCGAAATAGGATAGCACTACAACGAAGAAGAAAAGAAGGCAATTAGGACAAGCAGATGAAGGGGTCTTCTTGGAATTACCGAGTAGTAACCAGCAGTCAAATGATTTCCTCGAGGAACGGCAGGATTAGCACCAAAGTACCTGAGAAATAGTTGGCATAGGTACATGACGAGCCTCGAAGTCTGATCCTCACCCTGATAAGTTGGCCAAAACCATGACTGGCTTGTCCGGTGTGTTTGCAAAGAAGGTCGCCCATCTGTCGTCGAATTCAGGCGACATCGACTTTAGGTCCTCCTCGGTTGGCCGAAGCTTGATACCGCTGTTGATGCCACTGAAGCACGAGATATTAGAAACGATACGTTGTTTAGAAGAGGGCCGAATATTCACTTGTTTGCGAGAAGACCGCTGCCGAACTCCAGCCATTGTTTCGAATGAACTGTGAATGCGCCGTACTTGTGAACTCCTCAGCCAAAGGAAGAAAGCCTTGAATTTTACCTTTCGCTTCCTCTGGCGTTGCGCGGAAAAGAGAATCCATGGTTTCGGCATCTTCGGACGCATGATACGGGACGAAGACGACGTTGTGGTCTGAAGGAATTCAAGAATTAGTCAGAGCGGTTGTGGTCAACGAAATTAAACGCACCCGTATACTTGTCTCCAACTCCTGGAAGGTCGACAAGTTGCTTTATCCCACACTTCTCCAACACGCTTGCTGCCCCAATACCCGAGCGTTCGAGAATCGCAGGCGATCCAAACGCTCCAGCGGAGAGGACCACAAGACGCGATGCCCTCGAGATACGACTCTCTGGTACCCCTTTGCTTCTCCCAACAACGTCGTCGACGTGCTCAACTCCCACAGCACGGTTACCTCTGCTCGTCAGAAGAGCCGATCAGCACAGATATTCCAGAAGCATGTCAGAGGCTGCCTACTCGAAGATAACGCGCGCGACTTTTCGCCTCGTTTGAACCTCTAGGTTCTTGTTGTGATCTTGGTTGTAAATATAGTAGTGGGCGGTGTCTGAGCGCCTTCCAGTCTTGGCATCTATCCACCTGTTCCCATTGTTGTAGACAATAGTACGAGGCTCAGCGTTGTGTGAAGACGTACCTCGGAAGCCTCTACCAACGAGCAACGACATGAGAAACCAGGATTAAAACGACAGGAGAAAAGTCTCTTACCGTCCAGCCATTGATCGAATCCCCGCTGAAGTTACTGAAATCGTCGACGGCCTTGTATTCCTTCTCGTATGCTTGGGCAACACGGAGAGCCTCATCAGAGACGTTGTGACTATCTTGGGCGAAAGATATTTTAAGTGGCCCGTTGAACCCGTGGGTGGGCGCAGAAGGATCGGGCTGATAGGTCTCCGCCTAAATTAGAACGAGGAAGACCAGTGTTAACAAAATGCTCCAAACGGTTGATAGCACCAAGCATCAACATCTGCTTACCTTGCGCAGGAGGGGAATAAGGTCCTTCGAACCCCACCCTTTGTTACGATGTACGTTTTCCCAGTCGTCGTAATCAGATGCGGCTGGCCTTACATACATGACGACTGTTGAACGTAAATTAGCCCTTGGCACTGGATAGGACACACAAAACATTCACTTACAGTTTACGGCGGACCCGCCCCCCAATGCACGGCCAGTCGGAACGATGTGCGTGCGGCCATTGGTGCCCTTCCCACCCTGACCGAGGTGGAAGGAGAACACGTCCCGGGGAACGAGCAAATTGCTGAAATAATTTCCTGGCCGGACGTGGTGGTCCAGGTCGCGGGTGTGGGCACCGGCTTCGAGGACCTACACGGCAAGAATATCTCGTCAGGAAACATTCACGCGACAACGAAGACGACGGGTGTGAGTGGACCTACAAGGATCTTGAGAGTGGGGTCGGCAGCTGCGAGTCGTCCCGCTGTAACGCATGCGGCTGCTCCGCCTAGAAAGGGCAGGTGAGATGGAGTCAACAATGGTGCCATCGACACAAGTTGATGAAGAGAGCTGGTACATACTACCGGCGAAGATGATGTCGTAGGTAGTTTCTTCAGTGGCCATGGTGGGTTGTTGGTAGAATGAAGAGCTCTGGAAGCGGAAAGACTCTGAGACATGCCATTTAAATAATAGGTCCTGTAGAGATATTTATATCCTCCTACCCCAACGGGGGTGGTGAGTGCGATGTTGCCCAAGTTTCCCAACATCTGGTTGACAGACCGAGGTCAGAGATTGTATAGAAGTTGGATCAGGTGTGCATGCCCACAGTCGATACCGCCAGCTCGATTGCTGTTTGGGCGAGAATCGACAAGTTTCGTTGTATAGGTAGGATCCACGAGGAGCTCCCAGATCACGGTACGACACTTCATACTTGCTTGAGACCAGGGTTTTCCAATACCATCCGCTGAATACCCGCGGCGTCGAGTGTGTGCCTCTTGCAGTACTTACAATCTTCAGTTTAAGGGTTCAAGCTCAAGCTTTTCAAGAGGCAGCCCCAAGATGGAAAACAGTCGAGTTCTGATTGAATGACTGAATTGACAACACACATCAGTCAATCTAGATCGCGCTAATTTTGAGGCTAAACGAGAGAAAAGCCTATGCCACAATATAAGTAACCTTGCATTGTCGATTGCACGCGTAGAACGATGTACAATCAACGCCAGCTCCTTCGATACTTATACCGTTACTGTGGCTAGAGCTTGATATTGAGATGGCTTACGGAGTCTTCAGACCTGAGACCAGAACCGACAGCAAGAATCGAAAGCGAAGGGGTTATCTTTCCCATTTTTAGGCATTGTGGGTTCCAAAAACGAGGCGGGGAGATTTCGACCACTAGTTGTTATTTATTCTTGGAAACATGAGAAAGGCGGGAGAAGACAACGGCCTAGGAAGACACATCGTATCCCGAGACCGAGGTAGATGATGCTTCTACCGTTTCTTCTTTCTTTTCGGTGGGAGGGGGGAGAGCAGTGGCCCTCCAGCCCGTTCGGAATGAAGTCACAGCAGCGATAAGCCCAAAAGCGCCAACCCAAAGCTGTGGACAGAATCAGTGACATAAGACACGAAAGCAGTCCATGCAAACACCTACATCATTCTTGAACAACCCTTTCTCAAGTGACCTAAAGAATGAAAGAATGAGGGTCCACATGCAACGCGTATTGAACTATTGTGATAGCATACCAGTGGATAGTTAACGGCAGATAACCAAGGTTGATGATCACCTCAGACCAGAATGCATCCCAACGCTGTTGCATTTCGGCCTTCTCTTCTTTCGTAAGACCGGTGCCCTTCGCCTTACGGAGAGAACTGTGTCTCTGCTTCAACAGCTTCCTGTCTTCGATTAGATGGGCGAAATGGAGGACTACGTAGACGGCCCAGCATCGGCAAGACCAGATCCCCAACGTGTTGGGGTCGAGGGATATCTTCTTCTTCTTGGCGGAGAAGATGGACAGAGGAGAAGTGATGGTTGAGAGGATCAATCCATGGGATCCAAGATAGTAAAGATGCTCCAGCGGATAGTATGCAAGCATAGACCACCCTTGGAGACGTTCGATGGTAAGGAGCCTTCGAGTGGCGGGTGGGTTGCGCTCCAAGGATACCAACCATTGGAAGATGGGCAAAAGGCCTAGACTGGCGTCAAGTAGAACATCATCATGTCAGGATTAAAGCTGACCCCATATCCTCCATAGCGTCCGCGAGTCACCAACAAGACTTCCGAATTTTGCGTAGCTCTCAGCAGCACGGCTTGTCGGGGATTCACGGAATCCAGCGCGATGCTGCAGGCGTGCGCGAAGGTGAAGGAAGGGAACGATTAGCTTGATAGCATATTGGATGACCTTTGCTTAAGGTCAGCGACGCGTCTGATTATAAGAAATCAGATAACAAACCATAAAGAGTTTGCTGTACAAAATGTTCAGCAGACGTTCTTTCAAGGAAAGAAGCGAATACGTACTCGCTACCGCTCCAAGTCCCAAGGTATCGAACGATATGATCGAGCGTTTCGGATGGGCGAATGTTGGAGAAGCTCCCCAGGATCGCATCATTGAGACGGGCGGCGGTCAGAGGTTTAGACAGGCGAGACATCGAGGTCTTTCCTTCGTAACAGATGAGGAGAAGAGACAAAAGATTGTATTGCTGGACATCGCTGGAAGTACCGGCCAAGCCGAGCAAGGTGGCGGGCTCGTGATTCCGGTCTACTATTGGACCGACGTGGGAGATACTAACGTAAGCTATACAGCACCTTATAAACGACGGACTTCGATTTTTTCACCTCAGAACAAAACCACTGTGGACACAAAAGTTCGGGCTTGGTACAAGCTTTTCCGCCTCCTTGTCCGCGTTCCCGTCCCCTATATCGAACCCAGGCGTCTCTGGCGTTGGAGACTATCGTCTTGAGGTGTACTCGCTCTATCCCGTGGTCTTTTTCTTGGAGGCATCGCTCAGGCTGGTGCTCAGGATGCGGAGGAGATCTCGGAAGATTGCATCTCAAGGTTCGGTGGTTTCTACATATCCTCAAATTTGATATCCGTGTACCCTTTTTTTCATAATGATATCCTCCTTCACCTCTCTCCTCGTCTTGTTGCCCCACTGTCAAATTGTCCTACCCATGAGGCTAACGTTTTTTTGAGTGCGATCGACGGCCCATGTACTTCTGACATTGGACGAAAGATATCTTTCTAGGACTTTCTCCGAACTCACTCTGAGCGCTGCTTGAAGTTCACATTGTTCAAGCATCTCAACGTATTTCATAAAGAGTGCGCTTCTTCTGTTCCTTGATCGCAATCTGATGCACCACAGCTCACTGAGTCTTGCAGTCTCCAAGCTTACTTTTTCCTCTCTCTGCACGACAAATACTCCGGCCCGCCCTGGTGATGGCATACAATGTGACATACGACGTGGTCATCCACCGGTGCTTCGGAAAATCTTGGGAGAAACATGGCACCTTCGTCATGTGCCTCCTACAGCCCACACACTCTCCTAGACTCTCCTTCCGCATTTAGTCCAAATGCCAATCCCCCAGCCCACGATCGCGTCGCTAAAATGGAGATTACGGCGGCAAATGTTTCTTCGCGAAATTATCTTTGGTGTTCTTGAAGTCTAAACCCCCGTCGGGGTCAATAAAATTCTTTTTAATCCGAGAATACAGAAGCATCCTACTCGCGTCGCGTCGTCTTTTGCCCCACAATGCGAATCACGCTTTATGCTGCTACTTTGCTCCTCGTCGTTCCAGCGGCTACTGCTCAGCTTAACGTATGGGCGCGTATTGCTGGGAAGCAATACTTTGGGTCAGCGACAGACAACTACGAGCTCGCTGACAAGCCTTACTTCAAGCAGCTCTCAAACACTCTGGACTTTGCTCAGATTACTCCAGTATGTTCTTGCGATTGTTCGCGTGCGCTACGTGCCTAACTTGTTTTACAGAGCAACAGCATGAAATGGGTGCGTTTCTTTCGTAACTCCGCAGACGGGGAACTGAAAAACGTCCTCCTAGTTCGCCACGGAACCTGAGCGAGGAAACTTCACATTTGCTGGTGGCGAGGAAATTGTCGCGTTCGCGAAGAAGAATCGTCAACTCGTCAGAGGTATTCAGGCTCCTCAACGTCACAAAAATATCCATGTTCACTCATTGGACAGGTCACACCTGCGTTTGGCATAGCCAGCTGGCGCCATGGGTCGAAGCTGGCAACTTCGATAACGCTACCCTCAGCACTATCGTAAGAGACCACAGCTACAACTTGGTCAGAAACTTCCGAGGCGACTTGTGAGTATTTACCAGCTTCGTCGCCTTCTCTCGATAACTAAACGGAGTCTTTTAGAAGTACGTTTCGTCATTCATAGGCATAGCTGTATTCTCACAGCACCCATGACAAGTCCACTGGGATGTCGTCAACGGTCTGTGGTTTCTCTTGGTTCGTTCGTCATGTGCTCACGTTCTTGGACATACAGAGGCGTTCAACGAAGATGGAACCTTCCGCGAGACGGTCTTCTACAAGACCATCGGCCCGTCCTACATCGACATTGCCTTCCATGCTGCCCGTAAAGCCGATCCCAAAGCCAAGCTTTACGTACGCCAATTCGTTCACAAAATGCTTCCCTTCGTCCTGACATCCAAATAGATCAACGACTACAACATCGACGGCCTGGGCCCAAAATCCACCGGTGTGATCAACCTCGTCAAGCAGCTGAAGAAGAACAAAGTCCCTATCGACGGCATCGGCGTACAAGGTCACCTCATCGTTGGCCACGTCCCCACCACAATCAAGGAGAACCTGCAGGCCTTCGCAGACCTCGGCGTCGACGTCGCAATTACGGAGCTCGACATCCGCATGACACTCCCTGTGACGCCGGAGCTCCTCGAGCAACAGAAGAAGGACTACCAAACCGTCATTGCGGCGTGCAGGGCAGTTAAAAAGTGCATTGGTGTAACGATTTGGGATTGGACTGATAAGGTGCAGATCTTTGTTTGTTTGAGGGAAGATCGACTGGCTGATGTATCGTGCCACAGTATTCTTGGGTGCCAGGTGTTTTCGATGGAGAGGGTGCTGCTTTGCCTTGGGATGAGGTACTATTTGCCTGATCTTTGAGAATCTTTTATGGTGCTGATTATTTTCATATAGGACCTCAAGAAGAAGCCTGCTTACGACGGCATCGTCGACGGTTTCACAAAGCTCTAGAGGCTGTGAACTTTCCGTAAAACATACTTTCTGTATAACCAGGTTTTCCAAAATGAATCGTCGTCGACGTGTGACGCAGAGTCTCCTTGCTCCCTCCGTCTGGCCGAACAATTCTTGTCTCTTGTCTCTTCATCGACCACGCTTTCAAGTCTCAGGAACTACTCTCCCGTTACTGCAAGTTCCTCTGCCTTTCCGAGATGCCTTTTCCCATAAAATTTCGTCCACGACCTTCTGATCTTGTTCAACTCTTCCTACCCCGCAGTTCATTTAGCTGACTTCGTCAATCGTTTCTCAGCCTGTGTATAATTACTAACCCTTGCTATTGTTTTAGAACGGATCCTGGAGCCTGCTGTCCAGTTATAAAAGGGCAAGGAAGACACTGGAAAAGCGAAGCAGCTGCTCAATCTCGTCTAATGTTCAAACCTACTTCGCTGGTTGTCCTCGGCCTCTTCTCCTCCGCTGTCGCCCAACTGAACACCCTGGCCCAAGCTGCGGGCAAGAAGTACTTCGGAACGGCGACCGACAACCCCGAGCTGAGCAACACCAGCTATGTCGCCCAACTACGAAACACTGCCGACTTCCACCAGCTTACTCCGGTTCGTATCCGTACTTCACTTTGGATCGCTATGACTTGATGACGAACGAGTTACCAGGCGAATAGCATGAAATGGGTATTCAATTCAATCCTTCGTTGGCGACAGTTGGTGTACTGTATTGAAACATGGTCATAGGATGCTACTGAACCTTCCCGAGGTATCTTTACGTTCCAAGGAGGAGACCAGATAGTTTCTCTGGCCGAGTTGAATGGACAACTTGTTCGAGGTCTGTATCAGGCCCGTTTCTTCCTCATCAAAAGTTTAGGCTGGTTCACGCAGGTCACAACTGTGTCTGGCACAATCAACTCCCTGACTGGGTCACCTCTGGCAGCTTTGACAATGCAACCCTCTTGTCCATTGTTGAAACCCATTGTGGTACTCTCGTCCGTCATTACAGCGGAAAAATGTGTGCTCAAGTTCGCTGATATCATATGCACACCATGCTAACGATCATCTAGTCGTAGGCCTCCCTTGCACTCTGCGTCTTGATTCCGGATTCCAGTTGACATTGTTGGTAGTTAGCTGGGATGTGATCAATGGTACGCATGCAATAAGGAGCTAAAGACTTCTTCAACGTAGCATTTTCACTTCAGAGCCCTTTAACGACGATGGCACGTTCCGCGAAAGTGTATTCTTCAGCACGACTGGAACATCCTACATCACGACTGCGCTGAGAGCTGCTAGAGCAGCGGATTCACAGGCGAAGCTTTATGTTCGTCCTTTCATTCCAAATTCAAGCCAAACCAGCCAACCAGCATGCACTTACACGAACACCCGGTTTTCATAGATCAATGACTTCAACATCGAAGGCCGCGGGCCAAAATCCACAGCCATGGCCCAGCTCGTTAAGCAGCTCCAGGCAGACCGCGTCCCAATCGATGGCATAGGCATCCAGGGCCACCTCATCGTCGGCGAAGTCCCACCCACGTTCGCTCAGAACCTGCAAGACCTCGCTAGTCTTGGGGTAGAGGTTGCAATCACAGAGCTGGACATCCGCATGACCCTGCCCGCGACTCCGGAGCTTCTCGCGCAGCAGAAGGCGGACTATGAGACTGTTATAGCTGCGTGCAAGGCTGTGGATGGGTGTGTGGGGGTGACGTTGTGGGATTGGACTGACAAGGTGCATACTCGTGCTTCTCCAGTTTCATGGATCGAGGGATGATATTGATATTTTTTTGGTCAATGCATCTAGTTTTCGTGGGTTCCTGGAGCCTTCGCTGGCGAAGGTGTTGCATGTCCTTGGGATGAGGTAACTGGCACTTGTGTTTTTACGTTCGTCGGGCTGATTGCTCTCATTCTAGAACTTCGTCAGGAAGCCAGCTTTCCAGGGTATCGTTATCGGATGGGTCTTCTAAAGGCTAGGGAAGTGCACAGGGAGAGAAGGAACTCTTGTAAAATTATTTCTCGCTTCACGCCCGGACATGAGGCGAGAGTGTGGGGTATTTTGCCGCGAGTCGAGTTCTTCTAAGATATCGATCTGTTCGAAACATCGAAGCCGAGTTCAGGTTCAGACATGTTCGCGGGAGATGAGTTCCAGGACCTGAAATAAGCCGCTTGGATGGCCTGCGAAGCATTTATTCCAGTTCAGGGCTCTGAATTGAAATGTCTGGAAGTTCCTTAGAGTCCACAATACCAGGTGGCGATGCGAGATATGCATTGTGGGGTTGCACCGCTGTTTCTGCGTGTTTTTATCCTGGTATCCTCTAGAGCGCGCGACAAAGCTTGACTTCGGATGCGTAGTGGTTTGAACTGGTTCGGATCTCCCTCGATGCCCACGTTGAGGCGAGATGACATGATGATCAGGTTGAGGGTGCGAAAGCCTTGAGGCAAATAAACTTCGTCCAGTTTTTCACACTTCCTCGTGTTGTCATGCAGTTCAATAATTACAAAAGGCAATCTGCGTCTACAACAACATGTAGTCTAATTGTGGCACCCAACTTTCTTTGCTCTTCCCTTCACAATCGCAGCATTTCCTGGCCTTCGACGAGAACAAGACTTCATCAACAGCAGCAGCATCATGGAGACGACCCACCTCTCAGATAACATCGACGAGACCGAAGAACTAAAGGTCACATTCTATCCAGAGCTATTCCTACAGCGCCGCATCTGGATCCTCAACTTCTTACGCAAAGAGAACGTTACTCGTGTACGCGATGTCTACTCATATGCGCACTATTTCTCAAACTAATTAGTGCCATCCGATCCCATTTACATAGGTCCTCGATGTAGGATGTGGCGAAGGGCAGTTGCTAACGCCACTCTGCCAACCAGCGCCCTGGCTGACGCCGCCACCGCCGTCTATTCTGCCACCCCCCGAGACGCCTTCATCACCTGACGACCTGGTCCCGTCCACACCAACGTACAACGACGATGAGATCCCAAACTTGCACTTGACGGAAGTACATGGACTTGACATCTCCTCTGAAGATCTTGCCTTCGCGATGGAGGCCTGTGCACCACCCAAACACGTCCCAGACGAGGGTAATAGTAGCCCTGGGTTCCGATCGTACACGGCGGGTGTCCAGAGGTGGGAAGAGCTCATATGCAAGGTGTGGAAGGGAGGCTTGGAAGTGATCAACGAAGAATTCGTGGATATGGAGTGCATAGTGGCAATGGAAGTGTAAGTTGCCCTTTGCGAGCCATCTTGTTCCGTCCGGTCCACTCACTGACCAACGTATTGCCGTGATTCATCTCCCTTTCATCCGATAATCATTTCTGAACGTCACTGCACACCCTTCGCCGTCCACTTTTCTCCTTTTGTACACCTCTTCCCGACACCAGCATCGAGCATCTGCCAGACGGCATATTCCAGGCATTTGCCCCTGTGCTCCTCGGAGTGTACCACCCGGAATTCCTGCTCGTCACAACACCTTCTTACACTTTCAACGAACGCTTCCTGCCTCCCAACGCCCCAAGAATCGCAAGGAGCGGCTACCTAGACCCGACCCGACGTACCGACCGCATCTTCCGCCACAGCGATCACAAGTTCGAATGGACGCGTGACGAGTTCAAGGCCTGGTGCGAGGAGACCGCGAAAGAGTGGGGGTATGTAGTCCGACAAACAAGCATTGGACTGCCACTGCAGAAAGATCCGTTTGGGCGGGACGAGCAGCTCGAGGGTGCGACGCAGGTGGCTGAATTCCGGAGGCTGGAGAGCATGGACAATAAGACGAGAGAGGGTAAGGGGCGTGTGAGGGTAAAGGAGCTCGGAATCACTGGACAACCTCATGAAGCTCTTGCAGTTTACAAACACACCGCCAACGCCGTCGCCATGAAACCTAAGCCATTCGAGGATGTTGCGGAACGTGTGATACTGAAGATGGAAGAGTTCCGCGAGGCGTTCATGCGGATGGAGGAGCTGTGGTTTGAGGCGGACATTGCGACACTTTGCGGAGGCTGGATCGAAGTTCTTGTCAGGGCGATTGAGGAATGCCCCAAGCTGCAGTTGAAGAGGGATGTCGATGGTATTCGGAAAGGGAGAAGTACGTGGAGTGTCGAGCTCATTGGAGGGGTTGCCAATCCTGCTCAGTACTGGCCTGCTGGAGGCGAGACAAATGCGGATTGCATTCCAGCAGACTGGAGCCCTGTGGAAGATCCCGAAGAGATTTGGGAAGAGAGCGATTTTGGCAGTTCTGCCGGCGTTGACGGCGATATTTCTGCGAACTCGTCTGAAGACGACGGCATCTACGACTCAGAAAACGACCATGTGGGCTGGAGGGGGAAATCTGGATGGAAAGGAGCAGTCAGCAAGTCACCCAAGTCACCCAAGTCGCCGAAGAAAGCAAATCACGGCTGGAGCGTCTCAGCGGATTGGGGGGCGGTAGAGGCAAATTGGGGTGACGTTCAGCATAGTGCCATGAGCTCGACGGCAGGGTGGGATGGAGACGAGAGCGACGACGATACTACTTCTTGAACGACTGTAATGTACTTTCGGCTCGTGTGTAATAACCTAATATGCGTGTCATTGTCCGTGAAGTAAAATGCTACAAAACTGGATTGTGATCAGACGTGGAAAGTAGGACCAAGAGGAGACCTCGCACCTGGTATAAATACTCCTCCCCATACACGACCAACGTCAACTCTACTCTTTCTTCAGTGACTTCACAGGCGCTGCGGAGATTTCTGTGTCAGTTCCAGTCGCAGCTGCGAGCCCAAGCATAACCCACAAATGAGAGGGTGTAGTTGTGCCATATAAGTTATCATCCACATGAGATAGCAGCAGGCGAATGTGAGCATCAGGGCAGTTCGGATTGTCCTGCGTAGTCTTCGTCAGGACGTGGTGCAACGATTTCCGAGCCATTTACTCACACTTGGTGAGGTCCTTTTGGCACAAATAGGGCAGATAGTGTCATGAGGCCGCCTGTTATGGCGAGGTAGATCAGAACGGGAAGTATTCCGGCCATTGTGGACAACAACGATGAGAGGAATGTCAAGAGCGAACTCTGCCTGCCAACACGAATGTGAGAAAATATTTCCAGAAACGGATAAGCTCGGGGTCTGATGGTCAACAAGTTTTCTCCTCGATCGTCACCTTCTTTGACTGAACTAAATTCTTTGTGACGCAGCGATAGGCCATCTCAGAGCGTGCGTTATCGTTCGAAAGGTCAGTCTTTTTTCTTAAAGCATTATTTGGCTAGAAAAGTAATAAAATCGCCCTACTCTACAGTTTGGAAACGCCCTCAAATTAAAAGATGCCTTGACACTTCCCTACCTTGTTACAAGCCGCTGAGATGTAAACCCGGGAGAAGATCACCCAGCACGCTCGGGCAGCTATCGCACTACCCCTCTACCTCGGGTTTTGGTCTTTGTGGAAGGTAAAACCATTGCCGCTCAGGTCGCCTTCTTGCTGAATCGGCTATCCGCGGGTAGCATGCAAAGAAAGAGGCTCCTATGAAAGTCTTTTTTCTACTTGCCAAGCTTATCCTGGACAACTGTGGTCGTAAAGGCTTCATCGTCGACGGCCTCGTAACGCGATCAACAGCGTTCTGTGATGAACATGCCTGTCAGAAGAACTGAATTAGCCCACATTTCGTTGGGACCTACCGAATAGAAAGATTCCAATGTACTCGTGATCATTCTATTTGTATGGCATGATTGGGAAGAGCTTCACGTATCCTACTCTGGTTCGCCCCCCTCTTTTTGGGAGTATAAAGGCCGCCTGCCTGCTGCAGCTCCATAACTCTCAATAAACTCCAATCCAATGTCTACGAACCAGACCATTGTCATTGTTGGCGCTGGGTGAGTCGACAGAACTTACAATGACGATGAGCGACTACTCACTGCGATTATCGTTAGCTTCGGTGGTATTGCCGCTGCGATACATTTGAAGGATAAGCTCGGGTTCAAGGACTTCGTGGTACGGAGAACCTTATGCCCCGCCTCTAGGATGAGAAGTTACATCTTCTTCTCAGATACTCGAGAAATCCTCAGGTGTTGGAGGCACCTGGCGTGTAAGTTGCCTTGTTAGCTAACCATCTATTTCTGTTGACCTCGAAACAAGGAAAATCAATATCCTGTTGGTCCTTGAATGCAAGCTGGAACGAAGATAGGACTGATCCATGGATAGGGCTGCCTGTCCGATGTTGTGATTCACTACTACTCCTTGTCGACCGACCTGAAGCACGACTGGGAGAATTTATGTGAATTTCAACCTAACATTCTAAAATACGTTGAAGGCGTAACGGACAATCACTCTCTACGACACCACATGGTTTTCAGCACCGAAGTGATTTCCGCGGAATGGCAAGAGGATGCCCAATTCTATACGGTTGAAACCCGAGATACGAAGACGGGTGCCCCGAAGACATGGAAAGCCAGGATCATCATATCAGCACATGGAATACTGCACATACCAAGAATGCCTGTGATACCGGGCTTGGAGAACTTCAAGGGCACTGTCATGCACTCGGCTCGGTGGGATAAATCCGTGGACTTGCGTGGCAAGCGCGTTGCGGTCATTGGGAACGGAAGCAGCGGGTTAGTACCTCCTATAATGTGCCGTTACTTCACCTAATGGAGCGATCCGCATGGTTTTAGAGCCCAAATTATGTCTAACATTCCAGCCATAGAAGGCATCCAGGTGACACAGTTTTATCGCACGAGGAATTGGCATCTGCCTGGCGTACGTCTTCATAGTCTGCCAACTCCCATACCCATCCCACATACTTAAGTATCATAGTTTGGACGACCGATGAGCGGTGTCATGAATTGGGCTCTTACACATGTCCCATTCCTCTCAGTTCTTTTCCGATGGTTTATTTTCTGGGTGGTAAGCAAATCGACTTTCCATGCAATATGCCGCCGTTGATTTTAGGATTAGTTCGAGCTGTCCTACGTGATCATCTTCCGAGCCTTGGTGCCGAGAGCCCTCCTTGTAAAGGCGAGTACAATCAACTCTGCATACATAAGCATTATTGATCTCGATCTCTTTTTGCCTAGCTCTTAGCAGCCTCCACACGTTCGACTGCGCCCAAGGAGTATCACGACATTCTCATCCCATCTTTCCGTCAGTTATATCAAATCCTGAATGCTGTCCCATCTGAACGTCGTATTCTCTAGCTGTCGGCTGCAGGCGAATTATCTATGGCTCAACCTATTTCTCTGTTTTACGTCGACCGAATGTCGGGATATCGAGGAGTGGAATTGCTTCGGTGTATTCTAATGGTGTCATCACGGAAGATGGTACGCATGCTATGACTTTTGATGACGCTTGGTGATAACATGCTGCTCAGGCAAGAACCTTCCCTTCGACGTCATTATATGCGCCACGGGGTTCGTCGTTGTAGGTTTACCCCGCCTTACGATTTGCCGCTGAAACTCATCCATACTATGACTCCACAGGATACATTTCCGTATGGCCTGCGTGGAAGAGAGACGACCATTCAAGAGTTCTATGCCAGTAAAGGTGGTCCGAATGCCTATCTAGGTACCACAATACCGGGATTCCCTAATTTCTGCATGCTCGGTGGTATGTCTTATTCGTACTTTGGCTGCATGTGAAGAAAGTAATGAGCTTTTCAGGCCCAAATACATCTACAGGATATACCTCCGTCCTGTTCTTCGAGGAATGCCAAGTTAGTTTGTTTGAACCTTTAGTGGAGAACCACACCTCATCTGATCCTTTATGTGATTTTGATAGATGCAGTACATCGGCCAGCTCATCAAGCCAATCCTCGACGGAACAGCGACTTCGTTCGAAGTGACCTCTGAAGCCAACGACGCTTATAATGACACGATTCAAGAGGGCATGAAGCACACACCCTTTACCTTTTGCCGGTCCTGGTATCGTGTTGGAGGGAGCGGCAAGAACTCGTCGATATTTCCTGGTATGGTTCTCAGTTCAAACAGCTGTCCTCTTTACGATGCAAAGAAATTGATTTTTTGGTATCCTTAGGTTCTGCCATCACCTTCTGGTGGTGGTGCCAGAGCGTGAATTGGAGGCATTACAAGATTAAAGGATTGAAAGCAGGGATGTCGTCATCACAGCAGCGCATTTGGGTGAAGGATACAGTCTTCGTTAGCAGTGCGAGTCTTCTTGCTCTCTCTGCGGCGTATGCATATATTCGAGGATGAGATCCTGGATGTAGCACCTCTGGTGCGGTGGCTACGGATCCACCTGCTATACAAATATATTTCGCTGAACACCCCATATTAGTTGGTAGTATGAAAATATAGTACCAGAGTAAGTTCGGTCCATCCTTCTGGGAGACCAGTGGACCTAGTTGTGATTTCCCATATGTTGATTCCTTGTTTACAGCAGCAATCAAGAATGAATCCATTGGCCTTTCCGCACTTGAAGTAAATCCTTTAGCCGTAACTCCTCTTTTTTACCCCTCTTTTCACACGACGCAAGGGCTCAGGGTCAAAACATTCGTTAACACTCTCGGCACCGACCACGGATTCTCGATGCTCCCCAATACCACGGAGGTTTCTCGGAACGCCCGATCTCTGTCCTCGTTTATCACTCTTTTCGCCATTTGGCGACCTGAATCCCAGGCAGCGTCCAGGGACTTCCTCATATGTTGTTATATGGACAGCTCTGATGAACGGCGTTATGACACGAAGCTAGCTCAAAATCAACCAACGGATATCCCTGTCGCCTTAAAAGCGAAAGCTCAAGATGGACGTCGTCCTATGTCGAAATTACATCCAGGTACTTTCCTTCATCACCCGTTGGACCTCGAGGATGGCAAACCTAGGTGCTATGACAATGAAGCGAGCTAATACGACAGAGTCACCATCCAGCCGCTGTCAAAGGAAAGAACTGAGACCCAGCAAGTGGATTTGGGAGCGAAACAACGGTTTAAGGGTGCGTTGTTCAACCATTCTTCCTCACTAAAGCTCGAACCTGTGCCGTAATCGCCATCACCGACGAAGCCGACTCTCTATCTCGTGACGACCAAGCAGCTGCGTTGTCTCCTTATGTGGGTGGCAGCGAGGAAGAGGTACGAAATGGGAATTCCGGTCGTCATCGCCTGGCACATTTTTGAAGTTAAGCGTGCCTCCTCCCTAGTTTATGACGGTCCTCCAATCTGTAACCAAACGGGAGGTTTGTGATCTGCCGCCAGATGCCGGGAAAAAGATCGTTGAAGATTGCGGTGGCAATCTGAGAAGAAAAACTATTCTTGTCCTCGAAGCTCTGGGGATGCAATCGTGGGTTTGCCTCTGCGCTGCCCTTTCTTGTACGAACAACAGGGACCGAAGGCTCTTGCCTGTTTTCTCTCTTTTTAGGCCTGACTTGACAGGGTCTCTGACAACCGCGAAGCCTGACTGCCGGGAGGTCCTCTGCCACAAAGTTGTGGACCTCATAGTCTCCGAACAGTCGCTGGACGGGGTGATTGAGTGCACTCTATATTCTTCGAACTGCTCAGTCACCGCATCCCACCAACTCTCACTATGAAAGTAAATGTCCCGAGAAATCGATTCTTGTTTTGACAAGTCACAAGTGAAACGTTTTCCATAAATGGACTCTGAGTTGCCATATCTGGCATTATCGCGACCATTTGCATAAAGTAGATATGTTCGCTCATTGCTAACCACACGAGAAATCCGTCCAGACTACTATGCTCTCATTCTCTCGCATGCCTGTTTGAAATGTTCTGTTTCGCATCTCATTAATGTCGGCTAGTCCAGGATGAAATAAACCTTCGACATCTCCTGACGTCTTTCATTGAAGAATAATCATCAACGCATTTGCATCTTTTTCGATAATCGTCAAAGGATATGGTCCACGAAGGTACGCAGCTCATCGACGAGAAGTAAAACGTTATACTCATGAAGGTCCCATGAATCGCTAGCTATCATCAGCGACATCGATGTCACATTTTGTGCGTAGCTTCCCCTCCGAGAAAATATGGTCAGGGTCTAACATGTCCTTATTTTCTGTTAGGCACAGAAATTCAGGGACCCCCTGAAGATATGGGTGATGAACAGTGCAGGACGCCGAATTCGAGAGTCCCTTCGCCCACGGATTCAGGTGCGTGTTAACCCCCCCCGTCCCGAGACAACATGGCATGAAAACAATTTCATAGAGAACGGGACAATGTTTTACGAGGTGCTCTCAGGCCCTTTCCCCCCATCTGATGCCGAGCTCGCTTCTTCGCGACAACCCAGCACTCCTTCTGGCGGAGACGATTCTTCTACGCACAGTGTCTTGAATGTCGGTCCTGCAGCGTACACTGGCGACACCTACGACAACCCCTCGTATCTTCCCGAGCTGGTCAAAAAGTGGAAGCAGTTCCAGGATTTACCGAAAGGGATGCCAGATGACATGCATGTAACGTTTGGCTGGGCATTCACTCTGGAGCACCAGCCAGAAAAACCTCTCTCCATCGATGATCCCATGTTTCACCAGTTTCGCCGTGGCAACCTGAACAAATTCAGGAGGGCCTGCATTGCGACCCATGGACGCGGCCCAAGCAAGTCATATTCGGCCTATAGCGTCGCTTACTCTACGGTTCACGGAGTACGCGACGTCTATGGCAATTCAGCTCCCCGCCCGACCGTGTTTGGGAAGAGGATTAAAGAGAAAACGCAACTCGAAGACGACAGATACCGGATCCAGGTGTCTTACCCTGATATAGCTTGGGACGTCGACCCTCCCTTTGTCCAGTGTGCAGAGTACCTGACTCTGGCTCCTATTGTCCGCGAGATCAACGCCGAAACCGCCAACAAGATGGTTCCTGTCACCACATTAACAATTTGCGACCGGAAAGCAGTCACCAAGGATCTACCTCTGTGCGACCACTGTGTGGAATTTGTGGAAGGCCTTGTAAAGAAGAACAGGGGATTGAGGGTCATAGATGCAGTCAACGGCCGCATCTACGAATCGGAGGTGACAGTAAGTCGATCACATAGCCAGAATCACTCGTCTTCTCATAGCATCGCACATAGAAGCAGATGTGGGAGCAAGCCCAAAACAACAGCGAACATTGATCTTGCAGGTGGTATATTCATCTCATCACTTTACCTTAGGTATAGAGTCTTTATCATGCATCCCTCTTAGTACGAAGCAGATCCCTGTGCGACGCCGTCAGGAAATCAGTCATAATGCATAATGGGTCATTTGTAGTTATTTAATAACATTCCTATTCAGGCACCTCCAAGCGCTGCCAAAATCGAGGTTCCGTTCGCCTAGTCCATGGAGGCGCAGGAATGTCATGGTGTGTGTGATCAGAAAAGTCATCGTTGCCCTCCGAGCACACTAAAACGTCATCATGTGGTAGCACATTGCGGGACACCGGACCAAATGGTGTGCAAATACTAAGGTTGTGCCACATCCTCTGCAGATATTCAATCCAATCGTGATACACAATGAAATCGTTGTAGTTACCCCTCCGTACCAAAGTGTGATAGTCAGTCCTGTCCTCAGGACCTTCTCCCCACTCGCAGTATGGCACGATGTCCGGGTCGAGACGCAGCGAGATCGCAAAGACCTTGCCGGAGAGCTCTGGAAAATGGTCATCATCAAGTATCAGCCAATCTGTGCTGTCCCCGGCGTTCCTCCAGAGGAGCAGCGCAGGGATAAATGCGACCCCGGGGTAGCCCAACTTGTACGTCAGGGCAGAGAGTTCAGGGTGGGTGCGCGCAATGAAGTTGACCCCTTTCTTGCGCTCAATGTTCGACTTGCGGCAGTCGAGGAGGGGAAGTCCGGGCCAGAGGGACTGTACAGCGGCGAGGGCGGGCCATTCGAGGATGAACAAGCGGAACGCTGGGGGAACACGGATGGTGGGGTCTTGTGCTTCTAGGGTCGCGATGTACGCCTCACGGTCGAATGTCGGGTCGAGATGGGCGACTATCCATGGGCGGGTCTCGAGAAAGTAGGATGCATTTATGATGGTGTCGTAGAGTTCAAGGAGACGCCGGCGCAGGGGGTCGAGCTCGGCATGTGGGACCAAGCTCCGCCATGATGCGCAAACGCACCGACAGGCGATGAGCGCCTTGAGTGTCATAAATGAGAAACAGTGCAGTAGGATTTCGTTGGGGAATTGCGGCACTGTCGACGCTGCTCCTGAGGGAGGAAGCTGGGCCGCCTGGATCCATCGATTGAGGAAGGGAATATCTAGCGTGATGAGGTGCCGTAATAGCGTCCTGATGTTGTCTGTTTGTTGTCGAACGAATTCGAGCCAGCGGAACCTGGACATCCAGACGGGGTCGGATGCATGGACCCGTCCGACATCAGGCTCATTCGAGTCTGTCGAAGAAGCACGGGACGTCGTTTGACTCATATAAGGTGTACCCGATGAAGAACTGCCACCCGACGAGGAACTTGTTTCATCGCTGGAGAGGTGCACTGGAAGGTCCCCACCGGAGGGCGACATCTGGGGGGGCATAGTACTAGGAGGAAGTGCTCCGGCTTGGTTGTTTACAACAGTGAACATGGTCGAGATGGATTAGATATGATTAGATGTGGCCGATGCTGAGTGCGATGTGAATCAGGTTAATTTCCGGATCAGTTTCCTTATCTCACGATATATTATGTAATCATCTGCCCCATATTACCAACACGGATTGTGCACGACGTCGTGTTTTCGTCCGTGCCCATTAGACCTGAGACCGTTCCCTCTATGAGGTGTCGGCTGCGCTAGAGGACCTCGATAGAGAGGGTTCTCCAAGAGCTTGCGCCCTCCTCCTCATTCCTTGGCTGGTTACGAGTCTACGTGCCCATGTTCTGAGACATTTAGCCCTTCATTGCCCTTCATTGGATATCCCACTCGGCGATGTACTCTTCTCCTTCAAAGCATCTATGGCATTGACGGCTTGCTTCTAGTTATTGCTACTCAAGAATCGCTCTCGAGTCTCACTGGCGACGAATCAGTTGTTCAGACTTGTCGAACATTTCTCCGCGCCAACGATTGATGTGCACAGTTTGAAGGCTGAGGCCTGAGGGCCCAATCCGGAAAATCTAGGTCTTGAGTGAACCTCGCGTTCGGAAGGGCAGTGATTGTACGTTGGAATCAGAAACAAACTTCGGTTGAAGGTCGGCATCAGGTTGGAAGAGAGAAGTCGCACTGGCCACATGAATGATTAGGTTTGTTGGTCGGTTTATGTCACTGGCAGGTTGCAATTTGCATGTTGGAAGTTGAAAAAGGTTGCATTTTTGACGTCATTCATGTCCTCTGGCCTCGAGTTTGTTTGGGGACCTTCAGTGGAGTCTTGGCTGCATTAACAGAATTTTCATATTGGTATTCGAATATATGGGCTTCTAGCTGGGTTTTTCGATTATTGTACTGGGTACAAAAAGAATGAAAAAGAAATAAAAAATAGAAAGAGGGGAGCTTGTGTGCCCCTCAAAAACACCATCACAGCAGGACGGGCAATCTCGACAGAGTCATCCCAATGTGAGACAAGAAGACTTTTAAGCAAAGCCCGCCACGATCCCATCGTACGCAGGTTTTTTGTTGAGGTTCTGTGAGGTGCATATGTATAATGATCACAATCAGCGAAAGCAATGCCGTCGGTGTCATCATCACTTACGGCGTCCCATGGCAAAGCAGCACCTTGGCCATCAAAGACACTAGGAACCCAGGAATACTGTCCATCGACGTCAGAAGGACCGCCTTCCATGAAATGAGAAGATGGGCGAAAACAAACCTTGTCCGTGTAATCCCAAATGGTAACTCCAACGCATTTAGGGACAGCATTGCAAGCAGCAATGACCGTTTGATAATCCCTCTTCTGTTGCTGAAGCAGCGCATCTGTGGCTGGCAGTGTCATGCGGATGTCCAGTTCGGTTATCGCGACTTCAACGCCGAGAGCAGCGAATTGCTCGATGTTGGCTTGGATCGTCGTTGGAACCTGGCCAACGATGAGGTGACCCTGTATGCCGACGCCGTCGATGGGTGCGCCCTGTGCTTGCAGAGATTTGACGAGGTTGACCATGGCAGTTGACTTGGCTCCAGTGCCATCAATATTGTAGTCGTTGACCTGATGAAGTATGTCAGCTTCTGTCCCCTGTCAGGACCTTTGGGGAACACTTACGTAGAGCTTAGCATTGGGGTCAGCAGCGCGAGCTGCTCTCAAGGCGACAGCCACATATTCTGGTCCAATGGTGTTGTAGAACACGGACGTCCTCCAAGTTCCGTCCTCATTGAATGGCTCTGTTACCCTAAACTCAGTCAGGAACTTTTGGTTGGACAACTGTATTTTCTTACCGTTAACGACGTCCCAGCTGTCTATGGGATGAAGGAAAGGGTCAAATTTAGGTGGAGCTTAAAGAAACCAAATTACCCACAGCTAGATGCATCGGAAAGTATCATCAGTACAATGTTCGGCGATTCAGAACGTATATGCTTACATCTGTCCCTTGTAGTGATCAACGACGGTGCCACAATGTGTCTGGACTATGGATTGAAGTGTGGCATTATTGAAGCCACCGTTGGCGACCCAGCTGGGGAGTTGGCTGTGCCAAACGCAGGTATGGCCTAGGAAAAGTCAATGGGCGTCACGACCGGGATTCTAAGGGAGTATAGTACCTCGAAGAAGCTGGCCGTTCTTCTTGGCGAGGTCCGCGATAGCATCACCGTTGGTGAATCTAAAGGTTCCACGAGAAGGCTCAGTAGCGTCCTAAAGAAGAGCCTAAATTCGTTCCGCTTGTCTGACAAAGTTCGGTACCGAAACGCACCCATTTCATGCTATTGCCCTAGAGCAAGATGGTCAGTCTCATGTGGTTCATATACGCGCAGAAAACTTACAGGAGTGATCTGGTTGAATTCTTTTGTGTCGCTGAGGATGGCAATATAAGGAGCATCGCTCAGCTCAGGGTTGTCCGTCGCGGAGCCAAAGTAGAGTTTTCCAGCAGATTTGGCGACTACTGCGAGTCCAGCACTGCTAGTAGCGGTAGAAGTCGGAGCAGACGTCGTGGTCGAGACTGCCGTCGAAGCAGTTCCCTACAAAGTTGTCAGAAAACATCGAAAGGCCTTTCAGAACTACGACGTACAGGAAGACACTGAGAGTACCACGGGTTGCTATATGTGCAAGTGTAACCCGCGATACAAGTCTGGCAGGGCGATCAGACGTGGATCAAAATAATGAATGTCTCCGTACTGTTGGTCCAGTCCAGCCATTCCCCCCGCCTGCACGAGAAAGTTAGTAAAGATTCAAACCATATAACGGGAGGTCGTACATTGGCCCCATGCTCCTGACTGGGCAGTCGCGAGCGGGAGAAAAGCAAGTAACGTCGCGAACGGGATGGAGTACTTCAAAGCCATTCTTATTTCGGGGCGGCGAATTCAAAAGACAGTGAAGCCATCGTTCAGCGGTTATATACTCCAGGAAGAGTGAGTCCAGCTTTTGTGCGTTCCGTCGGATCATCGTCATGCTAGAGAAGCTGTCTGCTCACATGGGCAGGGTTTCTCAGCAAGCCAAGTTCCAATGCACCTGTCGCGTCGCGCGGGGAGGCACTGGCTGCAATGCTCCTGATCCCATGTCGTAGAGTGTGGGTATTTGGACACCATCTTCAGCGCTGATATGTCGACATGCAAGTTTATCCGCGTTCCGGAATGAAAAGAGACACCACTTCTATCATGAAAACGTGCCGTCCATGGTCTCTGAGTGCCTAAACCTCGGCTAAAGGTCGGGTCGGTCCATACTTGCAAGAAGGTTGAGTATTGGCGGTGGCGATAAGTCCGTTATAATTGATCATTTGACTCTAAAAAACTTCTTATCAAGCGCCTAAAACTCATATGAAGCGCAAGTCTTGATGAGCAAGACAAGAGCACACACCCTGGTCATGCACAAATCATCACGGACACGCTCGAGGTCATGACCGACATATACGCAAAGAAATGGGACAAAAAAAGACGGTGGGAGGGCAACTTTCACTGGAGTGTCGAAGCTGAAGGTGTTTGCTCCTGAACGTTTGAACAGAGGTTCGTCAGTCTTGGTGGATGCGGCAGTTCTGGGCCGTAAACCACGTGACAGCCCCTGTCGGACATTGCCTAGCCTCTAACCCTCTAGGTTCCTGGGACCTGCACTCCTTTCAACTTTCCCGTGCTCTCGCATCCTCTACACATGATTCGGAATATAGGTCAAATACAATGCTCACCGGCGCCGTTGTAAACAATCAAGTCATAATAATCCCTAGCACCCCTTCCCAGATGTCTTCCTCCGATGGGAACGACGTCCCGCGGCCCCTCGATAGGCTCGACTAATCCTGATGACTCGGACAGGTTCACACATCTGACCCCATCTGGATATCCAGGTTTCGTTGGTTCGAATTGGTTCGACAATTATAGGGACAACATCAGGACGCTACTACGTTCCTTCATCGCGCCATATACTTCCTTCATTGACCGGCGGATCCAGGCAGCCCAGCTTCTTTCACCCGGAACTGCATCGACAGTGCCGGATTTCCCCAATGAAATCCTACTGCACTGTTTCACATTCATGACACTCGAGTCGCTCATCGCCTCTCGATGCGTCGGCACCGTCATAAATACATCCTACTTTCTCGAGACCCGCCCATCTCGACCCGACATTCGACCGCGAGGCGTACATTGCTGCCTTGGATGCACAAGTGTCGACGTCCATGTTCCGCCAGCCTTCCGTCTGCTCGTCCTCGAATCGCCTGCACTCGCCGTTATAGTCCCTCTGCCTCGGGCTTCCGTTCCTCGACTGTCGCAAATAGAACGAGTGCAGGTAAGGGTCAACTCCATCGCACACACCCCACTACAACTTAAACTCTTCGCACTCATAAGTTGGGCTACCCCAGGGTTGCGTTTGTCTCTGCAGTACTCCTCTGATGAAGCCCAGGCTGCACACATTGGCTGAATTGGGTTGAATATCTGGTGCAAGGACGACTTTGCGGATCGCACTTACCGTGACATCCCGGCGCCTCCATGAACCAGGCAAAAGGAACCTAAACTTTGGCAGCGCCTGGGGATGTTGTAAGGAATGCAGAGACTATGGATTTAGAGTGATCATGAACCCGCACCAGGACACGGTGAGTGCCAATATCTTTACTGTACACGACACGGCTGGGGTGCACGTCTCCAGCTGTCCCCATCGCGTGTACACTAGTCACCCTAGGAAGAGGATCGTCTGCAAGCTCACCTTGGGCTCCCCTTTAGGAATTCTGCACTTATTTGTCCGGCCCGCCGCTTAAAACTGATGGACGCTTTGCTCACAGCAGCTCAACAACTCCCGCAAGTTCGCGATCTACAGCGCCCCTCCAACTGCTGGCTGTTGTGTCTGCGGAATTCTGCGAGTGGATGGGGGGTCTTTAATATGAACTTGTCGTCTAAACCAAGCCTAAACCGCCAAATGCAATCTGCGCCTTTACTTACTCTCTATTCGCCACGCCCTTCAGAAAGCAATGTTCAATCACATATGCACGGCTACAGCAGCGACAATTGCACAGCATATGAGTCTTTGTGAGCATACGTCAGCTTCCCAGCTCAACAAGCCTGGATTGCAGCAGCCATTCAGAAGAAACCGGCAGATTTCGAAAGGGCTATGGGAAAGGGCAGCCGTAGAGTGCTACTTCGCTGACTTCTGTTTGTTATATTGCTGACGAAGCCATTCTAGGAACGAGACTATGTCAATAGCAAACGCGCCGACTTCCGCGAGTTATACAGCCTGATGTCATCAGACATAGCCCGGAGGGAGCATCCCAATTGTGATAGCTTGAACCTAAGTGCGGCCCATGCCTTTGACGCGGAGGTTCCTTTGGCTCCTCTCTCATGTCGCCTGTCTTCGTCCGGACAAAAGAAGTTCGTGGTAACTCTCGGTCTTGTGCGATATCGCATTATTAGACAACCAAGCTTAGGCAAGTCCTTGGTCCCTCAGTATTTAAAGACGACGAGGAACTCACCCAGAATGCCATCAGAGAATGCCTTCTAACATAATCTTGCAGCTCCTTGGAATCGGGGTATTAACAACCCTCTGGTTGTTTTCCCGCCGTCGCTCTCGCGCTGCTACCTTCGATAATCTCCGAGGACCACCAGCTGCATCGTGGCTATCCGGTACGCATCCCATCGAATACCATTCTAGCATTACATAGCGTCGACTTTTTCAAGGCTCCTTGGACAAGCTGGTAAACAAGAGAGCTTGGGACCATCGCGAAATATCCGAGGCTTGTGAGTTGTTTGGACCATGTCACCGCATCTCCTTTATCTGATTGTCCAATAGACGGTGGTGTTGCCCGTGTCAAAGAATTGTTTGGCGTAAGAACGATATGTTGTTCTACAACGAGCTCAAAGCTACAGCTGTTTCCAGCGCGATGGCCTATACATCTACGATCCGAAAGCACTGCACCACATCCTTGTCAAGGTCGGCTATTTATTTTTTTCTTTTCATTTCTGTGACTCAAACATCTAACGCTTGGTACAGGATCAATACACCTACGAGGAGACCGATGCTTTCATCACGTGGGACTACGTTACTGTTTCTTGGAGCGTTGTCGGTTTGACCAGCACAATAGGAACAACAGGATCATCTTTGGGGAAGGCCTCCTTACGACGCTCGGTGGGTATATGTTAACCTGCCTTCAGTGCCGTTCTCAAAGGCTTGACTACTCGCGACTCAATTGCCAGGCGAGAAGCATCGGCATCAGAGGAAGATGCTCAACCCAGTCTTTTCGATCGCACATCTGCGCAAGATGGGTGAGTCTGAACTTCAACCCTCTGTGCATCCTCCGGCTGACCCACCGACCCAAGTTTCTATCTTCGGGCTGCCAGACTGATACCCACTTCTCAGCTTCGTGACGCTCTCGTGAAGATGATGGCCTCCGGACCTAAGGAGGTACTTGCAGGTTCTTAAAAGGTAGGATGTATGAGTTGACGTATTGTAGATCAATATACTCGGATGGAACACTCGTCGTGCTTTAGAGCTCATTGGCCAGAGTGATTTAGGATGGGCATTCGACTCGATGGAGGAGAACAGCACACTGCACCCATACGCTGTGGCCGTCAAGCAATTTGTGTAGGTGCCGAATTGCTCTATACCTCCATTATGACTGATATTCTGATTCTCTCTAGTCCTTTGTCAGGCAACTCTCCGGCCATTGTAAGAGAGTGGCTTGTGCCTACAATCGCAGAATAGGATCGCCTCATTTCCGTTGGTTCCTGATCAATTTAATCCCTTCGAAGTCCCTCCATAACCTTCATGATGTCATTGACACACTCCACAAAACATCTGTCGAAATTATCCAGGCCAAGAGGAAGGCTCTTCAAGAAGGAGACACTGCTCTTGAAGCACAGATTGGACGAGGAAAGGACATCATCAGCATCTTGAGTCAGTTTTTCTTTGCTGAACCGTGTCCCTAGGCCTACTGACCTTGATGCAGTGAAGGCCAACTTGGAAGCATCAGATGAAGACAAGTTGTCTGATGCTGAGCTTGAGGGCCAAGTGATGTAGGTCATTCCTTTGCGCTACGATTAGCAACAGCTCAATATCCATCTTTCAGGACATTCATGTTCGCTGCCACAGACACCACATCTGGAGCTCTGACACACATTCTTCACCTCCTCGCCACCTACAAGGAATACCAGACCAAGCTCAGAGAAGAGATACGAAATGCTCGGAAGGAGAATGGAGGTCAGGACATAGGGTATGATGCCTTGTCTACTTTGCCTTTCTTGGATGCAATCTGTTGAGAGACGCTTCGCTTGTAAGTCCAGCTATCCTATCTGTTTCCTCCTTTGCTGACAGCTCTGTCAACAATCATCAGGTATCCCCCAGTGTCTTATCTTTTCAGATTCTGCCTTGGGTGCTTCTAACACAGCTAATGACATGCATTAATCAGGGCTCAAGCAGATATCATACTGCCCCTCTCTAGCCCTGTCAAAGGAATAAACAGAGACGACATCCACAAGATACCAGTTTCCAAAGGCATGCATATCATCATTTCTATCCTCTCGTCAAACAGAGATCCAAAATATGTTTCTACCCCCTGCAGTCTTTGAATCAACCCAGCTTTTGTAACTACTGAATCAACCCAGAAATTGAACTACTGATGTAACTAAATATGAAGTACTGATCCAACCCTATACCAAACTGCAAATCCAACCCAGGTTCTTGATGTTCTGAAGCAACCCTGCTTTTCAAGTTCAATTCTAGCATTTTAAAAGTACTGATACAACCTTTTTTCAACTTGTGATCCAACCCTTATTTCAGAGTGTAACAAAGTCCTGGATCAACCCCCATTATGATCAAGAATATGTACTGACCCAACCCTCATTATCCTCTAAAAGAAAGTACTGATCCAGCCCTTATTATCCTCTAAGAGAAAGTACTGATCCAACCCTCATTTCCTGCTAACAGGAAGTACTGATCCAACCCCCATTTCATGCTAACATAAAGTACTGATCCAACCCTCATTTTCTGCTAAAAGAAAGTACTGATCCAACCCCGCTTTTTTCAATTTCCTAATTGGGATGCCTCTGATCAACTGCACACAGCTGTGATCTTGTGCTACCTTGATTCTCTACCACCACCATCTCTGGCCTTCAATATGGGTAGAACTAAGAAGAACCCAAAGAAGAGAGCAGTAAGTGTGATAAATTGATATCTTTGGTCTTGTTACGACCTGTGCTGAGCCGGAGGGAGCTGGAGTGAGCCAGGGATTGGATGCGTCGGATGAGCTTTGGAAGTTGGAGTCGGATATGGACCGTGGCTTCAATGTGCATGCGTTGCGCCCTCGAGATAGTCTTGGTCCGATTTTGAAGTATAGGCTTTAGGCTGGTGTTGGATGTCGAGCAGATGTGAACGGTTGAGAACAGATGAGAACGAGAGTAGGAGATTAGAAGTTGAGTATGATATTCAGACTGCTGGACTCAGTCATCCTGCAGTCCCTTATATACTACAACGGATAATGGACTACCTATGACAATGAGCCATCGGCTGTACGACTCGTGTAGGGAATGTGTACACTAGTGACAATAAGATAATGGGGCACGTATACGCTAAGAAATCAAAGACAAATAACAAACAAAGGAACAATATAATCAAAGAGCTGAACTGGCTACGAACGGATGTCTCTTGGCTCTTGATCAGATGTCGTCAGCCCGGGACGGGTCGTGACAGCTCTAGACACTCTAAGAAGGTTAGAAGTAAATACCCTTCTTGATACATCATATATCTAACTCATTTCCACTAGAAAATGCATTATCAGGATAATGATTCTGACGACTTCCTTTCTGACAACATTAAAGCTAAGAAGCCTGGTCCTCCTCAACAGGTATGATTTATATCATTGATCCTTGAATATTTCTCTAATAAATACATATAGCCAACCTGCAAGAAGCCAGGCCGTCCATCAAAGAAGGGCCAGGCAATCAGAACTGATCCACTCCCCTGATCAAGATACCGCCATGTCTTCCCAATTTCTTCAGCCTCTCACACCTCCCCCTTTTTTTTTGTTTTTTTGAATCAACAATTTATATAGCAGTGCTCAATGGCAGCCTGCTTGCTGTCTACAAACAAGTATGCTACCCCAGCTGGTTACTAGGTTAACTACTAAAAGACAGGTGCAAGTCCAGCCCAAGGGCATTATGGTACAGGCATCAAAACTCCCATGACACCAGACCCCCTCACAAAAACAGGGCAAGGGACTAGGATGAGAGGGCATCAAGGCAGAGCTAGTGCCCCATACCCGCTGTCTGCTGTTTGGGGCCAACGCAATGCACAAGAAAGTATCCAGCACCTCATGAGATGAGGCAGGTGTCCTTGTTGCTGGACTAGTGAGATATGCTCTAGCCTGAAGCCTAGAGCAGGATGCAATGCTGGTCCACAGAGTGGCCAGCAAATAAAGTGAAGTGAGCTGACCAAAGCTGGCAAGCCCACCTAGAGTTGAGGGCAGCAGGTCCCCAAGGCCTAAGCCTTGCAGGCATATAACTCGCTGTAAACCCCTTCAGAGGGAGTTAACCTGCCCTCAATGACTATCCAATTCCCAAAGGGTCTCAGTTGAAGCCAAACACAGTGGGATTGTACTTCAGAAATGAGTTCAAGTCCCCCAAAAACTGAGGGAAGTAGACTGAGTAGTACTTGCAGCAGTGAATAAGTATATGCCTGCAGGTCTGACATAGAGCCACATGGACAAGCAATGGGCTCAGGGATATTGAATTGTTGGTAGTACAATCCAATGGGCATGTGGCCAGTGATACACCAACACATGTGAGTGAATTCTGTCATGCAGTTTCCAAAGTAGCCAAGCCAGGGACCTTCATTGAGGTACGTGGGTTGGAGCAGCCACCTGTCAGGCTGTAGGAGCTCCAAGAAGTTGGAGCCCCTATAAGATGGATCCTGAAACATGGTTGCCCATGTATCCAGGCATGAGTGCATTGCTTTCTGACAAAGAGTGTTGATAGATGTGTCAACTTTTTGACAGCTGACTGGTGCCTTGAGCTCAGTCATCAGGAAAAAACTCTTTGTCTTAGGTTGTCCTGAGGACAATCTGAGACATTTAAGACACTGAAGACAGATAGAGTCCTGGAGTCTACGTTCCTAGGTAGAATATCATTGAGATGGCTCTAGGACATCCTGGGACATCTTTAAAATTATCGTATTTTCTTAAGTCAGTCTCAGGATAACATCATATCCAGTCTAAGTCCTTATAAGATGACCTAGGCTGTTTTGAGAGTCTGGATATGTTCTTTCACAAGTCAATCTTTGGTGTCTCTGGGACATCCTTTACACCAAATAAGATTTTGACAGGTTTGAAAAAGTGACTCTGGAGACAGAATAAGATCACACAATTGAAACAAATATTAGCAAAAATGATATATTGATAATGGATGAGATGGTAGTAAATTATGCAGTAGAAGATGAAGCGGCAGTGGAAGTGGCAGTGGAAGACGAAGCAGAGGTGTGTTCAGGTTGAGATCTTGCAGATAGTGCAGCAGCGCGGGCATTGAGAGCAGCAAGATTCACACCATGTAGACTAGCCTTGACCTCCTTCTTGTCCACGGTGGTGATGAGTGCAATGTTCTTTATGCCACATCTAAATAATTTCAGTATGAGCAGAATGAAAAATAAATTATTACCTACATTATGTTGTCATACGTCGCCTCTTCTACCGCCTGCATGAAATCGGGTGCTCCTTCAGCAAATTCTTCCCAAAGCGCTGTGAAATGTGCATATCTAGATACCATAGATCATGAGCCCCTAGTGCCAGAAAGCCAGAATAAAAATAGAACGCAACCTGTCACTACAGTTGGCTTCGCTAAAGTGGTGTATCAGCTCTGAACCTCCACTCCATCCCTTGAGACAATGTTCAACCTATTTAATTGTTAGTAGTGAATAGATTAAAGGAAAATCCCATACACAGGTAGTAATGAGAATAATAACACCTGCAAAAACCTTCTTCTTCCAGATCATCTGGCTCAGAGCTGGTTGATCAGATTTTGCTTTCATGAACCATATGCGCTTGATTATCTCGCCGATGATTGGATGAAGGAAAGGCTTTTCAGCATCAAACGTCTTGTTCTGATAAAGTTATAATTAGCCATCTGCTCACTTTAAAATGAGAATATTACCTGAAAATCCAGGCCATTGCAACGGAAACGCGAGCCTTGCAGGAGCCACTTGACAAGATCAATAATCTCATCTTGACTGAGCTTTCCAGGAATTCCATAGCCAGCCCCAATCATTTCTCTGGTTCTCTTCACGACAGTGGCCGTAAGGTCTCTCTTGCCATACATAGCCTAGAAAGATAGTCAGCATGTTGATCGAAAAGATGGGGGAAGCTCACAAAAATTGAGAGCTTATCATAGACTTCACTGCTCTTTGCAGCGCACTGAAGAACAGTCTTCATCATCAGGCCGGATACTTCATTGACCCCTGCCCTGTCAAGCTTGTTGTCACCTTTCTTTGCAGCTTTCTCAAACATAGTCATCATGAAAGCTTCTCGCCCTTCAGCATCCTGGGGAGGAAACGCCTCCCCAAAGGCTGCACGCTCTTGTGTGTATCTCTTTGCTGCCTTTGCAAGAACAAGGGTGTTGGGACTGAAGTCGGCTTCAACAACCTTGCCACTGCAACGCTCTTTTTTGGGGGTCCTGGTGCCAATTGCCTGGCATCGAGCTGCCTTGACTGCCACAGTAGGATTTGGGCTAACAGAGATCTAAAAGACTGGGATTAATAAGAGATGTTACTTAAAGAAACTTGGAAAATACCCCATTAGTTGCCAGAGGTAAGGCATTCTCCTCCTCGTCATCCAGGTCCTCGTCGTCCTCTTCCTCCTCTTCACTGTCTGATGACTTACGTCCAATAATACCTTGTTCATCATTCTCAGATTCTGATATCTCGTTTTGGTGTGGTTGTGGTTGTGGTCGTGATGAACTTTGTCGCGATGAACTTTGTGTAGCCGCTATCTGTTGAGCTTGTACTGGTACTGAAGACGCTGGGGCTTGGGATGAATGAGGCAGAGCCTGGCTGGGCATTTGACGATGAGAAGTTGGAGGGTTCTGTGACAGCTGGTCAGTACCAGCAGAAGGCTCTTCATGTCTTCGAGAAGTATCCTGTTCCTCCATTTCATCATCCTGGCGTTCACAGGGCCCTGTTCCTGCTTCTGGTTCCTTACTAACATCAATGTCATCATCATCATCCTCTGAAAACAGAGTATGAGATGTGTTCTTTGAACGCCTACTGTGGTTGATTCGTCTTGCCGCTAGAATAACCATGCACGTCAATTAAGCAGGTGACTACTAAATGGATGGCTTGCCTTCGCCTTCTGATTCTTCAGCATCACTTGAGGTCGTACTTTGAGAAAGACCAGCACGCTTCTGAAGCCTCTTGAGCTTTTCCATCTCTGCCTTGCTGAGAGGCTGGTTGACCTTCTTCTTCCAGGGCGCTGGCTTTGAGCCTCCATATTTGCGGGAGGTAGATGGGACTGCGCTCTTCAAAGACTTGCCACCTGTCTTAGAGCGTGTTCTTACCCCAATGGTATTGTCTTCTGAAGGCAGGCCATTGTCATCTTGCTCATTGTCGGAGGGACCAAGCTGGGCTTTGCATTTTTTGGCCATAGAGAAGACAATGACATGAAAGCAGAGAAAAGAGTGCGTCAAAATAGCCAATTATTGGAGCATATTTATTATTATTTTTCCACAACAAAATTGACCTCAGCAAAAATATAATGTATATAATGTAGCACAGTACTCTATTCTATAGCAGGACAGTAGACTAGAATTAATCACCATGGAAGTACTTATTTGTCCTCCACCCATTACGCAACTCAAGCCATGACTTGCAATGGCGGTCAGAATGGAACACGAACGATGCACGACATCCAATGAAATGAAGATTAAAATGAGAGATTTCTGCTGAGTGGAAGATAATCATATCACCGCTCTTTACTGCCAATACCAAACCCATTTCCAGAAGAACAAGAGCACCACCTATGCCTTCACATATGATAATTATGAGGCATAGGTCCAAGTCGTTCCAATCTCTATGAAGGAGGGTAGTGATGTTGAGATTGAGAACGCAGCCACCAAAAGGGTACATTGGCAGAAATTCATTGCCTGGAAGAGAGTCAGCCCATTCAGAAAGATGAGCAAAGTCTTCTGGCAGCAATATCTCAAGCTATTTCAACTCCCATGAGTACAGCATAAATGAGAGGATAATATTCGTAACTCACTCATTCACATTGCCATTTAAACATATCAGAAAAGATAGACCCAATAGTCTGAAAAAGCTTGTTACAGGCAAGAAGCTCCTTTGATGGACACGGAATAAATTGAGAGGTATTGAAGGTCTTGTTTACGCCGTCACGAACATAGGTTACAGGTTCTTGAGCTGGATCTGCGTCGTGTCCCTAGATTTATTCAAGAGTTATTAGACGATGAGAATGCAATTTGATAGAAATGCAAACCTGAACACTATACCTGTTGTACCAGGTAAAATGGATTGATGGAAATTGATGTGAAGACTCCTCTTCTGAGTCTGTTGGCAAGAAAGTCTCTGGAAAGAGAATATGTAGTTTATCAATCAAATACTCCCGTATTTCTCCAGGCATGGATGTATCCACGATGACCGCAAAATTTCCATCCTTCTTGTTGATTCTTAGAGTTTGACTGGAGTCGGAAGATCAGCAAAATTTCATTCAAAATTAAATGACACATACCCATCCAATAGTTCTGAGGAGACTTTAATATAGATATCAAGATTGGCTCTCTTTCCACTTTGAAGTTGACGTATAATCTAAAAAAAGAAATGAGAGTAGAACCTGATAAGTAATACTGTTACTTACCTTTGCTGATAAGTCCAAAATAGAGGTAGGTGTCACAGTGTTCGACTCAACATGTGCCCTCTCCTTCTCTGTATACTCCAGTGTTTTTTGATGAGGAGCTCCCCATGGTACCGGGCATGACGCATTTGCTTGCATATATGGGTTAAAGTTGGTATCAATAGTAACCAACCTGTCACTGAGAACATCTGCTGCATTTTTCTCTGGATGAAAGGAAGGAGGTGGGGATGAGCCAATCCGAGTCGGAGAGGATGGCTGTGACACTTGAAGTGAAGTTGATGGCGATGGTGACAGAGATGGACATAGAGACAGAGGTGCTTGACCAAGTTGCAATGAGAGAAACACATGATTAATAGTATCATCTCGTAAGACTGTCATAGAGACTGGGTTGGCTTCATAACAAGATGCCCACTTGATCTGGCACCGGGGCTTGATGAAACAACTTTATAAAATATCAGATGTAGTTGTAAGATAGATAGAAAATGCTCACTTAAGAGAGAGGGTATCCATGACTGCGTCAGAATGCCGAATATTAGCTGTACTAATAACCAGAATGTTGGGAAGAGGTGGCGACAGAGTTGGAAATCTATGGTGATGTTCCAAAAGAATCGTGTAAGACATGAACGTCGTCAACTTGATATCGAATTGCTGTCTCAATTTTGTGACCAAGGGAATGATAGATTTGATGACCAAACGGCCCTCGTTCATATCTAAAAAGAAATAAGTGGACATTTAGCACGTAGAGAAAGGATAATACCAGGATGAGGATTCTGTATTGTAGTACCAATGCGTATCACATCACTTATTGGTAATTCATCCAGTTTTGATTTAATTTTATTTGCACACGAAACAACGGCGAGAAGGTAAAACGTTCCTGGTATCATATTATGACTTAGTCTTGAAATGGGTTTATATAAGTAAAGACTCACCAGATGAAGCGATGATGGTGTATTCTGCACCATGCTTGACCCAGCGCTCCAGTGTTCGATGACCTTTAACTTTCTTTGCGATCTCAGTAGCATACAGATTACCAGTAATTTTTTTACGGGATTGACCTGTCGAAATGTGTATACTATCATGGAGGCATAAGTATTATTAACATATATAATCGTCGTCAAAGCACACCTTTCAATCTTGAGCCTATATTGCAGGAGGTTCATCATCAAGATAAATGTTGATGATGCAACAATGCGTGTCGCCTGAACACAGCGAGCAAGGATGGCAGGGAGAGAATTGTCGGAGAAACTAGCAGCAGCAGCATCCCAAGGTTTGCCAGTGGCCAGAGCAAAGAGGACCTCTGCTGGGTCTGTATGTTCAGAAAAATCACCATTCAAAATCTCATCGCAAGCAGCAGCAAGATCTGCAACAAATTTTTTCCCCTCAGCTGAGATAACTTGACTTTCAGGTGAAGAATTGGGATCTTGGGGGACTGACTCAGAAGAACGGTCCTCCATATTCTCCTCCTCATTCTGCGCTTCAGCCTCTCCTCCCTCTCCTACACCTAGAACCTGCTCTTCCTCTCTGCCACCACCCAGGCTATCCATCACTTGATTGAGATCCTCTTCCTCCTCTACATGGTTTCCATGGCAGGTGAAAATCCCATTCCAAAGCCCCCCTCAACGACAATTTGGATCCCAGTTCTGAGGAGGGAGATTTCCATCACCATCGCCGCCGCCGCCGCCGCCATCACCACCCGCTGCTTGAACAGAAGTACCTGCGTGACGTCCAGCTGATGTTTTAGCTCACCTTTTGCGTTTGCGAATACTAGCAGTGGTGTCTGCGCCCCTCTGACCTGTTCCTCCACTGTGACTGGGATCCTGGTAAGTGCAATCTTCCAATGGAGGCATGTAATCCTCATCAGCTGCGTCATTGGGCATGGTAGGTGGTGCCGGATCATAGTTGGCAGTCATTTCGGAAGGTTCCAGATCAGAATTTGGGCAAACTTCTTCCATTGATACAGTAGTGTAGGTGGAAAGCATGGGATCTATAGAATATAGATTTGACATCTGTGCCAACTGAGTGAGTGAAAAGAGAGAACCAGATACCAATTGTAACTCACCACAGGAAGTGCCCCCCATGTATTGGCATCCCAATCCACCAGTGAGTTGTACTACAAGGAATTTTCATTCATCAGCGGGGTTATTTCGGACGGGTAGAGCATGGGTAGAGCGCTCACATGACAGTCCAGACTTCGTTCCAATCGAGTTTGAAGCTCCATTACATGACCTGGGAGGGATGGCTGTGCTGCTAGGTACTGCAGCAAGAGGTGGACTTCAGAATCTGAGAGGATGTACATGTTTCAAATGGACACTGTTGTTGCCGTAGACGGGGCTAGTATTGAAACTTTTGAATGCCTAAGTCCAAGTTGAACACTTGTGACAGTTTGTGACCGAGGTGTGCATGCACGTGCACGGTGCATCAACGTGTCTGCGTCTCTCCTCTGTTGATTATCCTCACCTACCATGTCACATTTGCGCCATGCATGGCGCAAAATCGTAACATCCCCAACCACAGGTGCGTGACAGATGATCTATGATTCCTGAGTATACTAATCCACCGATGCAGTCAGATATGATATTCAAGCCCTCCAGCTCTTCCCTGACAACCTCTCATGCCACGCATCACCGAAGCCGTGCTGAAGCTCGTCCCCACCTCACCGTATCAAGATGGCGAGCGTCGATGGTTAGGAGATGGAGTTAAGGTGAGTTTGAGTGTTTTCCTACAAAAGTGTGTGCTTACCTTGTTATCCAGCTACCTTGTGCTCGCACTCGCGATTCCCTCCTCACTGACGGCACATACAGTGGCCTCCAACGACAACCAACAACCAACCTCATCGCGGGATGAAGCCACGGCCCTGATATCGCATGAACATTGGCAAAGCCATGTCCTAGCCCTGAGGCGGGGTGCCTAGGCTCATGGTGGGTATCTCACTCCATCCTCGAGGACCCTCACGACTCACTAATTTACAGATAATCTACGCGATGCTTAGACGAGGGCGAGAGTAGTGAAAGGTGCAGGGGCCTTGGATCATCGTGAATGGGGATGGTGAGTTCTTCCATATCGACGTTGTTCATATACTCGAGACTCAATAGTGGGTAGATTGCCAAAAATCCAGTGTCTTCACCTTTCTTATCGTGGCATAGCTACCAAGACCGTATTACGAACCAGCTACATCGATTAGGAGGAAGCTACGATTGGGATCGCGTTGCATTCACCATGGACGAGGTGTGTTCCCTCTTTTCCTAGCCCACCACTCTCTGACTCCCTCCAGAACCTCAGCAAATTCATCATCGAGACATTCTGCCGGCTGCACGAAGACAGCATCATCTACCACGCGAACCGCCTCGTCAACTGGTGCACCAAACTCAACACGACGCTCTCTGATCTTGAAGTAGACCAGAAGGAGCTCGAGGGGCGGACACTTCTGTCCATGCCCAGGTATGATGCGAAGGAAAAGTTTGAATTCGGAGTGTTGACGAGTTTCGTGTACGAGATAGAGGGCTCTGGTGGGTATTGATCTGCTGGATATCACACAAGTGCTCATGGATTAGTAGATGAGAGGATCGTGATCGCCACGACACGCCCAGAGACGATGCTAGGAGATACCGCCATCGCCGTGCATCCTGATGACCCACGATACACCGTCCGTCCTCCCCTTTCTTCCTCCTCTGCCCCTTACTAACACCTTCCACAGCACCTCCACGGCAAATTCGTGAAACACCCTTTCGTGCCGGACCGCAAAATGCCGATCGTCACCGATGGCATCATCGTCGACATGGCCTTTGGCACTGGCGCCGTCAAGATCACGCCAGCACACGACCAGAATGACTATGACGTCGGGAAGTGGCACAATCTCGAGTTTATCAACATCCTGAACAACGATGGGATGCTAAACGCGAACGCCGGCGAGAGGTTCCAGGGGATGAAGTGGTTCCATGCGAGGGTCAAGGTCGTTGAGGCACTGAAGGAGCTTGGGCTGTTCATGGAGATGAAGGACAACAAGATGATGATCCCGCTCTGCAGGTGTGTCTTTGTCTGTTTCTGAGGACGGACGTGGCTGATGAAAGCAGCAAACCGGGAGACATCATCGAGCCGCTGCTCAAGCCTCAATGGTGGGTAGATTGCAAACCGCTCGCCGACGAGGCGATCAAGGTACATCATCTCCCCCCCCAATTTACCCCACCCAACACTCATAACACCCTCCAGCGAACTACCACAAGTTCTGTAACAAGATCTTCAACGCGACCAAATTCGCCATGCTCAAGCTCGACGACTCCTTCGTCCCACTCACCGAGGCGAAGCCCACCGGCTCCGAGAGCCTCGTCGAGCACTGGATCCTGCACAAGCTCAACGTCACCGCCACGGAGATCAACGACAGCCTCGCCGAGAGGAACTTCATGGCTGCTACGAATGCCGCGTACAACTTCTGGCTGTACGAGCTGTGCGATGTATACATTGTGTGTTGCAGTTGCTTCTTTTGCTCAAGATATGCGGTTGAATTGTTGTACTTTGCTCTTATCTAGGAAGCGATGAAGCCAATGACAGATGAGGCTGCACCCGAGGCCGTTCGTCGGTCAGCACAGCAGACGCTGTATGTCTGCCTTGACCATGGCCTGCGTCTTCTCCACCCCTTCATGCCGTTTGTAACTGAGGAACTCTGGCAATGTCTTCCTCGCCACCCCAACGACCTGGCACTGTCGATCATGGTCTCTATGTTCTCCGTCAACGTACGTCTTTTCCCTTCCCCCCTTATCTTTTCTTCCTGCCCTTCCGGACAAATGTTGACATCACGATGTACCCAACACTTCCAGGACCCCGCATTTGTCTTTGAGGGCGCCGACAAAGACTTTGATCTCGTTTTTTCTGCCATCAAGACTGGTCGCTCACTGGCTGCTTCATACACACTTCAGAAGGACATGCAATGTACGTCCCACTTTTGACATATTTCAAAGCTTTGATTTTGATGACCCCTTCTTGTGAAGTCTTCATCCAGGTCCAAACTGAAAAAGAAGCCCTTTTCTCCTCGCAAGTGCCTATGATCATTGTGCTCTCGAAAGGATGTGAGAGCACAAAGGTCATTCGGGACGCTACAGTTATCCCCGCTGGATGTGGCAGCGCTGTCGTCACTTCGACAATTATCATCCACACCCTTGTCCAGGTGGGTTTATGCGCCAACCCATCTCTTCCGTCGGTGCTGACTGTTGGACACAGGGACTCGTCGACCTCGACAACGAAATTTCCAAGTGCAACAAGAAACTCGACCTCGCTCGCCTCGACCTTGGCAAGATCCTGAAGATTGAGTCTTCATAAAAGACGTCAAAAGTTCCAACGGCACATTCATAAACGGTGAGCGGCTCAGCAGCGAAGGACACGAATCTGAGCCTTTCGAACTCAAAAGCGATGACATCGTCGTACGTTCAAATCCCTCCTTCCGTGAACTCATTCTAAGTGTCCACCCAGGAATTTGGAATCGACATTATTGGGGAAGACAACAAGACGATTATCCACCACAAAGTCACCGCCCGCATCGTATGCGTTTTCTCGGAGCAAGATGCTCAGGTTGCCGCTCGCGCTGAACAACATCAGCAGCAGCAGCATCTCCAACAACAGCAGTACCTGCAGCAACAAGCCTCGACATCCGGCCTCGGTGGCCCATCCTCATTGGGCCCATCCGTTAACGGTGTCAATGGTAGCATGGGTGCTCAGGGTTTCCCTTTCGCTTCTGCACAGTGGAGAGCGCAGCTCGCGCAACAGGGATTAGGCGGCATGGGCGGTATGCGTCCTCCTGGGAAGACCGGCCTGAGCTTTGAGGTCGTTTTGAGTCGGTTGCAGGGCGAGCTACAGAAGAGTCGCGAGACGGGTGCGGAGCTAACATCCTTGACGGGCGCGATGGGTGATATATGCGATATGCTGGGAGGCAACGTTGTAAGTCTTTGCAGAATTTTCTAGCTACCTCTCTAATATTCTTGTACTCGCAGCCATCAGCACTACCTTTGTTCCCTGCTACTCTCCCTCCCATACAGCCTCAAGATTTGCAACCACCACCTCAACAGGGCTCTTCGTCGGCTCCTGCTCCACATGGCACCTCTTCACCATCACCACCCAGCTCCGACCCTCCAGCTGCGTCCTCGATACCCGTGGCTGCCATCTCCGACATCCAAGCCCAGCTTCGTGACCTCCGCGATAGCCAGTCAATGCTGACGGCCCGCCTTGAATGGATACAGGCTTTGGAAGGTGTCGTCGACGAGCAAGAGAACGTCCGGAGAGAGGTCCGGGCCCTGAGAGGACTCCTGGAGGAGCGCAGCCAGGAGGAAGAACTCCTCCAACGACGTGTCCGGGAGCATCACGAGCAGGAGCTGAGGGACGGATTCGATGAGGACGAGGAGGAAATGGTGGGCGATGACGACGATGACGACGTGAGGAGCATCTCCACCGTTATCCCGCACAAGCTCGAGCAAGTCGACGAAGAAGATGAGGAGGGATTGGAAGATGCTCACCACTTGTCACATGATTCTGACTTAACCCACAACGATTCCGGAGAGAGCCACAATAGCGACGCCCATGCAGCAGAGCATACCGAGGAGAATGCCAAAGAACAGGAGCGGCGACGAGCAGAGGATCTAGAGGTTTCGCAGTCGTGGACACCAGAACCGACGTGGATCATGGGCAGCATGCGTGAATCAGAGTCCTACCCTGGGTCAGGACCTCCCCGGACTGGGTTACTTGGTGCGCCAGGTATGGCTCGGCAAAGCTCAGTCGGATCGCTGTTGTCTCAGGAGGTGTCGTCGACCTCGGAAACCATCTCCGACCCATCTACCTCCAACGCAGTGCCTGCCGAGGAGATATATGCGCAACTCTCGAAGCTCTCGCAGCAAGTCGGCGCCGTAGTGGCTCTAACGACAAGCCTAGAAGCCCAACACTCCAAAGCTCAGAATGTCATCAAGGAACTCGAGGACCGCGTTGGGATGCTCGAAGGCCTGCTCAAGGAAGCGCGAGGTGTGAAGGACTCTGAGCCTGTTGAACCAGAGCCCTCCAGGGACACCAAGCATTTGTCACTCGTTTCTATGATCACTGAGTGGAAGAAGTCCATCGAGGGTCAGTGGACCGCCGTCCAAGAGGAATGGACCTCCGAGCGCGAGCGGCTTGTGAAGGCCAGAGAGGAGTGGGAGACAAAGGCCAACGCCGTCGACTCAGGACTCGAACGTATAGACTCGGGTGTCGAGAAGATCGCAAAGCTGCAAGAGAAGGTTGACAGCAGCCTCCTACGGTTAGGCAAGGTTGAGGAGGGTTTCAAGGGGACGTTTAAGATCGAGGAGAGGGTGGGCAAGGTCGAGGACAGGACGGAGAAGCTCGAGGGCATGCAGCGGAGCTGGGGTGATGAACGATGAGATATCCTGGACCGGATACAGTCGTTGCAAACCAGCAGTGCGATCCATGGCCAGCTCTCGCACCACCTCTCAATGGCCAACAGCGATGTCCTGAAGCACAACGGTGGCCTGGTGACTCTGCCATCACCTCGGTCGCAGTCCTCCGACAGTGCTGGGAGATATGGAAGGAGGCGCCGCAGTCATAAATCATCGGGCTCAAGAGGGCGGTCGTCGTCGAGAGGCAGGGCCAGCAGTAGGTCGAGGGGCGACCTCGAGAGAGATGAGGACACTGACACGGATGCGACCCTAGCGTCGTCGACTGAGGATGACGTTGAGAAGTCTGCCTCTCGACATGAGCCTTGGCCACGCCAGAGCCGTCGGTATACAAGCTCTCGTCCTCGATCGGGTCACTCGATTCCTCATCGCAATATCAAGATAAAGGAAAATTGGTCGTCACTACAAGGTCAAATACGGAAGACACAGCAAGTCTCAAGTCTATTTTCAAACATATCTGGAGAGAAGTGCTGATATGTCTCTTGTCTTTCCTCTTCTCTCTTCTGCCTTCTGTCGGGATTGACAATGCACATAATTTGTCCGGGCTTGTTTCTGAGGAGCGGTCCCCAGGTACCGTCGTGAAACATGGTTCGCAAATGCAGATCAATGTACAGACGGCAGTGGGAGTGCTGCTACTGAGTGTCGCTGCTGCCACCGTCTTCTGGAAAGTTAAACCGGAGTAAGATAATACTTTGCTTCCGCTGTTGCCTTCCTATGTCTCTCTTTTGCTCCCTTTTCTTTCTCCATCCATCTCACAAAAACCTTCATGACCTACACTATACCAAAACCATGCATCCACACTCACATCACGCTTCACGATATCTTATTTATTTCTTCTTTTCTATTCTAGTCCGTACCAAAGGTCAATTTTATAGTGGGTGGATTGTTGGTACTCCTGTTGACTTCCATACATACACCTATATGAACTTTACATAGGAAAGCCTTTAAATCTGTCTGCTCTTTGCCTGTAATAGCCTTTTTATATTTAATTTCATTATGCCCAATTCCTTGCCTCAGGCTAGATCACATAACATGCCTGATGGGTGGACGGTTAAGGTTGAATGTTTACTCTATAAATACAACGTAAGTGGTTACAACTCTACCACAAGCTTCCACCATGTCTGAGGCAAATTCCGACACTGCAATTTCTGAGGAATCCTATGCCTCTCCACGTGTAATCAATAGGTGGACCCCTGTTACAAAAAGACATGCTGCCTTTATTCTTCAAGAGCGGCTCGAACCCTGGGGGTGGGAGAACCCTTTTGTTCTTCCAAGCTCCCCGACGTCGACGTCCAACATGGAGCTGGACAAGTATGTGCATTTTCATTTGAGCAGAACAAAACTAATTTCCATGTTCAGGGATTATTCTGTGGCAGCTGCCAAAGATGTTGAGGACACCGCAACACGCTATGACAAGGAGCCCAAGTTGGATGACAAGCACAAGTTGGATGATGAGCAAAAGTCGTCCCCTCACCAAGAGGAGATGGAGTTGGACAAATCTGACTCTGAGGACAACTCTGAGGACAACTCTGAGGATGACTCTGTGGAGGACTCGGAGCTTAAGAATGTCCTCTTCCATCTTGAAAGAGCTCTTCACGATGCGAATAAACGAGTTACGTATCTTGAGGGTGAATTTGCAGCATGCAGGGATGAACTGCATTCATCTCACAGCTTGGTTGTGCGTCTCCAGGATGCCCTCACAGAAAGGGAGCAGGAGAAGATGGCTCTCCAGAAGATTTTACGAAAGGTGAAGTTTGCTCTTGAGGGATATAGATTCGTTGAGAACCTGTGAGCGTTGTAAGTGTATATTTTAACCTTTCATGCTTCTTTGACTCTTATTTTATTCTTCAGTCATATTAAGAAGCGACATTGTCCATAGAAGGCTTTAAGAGGTATGTTACATTGCGATATCAGTGGATTCTACCTTCCTGAATGAGATCCTCCTGTCAGTCATGTTTGCCAAATACGTAGGCCTTGGACATTGCGACTGCTACCACTCCTGTACCTTCTCTCATCGTAATTCCTCCAATTTCATCCACCTCCTTTGCTGCACCATGCCGTTGCTCCTCAACCAGTGTCCAGTTTGCAAAATGATCTTTGCAACATCTAAGGGCATGAGACAACATATTTGAACTGCTTATATCTGCCGAACTTGGGGTAAAGGAAAGACACGAGAGTTTCCAGCTCTCTTGGACGACATTGATGATGATCTAGTCGCTGAAGATTCTGATTCATCAGATGGAGAATATCATCAAGGACATCAAGAACCTATTGATTGGGACGCACAGCAGCAGCATGTAGAGGAAGTGCATGAGCAGTGGCTGCAGGACGACACAGACACCTTCTTCTTCCTGGAGACAAATACTGTGGATGTTGAGATTGGAGAGGATGGGCCTGGGCCAAGCACACAAGCACAGTGTCAGGAGAAGCAGAAGCAGAAGCAGAACGAGCTCCATTGCACCTTGGATGAGGAGGACGAGGACCACATCTACGTTAACTATAAGGGGGCAGGAAAAACAATCGGCACCAACAACACTGTGCACCAGCGGTGGAAAGACCTCTTTGCCAACAAGGAGGAATCATTTGATGATGCCAATCCTCTAAACGACATTCTCCCTGAAGCAGAGGCACCTGGAAATCCTTTTGCACCCTTTGTGACGGAGATGGACTGGAGAGTAGCACGCTGGGTTGTACAGGATGGGATCGGACACAAATCGTTTGATAGATTCCTGGAAATTCCTGGGGTATGTTCTTTTATCAGGTCCTTGTATGCAATGGAGTTGATGTTTAGCTTTACAGCTTTGGGAAAAGCTTGGGTTATCATTTAAGAATATTCGTGAAATCCACCAAACCATTGACAATGATATTCCTGATCGTGCAGGAATCTGGAAGACTGAAGATCTTTTCTTTGATGACGCTCCTGATGTCCCCTACACCATACGCTATCGCGACCCACTGGAGGCTGTCAGGAGTCTGTGGGGTGATCCTTCTCTGGCAAAGCATCTTGTCTATCGGCCTCAAAAGGTGTTCACTGATGAGGATCGCATGAGCTGTGTCTATACTGAGATGTGGACTGGAGACTGGTGGAATGGTGTCCAGGTAAGTATGCTCTATATTGGCGTTGTACAATAAACATTCTCTAAATCTTTTCCAGAAAAAGCTTCCTAAAGGCGCGACTGTGGCACCTGTGATCATTGCTACAGACAAGACACAACTTACTCAGTTCAGTGGTGGAAAAAGTGCATATCCAGTGTATCTGACCCTAGGGAATATCCCAAAGTCAATACGCCAAAAGCCCTCCAAACGAGCGTGCATTCTCTTGGGTTACCTTCCCTCCACATCTAAACTCAAGGTGTCAAATCTTTCCAAGAAGAATATCAGTATTCGCAACCAACAACTCTTCCATGAGGCAATGCGCATCATCCTCGAGCCTTTGATTGAGGCTGGAAAGAAGGGTGTTGAAATGACTGGCAGAAATGGTGAAGTACGCCAGGTTTTTCCAATTCTCGCCTGCTATGTCGCAGATTTTCCTGAACAATGCCTTGTTGCCTGTACAAAATATGGCACCTGCCCTAAATGTCGTTCTCCAGCCAAGGATCTACAGAATCCCAATCATGCTGAGTTGTGAACAGCTTGATGGACACTGGGAATTATTGAAGAAGCTCGGACATCAGGAACAGGAGCCAATGCCTCGTACAAGTATTGCATGGAACATGATGTCTCTGGCTCTGTTCAGCGCCCTTTTTGGGAGGGCTTTCCATATTGCGACATTCACCAAGCCATAACACCAGACGTCCTTCATCAATTATATCAAGGTGTTTTCAAATATGTCGTTGGCTGGTGCGAAAAATTACTCACACCAGCTGAGCTTGATGCTCGCATCCACACACTACCCCCTGCATATGGAGTCCGTCATTTCTCCAATGGCTTCTCTGCTCTTTCACAGATTTCTGGGCCAGAACGCAAACACATGGCTCGTATTCTTCTTGGATGCCTGGGCAACAAGGTCTGTGATGAGTACCAAGAAGTATTCAAAGCTATTCTTGATTTTATCTATCTTGCTCAGTATCGAGCTCATGATGAAGATACCCTCAAATATATACGTGGTGCATTGCACACTATCCACCATGGCAAAGTTGGGAATGGAAAAATGCATCTCATAGAGGGTCTACTTCGGAAGGACATGAACATACCAAAGCTTCATTCTTTTCTTCATTATGAAGACTCTATTCGGCTCTTTGGCACCACCGACAACTACAATACAGAAATGTTTGAGCGCTTTCACATTGACTTTGCCAAGGAGGGCTTCCGCACTTCAAATCAGCGTGATGTTTTTCCCCAGATGGTCAATTGGCTTGCTAGAAGGGAGAAGGTTTCCATGTTTGACAGCTATCTGGAAGTGCAGGATTGTCTAACAAAGCCACGCCCAAAGAAAAAGCGCAAGATTACTGAGCGTACTACCCATGGCATTGCTGAACATCCACCTTTCCCTAATCGCCCTCTCTCTCTTATTGAAAAGCAACATCATGCCCCTAATTTCTCCCAGGATCTCAAAGTGTATTTGAACAAGTATTGGCCTCATCCCTCCAGCAATCGTACAGCTCATCTCTATGCCCTCCCTTTTGACAGACTGGATGTCTTTATTCAGTTCAAATTCCACCCCCACCTCCTCCATGATGACATTGCCAATCCTGATGAAGAAGAAAGTGATACTGTCAAGGCACATCCATGTACTCTCAAAAATCCTAATGGCCATTTTGATACAGTTGTTGCTCTGCACACAGAGGAAGCCCAATCTGTTGGTGTAATTGGTAAGTAATTAATGAGCTCCTTTTCATCACAATTAATATCTTTGCTAGGAACACGTATTGGTCGTGTCCGTGTAATTTTTACTCTTCCTAAAGCATTGAAAACAGTCATCGGCAGCCAGCCAGCTCCAGCTCATTGGCCAACAGTTCCTCTGGCTTATGTAGAATGGTATAAGAACCTAAAGAGTGAACCTGACCACAGAACTGGTATGTATGCTATTAAAAAGTTTAATACTCCTACATGTTCTATTATTCCTATTACTTCTATACGTCAAAGTTGCATGCTTATTCCATGCTTCACCAACCTTTTTGACCGTTGGACTAGCAATTGGACTACAGATAATGTACTAGATGAGTGCCCATCTTTCCTTATGAACCACTGGCAGAGTTCCTATACTTATCAGACTATATATTAGCATAATACATGTATTTGTATCTTTTAAACCAGATTTTAATAATATTCTCTCCTGCCATAGCCTTCAGTAGTCCTAGGTCAACTTAAAATACTGGACCATCCTGCAGAGCCTCTGAAGCATCTCCAAGACAGTCTAAGACAGTCAGGACACCTGGGGCTCTTGTATGCTTACATGTGATGTCTCAATTTTTTCACACTATCTCAAGGCCAACCTAAGACAAAAAGGTTTTTCCTGATGGTCACATAACAATGGACCTCGCCATGGATGTCCCACCTCAGATGAGATGGAATGTAGACAAAGGTGATTTGATGGAGGTCATCCTGCTCAAACCAAGGCTTCAGTGAGTGACACACCTTCAGGGAGAAACCCTGACCAGAGTGCACAGAGGGATCAACTGCTCACCTGGCAGAGCCTAGCGAGTCAGTAAAGATCATAATATGATGAGCAGGCCTTTCCTGTCTGATCAAATGGAGAACAGGTGCAAGAAAGAGAACCATCTTCCTCTTCAGTTACAGTAGCATAGCACAGAGATGAAGCTTTTGGAGGCATAGCAGGATGTTGTGTGCAGTATAGAAGAAGATGGTGGTGGTAAATGGGAGAGATGTCCTGGCCCATCTAATCTGATCAGCCAATCAATAGGTCTGTTCCAAATATAGTAATTAAAAAACCTGAGTTGGATCAGTACTTTCATAACCCAAAGTCCAGGTTGGATCAGTACTTTCATATATCAAAAATCCAGGTTGGATCAGTAGTTTCATAAACCAAGAATCCAGGTTGGACCAGTACTTTCTCTTAAAGGATAATAAGGGTTGGGTCAGTACTTTCTGTTAGAGGATAATAAGGGTTGGATCAGTACTTCCTTTTAGAAAATAATGGGGGTTGGATCAGTAGTTTCATATACCAAAAATCCAGGTTGGATCAGTAGTTTCATAACCCAAAGTCCAGGTTGGATCAGTACTTTCATAAACCAAGAACCCAGGTTGGATCAGTAGTTTTATAAACCAAAAATCTGGGTTGGATCAGTACATAAGAAATGCTGAAATTGTAGTTTAATCTGGGGGTTGGATCAGAACTTCTTAAAATAACCCAGGTTGTCTCAGTAGAATTTATACATGCTGGACCAGTACTTTGAAAAGCCAGGTTGATTCAAAGACTGCAGGGGGTAGAAACACATCTTGCAACGGAGATCCTAAATTATGGGGTCCAGATTCCTTCGAGTGGAAACCCGAATGATGGCTCAAGCCACTTCCTGAGGCCGTCCTCAGTGCCCACCTCCCTGCAGTTTACTCTCACTTGTATGACTGAGTATTCCTTTGTGGATAGAAGCGTCACTAACAGTTAACGATTGTAGGCTTACGTTCATCAGAGGAGGGAGATCCTGCATGTGAGGCTCCCTGCAATACGCACGTTTAGTGATTTCTGATTGACACTTCGCCCAGCATTCCAAGTGGCTTCAGCACAGATAGCAGATATGTCCCCTTACATACTACCTAGCGTACCATGACAGTGTCCCCCTCCCATGATGGTAGCGGATAAGGCGAATGCAGTTACATATCCCATTGTATATGTGTCCGGCAGGTGTTTCTCCATGTAACTACATTCACAGTCTGCTTGATGTGGTGACCTTCCGGGACGTGTCCGCTTCTACTGGCCGCTGGAACGCCTACGCCATCTGGTCTGCCCACCATGTCCTGTCCGTCACAATTCGCTGAACTCTACCGTCTGGAGCACGCACGTGTCTACAGCCGTTGGAACACCGTCCACCGTGTCCTGTGCATCATGATTCGCCGAACTCTACCATCCAGAGTGTGTGCATGTCTACAGCTGGTTGTTGGGACGTGTATGTGCTTTGCTCTCCCAAAGAGCGCCCACTCGTCTTCCCATCCAAGTTTATGTCCCAACTTTCTGTTTCCTCGATCTTCCCTGCTTTCTGAGACTAGGATGTAATCTCTACAAAATACTCCAATCCTGCAGGGATGAGGAACAAACGTTAACGTACTCTCAATAAATATGGTATGCTATAACATTTGGTGCTGTCCATATCTTTTCATACCCTCAACCATGTCCAGTTCCCTTTAATCACAATTTGCCCAAAATCTGCTCTGGGAAAGCCACACCATTGCCACCTACATTCGGGCAAAATTCCAGCACCTCTTATCAAAAGGTGAAGAAGCACCACTGACCCCCACTCATTGGACACTCGGATTTCTTCACGAATGTAACTTATGTGCCCAAGTGCTATATGATGCATTCAGCAATGAGGGTGTGTTACTGTATCTTTTTTTCACCATGGTGCTAACCTTTGGACAGTCTGTACCACATGGGATGTCTGCCGGTACGCAGAAAGTATAGTGGTCAAGAACAATGGTGGCAACACAGCCGTGGAGGCTTCTCTCTTGGCCCGCTTTCCACCAATCTATCCGTCACCGATCCTAGGCGTCTCGCCAATGCTCGTCTCTGACATGAACAGGAACATCATGGCTTGGTATTTACCTGGGATTCTCACACAACGGCAGCAAGTTCGTGTTCCCAATCTGCACTGACATCATAAATGATTTTGACTCATATCCAGGTGGAGATGTGGAGGGCCCTATTCGCTCTTGAAAAATCCTTGAAGGTGACTAAAAGCTCGACCAACTGGCGCATATCTCCTCTGCATTACCGGAGAGGTGAGGGGTCATGACCGTTGAAGGAAGGAATGGTAAATTTCTCTCCAGCCTGGTTTGAGCAAGCACACACAGTGTGTTATTCCCTGATCGATAAATACCGGAAGCTAATATAGGGTAAAGGGATCTGACTTTCTCATGCACACCTCGCCTGATCTCTGGCCAGGCAAACCATGTTTGTCTTGGCTAGCAGAATCCGTGGTCTCCAACAGTCTTATTGGTGGGATACTTGCAGTCATGCAACCCGAACTCTACGATGTTGGAATACAAGCCCTTCAAATCCTTGCCAATGATCCCTCTTATGTGAGCTGGCCTGATGATCTGACAGCAGTCCTTCGGAGCTGGAACCTGCCCTTCAGTGCAGTTTCTGTTATCAGCAACAGAGAGACGCCGTTTCACCGTGACACAGGTGGGCGGGCAGAGGAAACAGATATAATGGTGGCTCTCAGATGCTACAAGCAGGGGCGCATGGAACTTCCAGGGCTAGGAATTACCCTCTGATACGATCCTGGCTGTGTTGTGGGATTTTCCACCAAACTACTGCTACATGGGGCCACTTGCGGAGGGGACAGAGCTTGCATAGCCTACTATACACGAGATAACGTACACGAGTGCCTGAAATTGGCAGTCATCCCCTGGCTCAACATTGCAAACTACGAGAAATGGCAGCCAGAGAGGGACTTAGAATAGTTCAGGGGAAATACATGCACTACCTAAGGATGAGACGTCTTGTGACATTTGACCGGCTGGCCAAAACTTTGATAAGTGACAGTCAAATCTGAGATATTGATACAAAAATCTGTGAGCAGACAGACAAATTTCAGCACAGCACCACTTACCGCAGTCTGAATCCCCAGAATCACTCTCGCATTCCGACAGAGAGGTTAGATCTAGGATCTCAGAAGAGAGTGCGATGCTGGAGGTCTTGGCTGCCTTCACACCTTCAGCGGACTTGGCTGGCGCATCGGAGATCTTCCTCGTCGCTTTCGCACCTTTGGTTGACTTGCCTGGTGGGTTGGACATCTTCATGGCTTTCACACCTTCAGTGGACTTGGCTGGTGCATTGGAGATCTTCCTCGCTGCTTTCGTACCTTCAGAGGACTTGGCTGGCATGTTGGAGGTCTTGTCTACTTTCGTGCCTTCAGTGGACTTGACTGGAGCCCTTGTACCTTCCTTGGGCTTGGCCAGTGCTTTGGAGGTCAGGGTCCTCGTAGATTTGGCCGGAGCCATTGTCCCTTGAAAGTACTCTGGGTTAGCTCTCGTACACATAAATAGAGCCTACCAGTGGAAGCAGTATGTTCCCGGACTGGAGCATCTGAGGTTTTGTGCTCTCCAGCCAGAGCGTGAGAGCATTGTGGGCCTTGGTCACTGGCTGGAGCCTCAGCGCATTGTGTATGTTGATCGCCTGCCAGAGCGTGAGAATGTGGAATGTGTTGGTCACCAGCCGGAGCATGAGAATGTGGAATGTGTTGGTCACCGGCTGGAGCGTGAGTGCATTGGCGGTCTTTGCGTTGATCACCAGCTGGGGTTGCATGCGTTGGTTACCGGCCAGAGCATGAGAACACTGTTTGCACTCACCGGCTGGTCCTCTGGAGTGGTGTGTTGGCCTTGCGGTCTTCGTTCTGTGTGGCTGTTGAGAGGAACCAGCAGCAGAGGGGAGAAAGCCTTATTATTTACGATAATTAGCTACACAATGTCGACTTTGTGGTCTGACTCACCTTTCCAGTATTTCACCCATTGTTCATCCCCAAAGTCGGCTATTTCGGGGAGCCGTCCTAATGCATTCGATTTCTCGGAAACAGCCAATGCGGCGCAGGACAGCCTCAAAGTCCCTTCAGCACGGAGGTCAAGAAATATGGCCTTGTCATCCAGAGCTGACCGGAGATCCTGCAAGGCGGATGCGATAGCTGTGAGACGTTCCCTGCAAACCGAGGATCGACAATTGCTATCTTGAAGGGAAATGGTATCCGTTGGTGAGTTTGCATCCGAATCTGACATGCTTCCCTCCGGCTGTGCATGGGAAGCGAGGGGAAAGGCCCATTCCTCATGTAGCGCACCAACGGAAGGATGGAGGACAAGGTTTGGCCCAAGGTAGTTTGCAAAAGCGTTGTTGAGCTCGGCTGGCAAGGGCGAACGGTGGTCAATGTCCCAATTCCACCAGTCCAGTGTTGATATTGCGCGATCCATAAGCACATGATATGAAGGAATGGCATCCCTCAACTCTGGAGAAAGAACATAAATTGCATCCGTCCACACCTCAATGGATTGTAGCAAGGCACGGACAAGCGGTGGGAAGCGTGGAAAGCAGCCGAGGACAGTCCATCTGCCAATATGGGTCAAGACATGAGTCTGTAGAGAATGAAGCAATTCTAATGAAGCAAATGGACTTGAGTATAGTACAAGGCTTACCAATTCATGCCTGAGACGACACGACCAATGTAAACAGGCCTCGTCCAGTGTGATCCCGCCCAATACCGTCAAAGCAGCGCCAAAACGATATTCATAGAACTTGAGGAAGAAGTAGGAGACCTTGTCAAGTTGCTCCTGCCTCACAACAGGCAAAGGGGAGTAGGGTGTCAAGGCCTGCATCATATGAGACATGAGGAAGTAGGATGAGGATAGATCAATTCCCAAGGAAGATTTTAAATGATTGATATCTACTAAAATTCCCAGACAATGCTATCCGGATGGGAAATTAAGTACACAGTAGAAATTCAACCTGTAACAATCAAAACGCCAGAGCTAAGTTAGACGCGAGTGTTCTTCATTGACGTCACGAAAGCGCTTGTCAGCAGCTACAGCCAAGCTAGCCCACATGGATGCCAGCCTGGAAGCATATGCCTTATGTCCGCTAGAGCCATCCATTGCTCGTGCGCACCACTTGTCTCGCATGTGGAGAAAGTACCTAACGGTCCACTCCATCTCATTCTTTGTCAGTGTAAGCTCCTCCGCCCAATGATTCTTATCCGCCCGCGCTCTGAGCCAATGAACTCAATAGACTAGGAATGGGACAGTGAGATAGGTGATGTTGGTGGAAATAAGTGAGCAGGACTTACACTCGGTCAGATAATTCGAGTTTGTGGCACTGTCCAAATGTACTGTCCAAATCCAAGAAAGTTTCTGCTTTGACTGACCGGGAAGATTTGGTAAGACTAGTGTGGGGCTTGCCATCAGGTCTTTGCTTGTGAGTACCCGATACTCCAAGGCTTGATTTACAGTGAGGCCAAGTGTTTCCATGCTCTGGAGGTTCCAGGAATACAAGCGGCAATGATGTCGAAGGTTGCGTTCAACACCTTGAATGGCGATGCGAGCTCATGTGCATTTCTTCTTAGTCTTCTCCAGCCACAGGTGATTTTTGTAATGGAAGGACTTGTCTCCAACCGCAAGTTGAATGTTCTGCAAGCAATCATTAGCAAATGCTTTCCGCAGATCCAATTCCTTTGTCGCCAGTCGAGTGAGGCCAAGTTTCAGCCTTAGAGCATCTTCTACCCTGGATGGGAAGGGCAAACAGGCATCCTCTGGGCAGTACTGTCCTCGGCCAGCACAAGGGTCTGAGTCGATTTCATCATCAGAGCCATCCGAATCTGTGAAGTCCTTGTCGATCCACTCGAGCACTCCGATAAGTGAATCAAATGCATCCTCTCCCATGTATTTGAGAGCCTCTTCATTGAATTTGGTAATCTGCTGCATCAGTTTTTCCCGCTTGGACACAAGAACGGTGAGATTCTTCAGATTAGGTTGTTTGGCAACTTGACAGGCCACTGCTGAAACTTCAACCCTTCAAGATGCCTTTGGTCAAATCAGCATATTCTGTCAGAGTAAGCTTATACTCACTGAAGTTCTTCTAGACGTAACCCAGAAATTAACCAAGATGTTTCTCCACTAAATCCAAGCCCTTCTATTTGCGCAAAGGTCTTTCCTGCTTTGGCCAGAGTGGGAGCTGACACCTTTATGATCAGTGCCCAGGAAATCAGAGAGAAAAAGTCAGAGAAACATACACTTTGGAATTCTAGTGTTCATGATGTCCATTGCTTCTGGCTGCTTCAAGCGCTTAACCTCAGCATCTTCAATCTCCTTCGTCCACTTCACCACCACAGCAGAATTTACTGCACTGGTCAACTTGTTGTAGTACTCTAGACTAGATTGGACATGCTCACATGCCACTTCTATCTGCTGGAAAAATACATCATATACTGTATTTTTACAGGGTATCCTCATAGGTCAGGACTGTAGTTATACAGTCCACCTGCTGAGGGACGGCGGATGGCTTTGCCGCGGGTGCCAGGGCTCGCGGCTGTGGGCGGGTGGTGTCAACATACCCAAACAATGCAGGAAACAGTGCCCGAGCACTGTTTCCTGTCGTTTGGGGCACTCCCGCCCCCGATTTCGACAGGGAAAAGGTGCCAACGATGAGGAAACATATTTCCTCGTCGTTGTGCACCATTTCCCCCATCGTCGGGGGGCGGGAATGGATGGATTGGGCCAGGTGCATTTGGATGATGCGGCCTTTTTTCGGGGCCTGTAGCTATTTTTAGATCATGATGTAATTACCATGACACATCCTCTATAATGCTCTCGCCAGCGTCTGTCACGACGTCCGGCGAGCTCGGGGGCACCTCAAAGCACACGAAAAAAATCATAAAAAAATCATATTAAATTGAAATAAAATATATACATGGTGCGGGTGGCTCTACCAGTCACCCGCTGTGGAATAAAGAGATAACGAGCAGAAACGACACGTCATAACGTGTCGTTTCTGCTCTGGGGGGTACCCGGCCATCCCGTCGTGCACGGACCACCTGCCACCATGGCGGTACTCTGTTGGCGCCCTGCTCGTGTCGCCGCTTGCGTCGCCGCCCCGCTTGCATCGCCGCCCCGCTCGTGTCGCCGTGCTGGCATCGCTGCTACGTTCGCGTTGGGCATTCGCACCGTCTTGCTGTGGCTCCCCTTGCCTTCGCTTCAGCGCCGTCCTGCTCGATGTCGACGGGCCGCTGTCCTGCTCTCCCCTCTCCCCTCTCCCCCTGCTCTCTGCCCCTCCCCCCTGCTCTCTGTCCCTCCCCCTGCTCTCTGCCCCTCCCCCTGCCCTCCTTCCTTACTCCCTTCTTCCCTTACTCTCCTCGTGCTCTCTCCTCCTCATGCTCGTGCAGGCGGCCAGAGGGCAAAAGGGTGCGGGCGAGGCGGACGAGACGGCGAAAGGTGAGAGGGAGAGGCGGGCGAATGGGCGAGAGGCGGACGAGGCGGGTGAGAGGGCAAGAGGGTGAGTGGGTGAAAGGGTGAAAGGGCAAGGCGGGTAACAGGGCAAGGTGGGCAAGAGGGCGAAAGGGCGAGGAGCGCAAGGTGGGCGAGAGAGCGAGAGGGCGATGTGGGCGAGAGAGGTGAGCGAAAGGGCGAAAGGGCGAAAGGGCGAAAGGGCGAGGTGGGTGTGAGGGCGAGGCAGGTGAGACAGCGAGGTCGGCGAGACAGCGGGGCAGAGGGCGAAAGGCAGGGCAGAGGGCGAAAGCCGGGGCAGAGGGAAGGGCAAGGCAGAGGGAGAGGGAGGGGTGAGGGGCGGACGAGGGGCGAGCGAGGGAGAGAACGAGGGGCGGACAAGGGGCGGACAAGGGCGAGAGGGCGGGGCAGAGGGCGAGAGGGCGAGGCAGAGGACGGGGAGAATGAACGAGGGGTGAGGGCGGGGGTGAAGGGTGCACCCGCCGCCGCCGTCGTCGTCGTGCCCCGCTGCTGCCGCCGCCGCCGTCGTCCTGCACCTGCTGTCGTCGCCGTCGTCGCTCTGTCCTTGTTGTTGTCGTCCTGCCCCTGTTGTTGTTGTTGTTGTCCTGGCCCTGCTGTCGTCGTCGTCGTCATCCTGCCCTCACTGTCATCGCCATCGTCGTCCTGCCCCCGCCGTAGTCGTCGTCATCGTCGTTGCCACCCTGCCCTCGTTGTCGTCCTGCCCCCGCCGTTGTCGTTCTGTCCCCGCCGTTGCCATCCTCTGCCTGGTTGAAGGGGCGATGGTAGGCGAGCGGGAGAGCAGGCGGTTGTGGCAGGCGGCCATGAGCAGGGAAGTGCCCGAGCCCACATCCCTGTCGGAAGGGGAGGGGCTCAGTCGTCTTGATGCGTCGTCATTGAGGCGAACGGGGTTCTGTGAGGGCAAAAGTTGGTTAGTAGGGATGTAAGTACATAAGAAGGATGTGTACTCACCTCCTTTTCGTGTTTCGGGGCTGAGAGAGTGAAGGACGTGGTGGAGAAAGAGCCAGATCAACGATGTTGAACATCGTTGATCGTGGTTCGGCGGGATCCGGCTGCCCATCCCATTGGCTGGGATTATCGGCCCGATCCCGTTTCCGTTCCGTTGGTCGACAACGGAACGTCTCCGATGGACGCAGAACATGTTCTATGTCTATTCAAACCTTCGGAAATCATTACCAGTATATAAATGCACCTATATGTGTAATTTTAACGAAGTAGAACAAGATTTAAATATCTTATGAGGCAATTCATGTCAGTTTCAAGCCAATTAGCGGAGTCTCTCCTCTGCATGTAGGTTTCAAGAGGCAGAAGAAATGAAATAAATATGTAAAAATAATGTACAGACTGGCTAATTATGATAGTATTGAGGAATGGAGCTCCCCCAGCCAACTTAGTAATTTTTGGATGTAAACTAAGAAACTGCAAACGACGGGGTGGATTCCGTAGTCAAACCAACTCATGGATGTGTCAAATATCAGACACCGGCTTGTATCATAGGATTTACATGGTAGATTCAGGCTCATTTTTTTATATGATGTACTTACTTACCCAAGGATCTCAAATGGATGGTTATTATGATGTTTCACCTCGTCGAACGAGTGGTATTCGAGAGGTTGGAACATCAAAAAGACGTAAATCACCACGCGGAAATAGTAACTCGAGCTTTCAGCTCGTTCTCGCCCTCAGATCACATTCGGATCTTTTTACATACATAGAGTACAGTAGTTTTATTAATTACCGATCATTAATCAAAGGATTTTCTCCATATCTCAAGTGTATTGGCTCTTCCGAGGTCGATGAGCGGAACGCGGGCTGGCCGGACCGCCAGCGCCAGCCAATCACGTCGCCCGCGGCATCCGCCGGATAAGCCATCAACGACGATGACCGTCGTTGATTCTTATCCTTGACCACCGTCTCCCCTCTCCCCTCTTCACCCAACACCCCAAACGACACCTCAAGACCGAAAAAAAAGATAAGTAATATGTTTTAATCATGTCTACATACTCTAATATATGTTTAATTCAACCTTAGGCCAACGAACGTCGACTTCAAGTCGACGTTCGTTTTCCATGCTTCCCTCCCCTTCAATAGGGATGTGGGCAAGGGCAGAAACGCCACCCCTATGTGCCCCTCCTCCTCTATATGGACGTGGGCACCACACTCCGTACCCCACCCCTCTATAGGGATGTGGGCAGAAGCACACCCCCCTCCCTCTGCTCCCCTCCCTCTGCTCCCCCTCCTCGAATCCCCCATCACCTGCCACCTCTCGTCACTCTCGCTCTACGCCCCTCCCCTTGAATAGGGCTCCCAAAAAACGACGACGGCTTGCGAGGCACGGAAACCGCAAGCAAGGGCATGGTGACGGACGAACCACGGCGACGAACGAGGACGATGACGGACGACCCCGGTGAAGGGCGACTCCGGCGAAGGATGACGATGAGCGAGAACGACGACGAGCGAGGAAGGCGACGAACGGGGACGGCGGCGGGCTACGATGGTGGGTACGAACAGGGGCGGCAGGGCCAGTGGAAGGCGACGGCGGGCACAGGACGTCAATGCCTGTGCCTTTGTCTTGCTTTTACCTTTGCCCTTGCCCCTTGTTCTCCCTCCCTCGCCCCTTGTTTTCCTCCACCTGCTGCTGCCCGCCGATTGCCCTCCTCGTCCCGACCTTCAAGCTTCACCCTCGCCCTTCACCCCCCCTCGCCCTTTGCCCTCGCCCTTCACCACCACCCTTCACCGCTGCCCTTCGCCTCCTGCCCAGCACCCACCTGCCCAGCACCCACCTGCCCAGCACCCACCAGCAGCAGCTCAAACACAAGGGAGAGCACGAGGAGGGGAACGAGCCCCGAACAACGAGCGAGGAACGAGCCCAACGAGCGAGGAACGAGCCCAACGAGCGAGGAACGAGCCCAACGAGCGAGGAACGAGCCCAACGAGTGAGGAACGGTCCGAACGAGCAGAGGAGGGGCGGAGGGAGTGGAGGAGGGTCCCATGAGAGGCGAATGGAGAGCACGGAGGGGGCGGAAGGGTACAGTGGGCGCCGAACGAGCACCGGAGGGGCAGAGGGTACCTGCCGAGCAGAGGAGGGGGCGGGGGGACCACCTGTCCCCCTGAGCAGAAACAGCGCATCATAGTGCGCCGTTTCTGCTCGTTTGATCTGTATTTCATGGCAGGTGGCTAGTAGAGCCACCTGCAGCCTGTATTTATTTTATCAGAATATAATATGTTTTTTTGTTGTTTTTTTGCTGCAAAAGGGAAGGGACCAGGACAAGAGCGGAAACGACGCGTCACGACACGTCGTTTTTGCCCTATCCTGTTGTGGGTGGCTGGTAGAACCACCCCCAGTATGTATATATTTTATTACAATTTAATCTGATTTTTTGCCGCTGATTTTCGTGTGGTGCAAGGTACCCCGAGCTCGCCGGACGTCGTGACAGACCGAGAGCAATATAACGGATGTGTCATCGTAATTACACCATAATCTAAAAATAGTACCAGGACCCGAAAAAAGGCTGCGTCATCCAAACGCGCCTGGCCCAATCCACCCATTCCCGCCCCCCGACGATGGGGGAAATGGTGCACAACGACGAGGAAATATGTGTCCTCATTGTTGGTGCCTTTTCCCTGCTGAAAACGGGGGCGGGAGCACCCCAAACGACGAGGAACAGTGTTCGGGCACTGTTTCCTGTGTTGTTTGTGTGTGTTGACAGGTCCCACCCACAGCCGCAAGCCCCGGCACACCTGGCAAGGCCATCCCAATGAACTCCGGTAGGTGGACTGTAAAAATACAGTCCTGACCTATGAGGATACCCTGTAAAAATACAGTGTTTGATATAGAAATGTAGTGGACATGGCTGTGCATGCCCTCTCAAACTTATGGGTCATGCGGGAAACTGGAAGATAGCGTCAGAACAAGTCCTCTGGCTCAAAAAAATTTAAACTTACCCATTCCACCCTGTTTCTTCCAGTTGCTATCATTCATGTGGTCATCATACATCTCCAACCGGTGGGCCAGAGTAAGCATTCTCGAAGCTCAGGAGATATTGTTGAGAACTGCCCAGAGTGTCTCCATGATCTCCCCATTGATTTTGGCCGCACCCAGGATAAATGAAGTGGCATAGTGGAACAGGCAAGAATCCTGGTGGCCATGGACATGGAATAAGCCAATAGCCTTGTCAATCACAATATCTGGGAGCTCCAGATACGGGCTTACCGATATTCTGTGCTTCAGTTTCTTGTGATACTGGCACATAATATCATAGATAAGGAGGACACGAGGAAGATCGTCGATGTTGATTGCTTTGAGGGCCTCGCAAAGAGACCAATCAATGTTGGCCTGCCTCTCACCCTTCTGGAGATCGACGACGCTGCGAGGACAGTAGCATCCGTGTCGACCACACGCATGGCCCAAAGTACCATTAGCATCCTTGTAAGCAACAGCCTCATTGGCTCGGTTGAGAGCATTGAAGTTGCTGTCACATGGGTCCTTCTAAAGGAGAATGTAAGTCAAATGTGTCAAAGAATATTAAGACTGCACCTCTTTTGTTTCCCGAGCAATTTTGAGATGGTCATGATAAGGCTTCCAGGAGGTTGTCATTCCTTGCCCTTCACTCAACCAAACGTTGTCAGCAGGGCGTTTCTGACGTAGATGGTCCGCCGTAAAGTTTCCATCCACAACAAGGGTCCATAGCAGTTCATTCCTGATCATCGAGTCAGCAGGAAAACCCTCAAACCTAAAGACATGAACTTACTCAGCATACTTTGTCCTCCAATTTGCTGGAAGATTAATCCCTGGTTGTGGACAGGTCGGGCAAAATATTGCAAGTTCCCCTGGCCCTGGTTCCTGGGTGCTGTGCCCAAATCCATGCCATTTCAGGTATTTCAGGTTCCGCCCTTGTCGTGAAAGCCGCTGTAGCTCAACATAACGATTTGGGACTTGGTTTGGAAAGGCCACATTTGTGACTCAGCGTAATTTCTCGTAATACTGATAGGCAGATGTTTTTGCTTCCAGGTTTGACAAACGAAAGTCATCCAGAACACTGAATGTAAAGACAGTGCGGATGTTGGCAAAGGATGCCGGGAATAGTCGCAGGTCAAGCAGTTGGTATTCAGGGTTTGCGTGTTCACAGCTGCACCACACAACGGGAATGCGATGGACACCGGAAATGTTGACCACAACCAAGAATGAATTACCACAGGAATCCTCGTCAGGTGTTGTAGATGGCAGATCTGCAGGAACATCATCCCAGTCGCGTTCTTCAGGGTCATCAGCCAGTGCAGCAGCATTCACATATTCCTGGTCAAGATTTATGCCAATGTCCAAGGATGGGCCAGTGGAGGAGCTTGGCCATCAAGGGGAGGTGATTTCTCTAAGTCCTTCAAGTCCTCTTTCCGGTCGTCCTCATCCAAAAAGTCAGCCACACGTGATGGACAGCGTAGCCCTTGGTGACCAACGTGAAGCCTAATGCCAACTTCCCAGAGTGATGCCCTTTCAAAAAAGGTACCGTTCCATTTTTCCACTCTGTGAAGCACTGTGAGCGAGTGACGCTTCCGACAGCAAGATCGGCAAAACACATTGGATGAGCAATCAAGGCACCGCCAACGTGCAGACTGCTCGCCACAGCTGACACACCAGGCATTGAGACCGATTGCCTCGCCTTGGAGTATCCGGTGCAAATAAGCTCGACGCCTCATTTTGAATTCAAGAAGATACTCGTTCTGGGTCTAGTGGTTGTCAGATTCATCAAATTGGAGCTGGAGCCTGGAGAAGACTTGCCTTTCCATAAGATCAGCGGACCGCTTCTGGCGAGGGAACAGAGAAATCATATCGCAAATCTTCAGGCTCGGAGGGGCCAGCGGGCGGCGTGCTATCAAGAACATTTGAATGCTTCATCTTCTTTGGTGGAGGACTTGGGAGTGTGCCATAGTGTTTCATCTTGGTTCCCCTTGAAGTGGAGACCTCTGTCCAGTTGGCTTTGCAGACGGTCGACTGCATTGCCTTCGGACCACATTTGCCATTCAAGCCGTTATTATGGTGTGGGGTATTCCGAGAAGATGATGGGAGCATAGGGCTGGAGGAAATGACGAGAAGTAAAAATGTCAGTGTCAATAAGTACTCAAATGATTAATGATCTACGTCACCTGTGATCCGTTGCACAGCTGCATAAACCCCTAATATCTTGGAACAGATAAGCCTCACTCCATCTTCGAGAGTGACAGTTCAGCTAATACAACTTTGTAGATAAACACCATGAGAGTTATATGAATATATAATGTATATGGAACTGAGATATTCAAATGTATGAGCATTTGATAGGATTAGATTTCTCAATTATCATTATGTTTGAAGGAACCTCGCATTCCCAGTTGAAGATCTTGAGATAAGGTTGCTGAGATTTAGTCAAAGTCCAGTGCATGATTTTTAGAAACATAAAG